GATATCAGGTGGCCGTAACGGTGAGGTCCGACTTTGGGATCTTCGCATGGATAACCCGATCTCCACCATCTATGCCACCAAAGATACCCTGCGGACATTGAGTGTTCACGAGCACGCTCCTGTATTCAGCATGTACGTTTCCTCCGCCGCAAGTTCTTGATATTTCGTTTGTTCCAAGCTAACATGCGGCAGGGGTACAAATCGTCACGAAGTTAAGACTTTCAACGTGGACGGTACCTATCTTTCTACGTTCGAGCCATACTCGAGCTTCCTTCATCACAACCGATCCTCGCCCATTGCCAGCACTGCCTTCCATCCCCACCGGACTGTGCTTGCCTGTGCCGCATTGAATGACCATCATGTAAACCTCGTGTCCTGCTAATTCCAACTTGGCTTTGAGATTCATGATACCTCCGTGTGGTGAGGTTCATGGCATTGTTTCTTTCTCCTGTCCTAATATTACCCTTTCTGTAATATGCATCCGCATACCCGATGAACAAATCTACACGGCGTCTTGGCGATTGACTTGATCAACCATACATTGATGGCTCCGCATTGTTGGTTTTTGTTCCCTCAGGGTTGCTTCACTACCATTTGATATTCGTGACGATTTTCTATTATTCTACTGCATGTGAGACAGTGTACCCTATTTCGGGTCTATCAACTTCTTTTTACCCTTTTGTCTTGTCTGTCTACTTCAGTATTAAGCACGATATCTTGTTGTAATGGGTGCTTGATTGCCAGACGGAATAAAGTATAATGTTTGGAATGCTCGTGCTCTCCTCACTTTTGTGAAATAGTTCAAAGCAGCGGCGGCTGTCCTGTTTTGACTGGCGGCGGAACTTGGTTTTATTCTTCTTCTTTCATCCTTTTTGAGGACTCTAGGCAATTGCATTAATATTATGGTGTGACTCGCTTGGGGCGTAATGGATATACTCGATGCAGTGCGGGAGAACCTTAGCCACGCACTGTAGTCTAGCTGGATACTCCACCTGGGCAGCATGAGAGTGTCGTGTGCTCACTGTGCGGAATAGACTGGCCGTTTCTTCGTTTTTTTCTAGGCTTAGTCCAAAAGGGTCATGAAACCCACTTTGTGGTCCTGTTTGACCTCGTTCGTATTTATAGCTTTTGTCGACCATTTATGTGGCTTTTGTCCTAGGCCATGACGGACTGGAGGCCTTGAATAACTTAAAGTTTTACTTAGACACGATACTAAAGCTGTTCTCTAAGTCAACATAAAGATGTCTTATCCGATATCCTTTTTATTATATATCTTGGCTTCTAGTCATTAGCCTACAACACAAGTATGCGATAACCAAAGGAATAGCAAAGATCAGTATGTATCACATTTCCTTAAAAAGGCCCCTTGCATTTATGTCATTTGATGTATAACCTTGACATTGTATACTAGGTCTGTTTGGGAAGAGGTAAAGTGAGGGCAAAGGTGGTCACGTGCATCCATATGCAGTATGTAGTCCGGTGGCCTGCGCCAGAAGCTCTAGGATAATCTGCATGCCATAGTGGATGGACACCTGATTGTAACGGTCTCTATGATTCCAGTGTGCCATGATTCACAGTACAATATGGCCTCACGTGTGGTGCCACGGGGGCGGTGATTGTTGGCACGACATCAGTGCGATTAATGCAACCCCTCTTTTACAAGTTTATTGAAGATAGGAATTAATAAAATTAATAATTCTGTACGGCGGGAGTCTCTCCACCTCGGCATTGACATCCGCTGCGTATGAGGCTGTCAACTAACACGGATTACAAATCGTAGGTGACAGTCCGACCTCGGGAGCGTTGGGATTGCTGGGAGGATTTACCTAGGTAATAATAGCAACAGGGGTGCATCTAATCGCGTCCCCTCACTGGGCCCTGAGTGGTGGAGGTCCAGGAACCTACGTAGGTATGGAGAGGTCATATCCATGACGGACCAGGCCCATTCGGACACCGGGGTGGTTAGCGGAGCCAGTCTGAGCCTCTCATCGATCGATGGCGCCATCTGTCTCCTGGGGAGACATCCGCCAATGGCACGAAATGCTGCTGTTTATGGCCGATTACCTGGTTGTTCTGTCGGCGCTCACCGTCCAGGCGACTAGCCTAGTTAACGGCACCGCTCGCGAATATCCGCATCCTCCTGCAGCTACTATCCTCTATATAAATTTGTCCAATCCCTCGGGCCGTTATACGGCCAATAAGATAACTTCCACCAACTTTCTATCCTACTACCTACGCTAGTTTGGTCCACTGCCCGATGGCGCCTTCATTACCCATGGAATATAGATACAGTGTAAAATCAGTATGAGAAATAATGTATGTATTCGGGTCGGACGAAGGGGAGAATTTACTAGAGAGTCTAAGTACTACTTTCTAAGTTTATGTATTATGTTTAACCACTACCTAGGTACACTATCTAGCCAATTATGTCTATTATATACCTTAAAGATTATTTAACCGCAACTCTCTTACTGGTCTACCTTGGTAAATTAATACTAGTCCTCACCAGATCTCTTTATACTCTGGTTCTGGTTTACTACGACCTTGGGAAAAGAGATATAGGTAGTATACTCATGCTCAGTATGCTCAGCATCATGCTTAACTAGGTAGTATCATGCTCAGTATGCTTAGTATATTCATAGTAGAAAGTAGGTATTAGAGCCCGCGGGCAGAATACGTATTTAACTTTCTAATACGCTAAAACAGCTAATACATTGTAAATACGTATTATACCATCGAATAAGTATTAGAGGCGGCAGCGTATTATACCAACTACTAACACCGTTTCATCAACAACAACGCACGTTATACCATTGTACGACCAATTGCGGAATTACTATGTACCGTGTTACTACCGTATTTCCGCTTTTTAGAACCCCCGAATGGGACTGCAGGCAGAAATAAGTTCACCAACCCATCCGCCTTTCCACATCCTCAGACATAATCATGCCGACCACAAGAAGTCAGACCAAGCCGTCCGATACCAACCGAATACCAGATATCGACCGAACTCGCAGCCAGGGAGTTCCTGGTCCCATAATCGAATGGCTGGACTTGGACTTTTCTGAGATGTCACCTGTAAAGCAAATGAACTGGAGAAATTCTCTGAATGAGATTCAAGGGTTCGAGGGATGTCGCCATATCACTTTCGCATGCCCCTTCGAACTGCCCCACAGGCTATGGATTATCATTCGTAAGGACTCGAATGAAGATAAACAGAAGAGAGGCTGACAAATGCATACACAACCTTGGAAGAGTGGTTGTCAGAAACACACCGAAATGACTTCCACAGAATATGCAGAATTGCTGGCAACGCCAAAACGACACTTTACCAATACAGTGATACTGTCTATTCCATTTATCGAGTTGACTACTGTATTGGCAAGATGATACACGCGGGCTTCCCCATGTATCCCGATCCAAGACAAATCCACGAAGTCTGGATGGTTTACTTTCCTATCTACACACTGGACTCTGAAAAGAAGCGAGAGCGTCAGCTACCTATCTTGTTGAATTTCTATGGGAGAGATGAAGAGCCTTCTAATCCGATGTCCGGGATTCTCAGTCACAACGTCGCCTGGCTATCGGGGGAGATCAATTACCAAGGGGTGCAATGTCAACGCCTCGCATGGTTTATAGAGTGGAAATCTAAGGAGGCGGAAGAGCTCTACAAGACGACCGTACGATGGGTGAGAGAGGATAAAGGCAAATCCTGCAAGCCACAGCTGACACTAAATATGTTCATTGATGACTTGAAGAGCCTTGGAATGGTCGGGTATGAGACGTGGCACGCTCACTTTGAGGATATCCGAGATGCGCTCTATACTTAGTGCTACTGTAGATAGCGTACCGTACGAACCGAATAAAAACTCACTCGTCCCACGGGAATGTAGAGCAATCATCTCCGTCCATGTCCATACCGTCCGTGTCAATCGTTTCGTTTCCAGCCTTACCCCGTAGGGAAGTGCGCCATGACCCATGTCCATCCTCTAGCAGAACCGACCCTCGAATAAGGGGTCTCAGGACCCTCTTACCCGCTATAACCCGAGACCAATCAACTCCATTGAGGCACATCGCTGTAGCGAACCAGACATAGTTATCAGCGTTGGTAACGGTCTTTTGCCCCCCCCCCCCCTCAACAACCCCGACCTGTGCCAGATACCCAGTCAAAACCGGTCCATACGCCTTCTTAGTGACACCGTCTTTCGGGCCCTCGACTAACTCATCGGTGATCGCTGTGGCGAGTCAGTAAATTCATAGTAAATCATATGATACTCGAATGACTTTATCCATTACTAGCTATAGGGCAAGTATCGATCATATGATATAGCCACCGCTCACAATTTGAAGCTATTCCCATACCCCCTTTAGGCGCTATTGTTAATGCTCTCTCTATATCACAAAAATCTAAAAATAGTATTATAAGAAAGCCCTCTTAATCGTACTATATATAGTATTCTTTTTATAGATTTACAAAAGATATATTTATAGAGTTATAGGCGAAGGTGTTGGGTTTGGAAATTGCACCCTGCCTCGCTCCATCGAAGTCGAGAGCGAGCTACAGCTGACCAATAAGCTGAAGTCGTAATTGCGCAAGCTTATCCGGAAAGCGGCGATTACCTTGACGAGACTAATTTCATGCTGCGAACCCGAAAGGAGAATTGCTACGGCACCAAGTACGACCCAAAGATCTGTTCTACCAGCACAGTGTCGTGGGCAGTGATGTATGACTATGGCTGACAATGGGCGTATGTGTCGATCGTAGTGGAATAGACTAGACAAAGCGTGTTGATAAAACTAGAAGTGTACCAAATTAGTCCTTCAGAATCTAATCTCATCGTCCGATTCGGAACCTAATTTCCTTTCTGGTGGGATATACAGTGGAAGACAGATCAGGCAAAGCAGTTTTCTGTGCAATGTATTTGAAGGGAGAAGACTAGCTAAGAGTGAGAGGGAGATATCTAGACCAGAGCAGAAAAGATGACTCAAAACTTTCCCCATTACCAGGGAAACTGAGATCCGTCCCACACGCGGAACTGCGCGCCAACCGACTCCCTCGTCCCTTCGTCGATCGTCTTCGCGATACCGCCGACGCTCTCCTCGACCGTCTGGAAGGCCTTCTCGAGGCCGACGGCCTTGGCACCGTCATTGCCCATATCGGTTTGAACGAAGCTGCATATTCATTAACATGCCTGTAACGCAACGACTGTTCGAAAAGAGAAGTAGGCACCTACCCAGGATCCGCAACAAAGCTCACAAACTCCTCATTCTCAAAATGGATCTTGCGCACAATCCAGTGTAGGATGGCCTTACTAGGGCCGTACGCTGCGCATGGGTACGGGCGCTGCTCCATGCCGCCGATGCTGCCTATCGGACTACCGACTCCCACAAACGTGGGCTTCTTACTTTTCTTAAGCAACGGGTAGACCGCCTGGTAAAGGTAGATAGGACCGTAGCCATTGACCTCGACGTGCTCGCGTAGCACGGGGATAGACACCTCGTGCACAGTTGAGAAATCCTCGCTGATGCCGGCGTTGGCGATTACCACGTCTATGTGGTGTATGCCGTGCTCACTCTGGAGAGTCTCGATGGCAGCGGTCGGGTCAGTGGGAGATTTAGAGTCGACCTTTACCACGATCAGACGGGAGTACTCGCCCTTGGGGAGAGATTGCAGGGACTGGGATGAAGCACCGACGGGGTCCCGGACAGCCGCGATGACGGTGGAGTTGGAACGAGCGAGGAATGTTTCGGCCAGGCCACGACCGATACCGCGGCTGGCGCCCGTAATAAGATAGATGGTGTTAGTCATAGTAGAAATGGTAGACTTGTTGGTGGTTGGTATGGCGACAGTGAGACCAGATGAAGCGCGGCCACCTATATATGTATGCCGATGGTACTTAGGTACTTAGGGACCTAGGTACATAGGCTGCGATTTCTAATAACATGATAGATCTGACAAATGCGACATGAATAATTACGAAAAGTGACAAAGCAAAAAAAAAAAAGAAAAAAAGGAAGAAAAATACCGGAAACAGAGGAGAAACAGGAAGCCTTCGATGATACCCGATTTGGGTCTGTGGACAATCCTAAGCATGGATCTGTAATTTAATTATACACATAGAATTGCAGTACATAGGTGATGTCTAACAATGTCAATTAGGAAGAGATGCCAAAGAAACAGTTGTTGAAAGATCACTTCTTTATCTGTGTTAGAGAAAAGAGAACCATATAAATACCAGGCATGAGCCGAATCTTTTTGGAAAATATCTTCGAAATTTACCCTAGCTGGCAGATTTAAGATCCATCTGGACGTATTGAGGTAAGGATAATGCTATTTCTGAGTCATTCTCATAAAACACTAAAGAAAAGCTAGGAATACAGCATAGAGAAAGTTCATAACATCACTCATAAATCGCCTAGTAGTTGCGCTGGCTGCCAAGAGCATCCTTTTCGTTAACTCTGGGATCAAGCTTGTTCAATACGTCGGAACCGTGAGGACCACTGGTCTTCCCAGTGTTTGAGGTCTGGTTGTTGTAGCTGCTACCAGCACCGGCTCTGTAGGAGTCATTGGCGCCATAGCCCGACTGTCCAGTGGAGCGGCCAGTGTTACTGCTGCCGTAGTTGTCGCTTCCTGACACAGGGTTGCTAGAGCCATAACCGGAGTGACCGGTGGAGCTACCATAGTTGTCACTACCGGACAGTGGCTTACTCGATCCATAGCCAGACTGTCCAGAAGAGTGGCCAGTCGTGTCGCCGTAGTTGTCGTTGCTAACCAAAGGGTTATTGGAGCCATATCTAGTCTGTCCAGAAGAGTGACCGGACGTGTCGCTAGTCAGTGGGTTGCTGGAACCATAGCCGGTCTGTCCAGAAGAGTGAGCGGTAGTGCCGCGGTAGGTATCGCTCGAGCCATATCCACCGGTGGAGCGGCCAATGTTGCTGCCGTATTTGTCGCTGCTAGAAAGAGGGTCGTTGGAGCCATAGCCGGTCTGTCCAGAAGAGTGACTGGTAGTGCCGCGGTAGGTATCGCTAGAGCCATATCCACCGGTGGAGCGGCCAGTGTTGCTGCCGTATTTGTCGCTGCTAGAAAGAGGATCGTTGGAGCCATAGCCGGTCTGTCCAGAAGAGTGACTGGTAGTGCCGCGGTAGGTATCGCTAGAGCCATATCCACCGGTGGAGCGGCCAGCGGTGCCGCCGTAGGTGTCCCTGGAGCCATAACCGGTCTCTCTGGAAGGGCGGCCAGCGTTGCTGCCGTATGTGTTGCTAGAGCCGGTAGTTCCAGCGTGCTTTCCTCGGTTGTCTTTATTGGTATATCATGTTAGATGTCTGACTAGCATATAGCTTTTGCGAGGTAGCCAGCAAATGGCAAGCTTAACTTACCGAGGTCGCTATCGACGCGGGGATCAACCTTGTTGGCTAGGTTGGAGTCATGGGGGCCAGCATTGGTGCTGGAGCCAGTGTTGGATGAGCCATAGCCGCCAGCAGTGTTAGATCCGTAGCTATCAGATTTGCTGCCGTAGTTCCCGGACGCTCCTGAGCCGACGTCAATTGGACCCCTGCGTGGGTCTTGGGCGGTGCCGGCGCTGTGGCCACCAGTACTAGCACCAGTGCCGTAGCCTCCAGCACCGGTAGTGGACGAGGCCTCATAGCCTGGACCAGAGCCAGAGCCATAAGTGTTGGAGCCTTGGCCGGTAGAAGTGTGTTTGCTGGGAGCGTTTTCCGTGGTGTTGTGCGAGGATCCGTAAGTATCCCGGGCATCTATATAAACAGGATTGTTAGCATCATAGTACAATGGATTTTTACTAGGAACAACGAACCATCAACAACCTTGCTGCTGGATGTTTTAGACGCATCATGATGATGACCGGTCACGGCATCCTTGACTTTGTGAAGGATGTTCGACATGATGGAGGCAATATGCTGTGATAGTAGGGTAAAAGAATTGGAAAGACTTGTTAACGTTTGAATAGTTTGCTTGAGTCAGATTGTTGTACGATTATGGAACAACTGAAAGACAAAGTGCTTCTGGTAGCGAGTTTATATGCTTATACTGTCTTTGCTTGTCTTGGTCAGGTCACAAGTAGATCCCTACTTGCGGGGGCTGAGTGACGCCATAACGCGGGGGTTCCACGACTACAATCACTGATGAAACATGGATCAGAACTCTTTGACTGCCCCGTTTACGGCTTCCTGACGTCCCAAACGGGTTTATACATACGGAAAAATATTCTTGGCTGAAAATGAGGAGAGCTATCAATGTCATCCATCGTCATGTCCCGGATCTACGACCAAGCACGCCACTGAGCCAAACCTTGCAAGGATAGGTTGTAGATCCACACGACCATACGCCGACTGTGATTTCATCTTAAGTGGGTTTTCCAGACTTTCGTGCCAATAATTCTCCGAGTTTGAGATTGCTATGCCATGGGCAATGGAAGCTTAGCTCTTATGGCTTTATAGGAATAGCCCATCTACTTTATATTCTTCTCCTTTTATAAAAGCCATGAGTGGAAGTATACAAGGCAAAGGGATTCTAGAATGATTCCTGCAATATACGCTAGTTCCTATTTAGGCCATATACGTCATAGATGTTCCGGGGGTGGGTACTAATTCCCTGCGCTAGTCCATATACGGTAAGTGGAGACAACTTTGGAAGCTTCCAAGGTTTATCGTAAAGTCCAAAAATATCTCGTGGGTGTGCCCTGATATAATATTAAATCGTACGTAGCATGTACTAGATGGTGCAATCAACTACTACAGTAGTCTACGATATAGGTATGCAAAAACTGACAACGCAATCCAAATCAAAATTGAAAAGGCGGTGGATTACGTAGTCGCCCAGCAATGATGGCATGATCGGCGGTGGCAGCTCTGGATCGAGAACCTTGGAAGAGATATTAAACCTATATCAAATTTACGATATATGACTGTTATTGCGAGATCCAAAAGAGGCCCAAACAAAAGACCTATATATGCACCATGCTATCTTGTTAATATATTGTGACATTGTACGAATTGCAGAGTTTGTTCCAGTGTCTTTAATTGATCAATTTTTGTCTCGCAATAACTACATATGTACCCATACGTGAGAGGTTATCTGAAGACATCGGAACCTCCACTGGTGGACGAAGTTTTGAAATGGGAGAACGAGTATCAGTCTTATATCGAATAATTGGAAACGCGGATTACCAAACTGAAGATTGAAGTCTCGAGGCGTCTTAGCTATCTTAGCAATCTTCAGGTGCTAGAATGCTTGAAAGCGTTAGAGCCGCCGTGGAATAATACTTCAATCGACTATAGGGCTCTCTGCTTGGTAATGGTGGTGTAAATTGACAAAGATAATCCTGCCAGATGGATGGCACAGCCGAATAAACCGTATTTATGACCTCTCATGTAACCGACAATATCTTCTGGGCAACGCTTAGACAAAACTAAATTGGGTCGCCCACTCAAAGGCACAGAAAGGCTTGAATAAAATCACATTAGATGAGGCTGTTAGAAAATGGTACGATGAATACTGGGAAGCATGGATTGGTCAAGAACCATGAGGTTGTTCAAGTCTGATCTCGCTCGTTTACTAAGAGAGATGCTATAAAAGAAGGGTTCTCTTAAACTAACCCTAAGATAGGATTGGTCAATGTTCATAAAACGAGCACTTTGGTAGGATGAACGCTCCTGATGCTTGAAGGATCAGGCATATTCCTCTTGAAGTGCCGTAATTCCCAACAGAGTCATCAAGCTTAGAAGTTATTCATATGATAGGTTTTTAAGTTGCCCATAGGTTACCCTCCCTCGGGTAAGCCAAAGGGAAACCCAACCCAAACCCGCGTTTGGCGAGGTCTAGCCGGAATTATTTCCGTTGGCAATGAGTCGGACCTTGCCCACTCTCATCGCTTAGCAGCCCGAATGTCACGACTCTTGTTCAGTTATGAAGAAACACCTGCTTGGTTGTTCCGCCCACAAGCCCACTTCGGCAATAATGTGCGGGGTATATCGACGTGACGCAGATTCGTGAACCGAGCTGAGCGTTAAAAGCAGTCCCCGTCGTATATTGGTCCTGGTTATATTGTCTTCCCTTGTATCGATATGCATTCTTCTACAAGTCCGCATAACTCGGTAGCCTATTACAATGGCCAGGTCTATACAGTCAACGCCACCCAGCCATGGGCCCAAGCCTTTATTGTGTCGGCGACTGGAATCATCGAAGCAATAGGCACCGAAGAGGAGATCCTCGAAATTGCTAGCTCGCGTAACCTCATCCGTTACAATCTTGGTCAACGATTTATCATGCCAGGGATCCACGATGCCCACACCCATCTGCTGCTGGCCAGCATGCAAGCTATGAATGAGTCATCCATTGGCATCGATTCAGGCGCGAGCGATATCGGTCAACGACTGCAAGACGGTGTATGTGCTTGCTCATATCACAATGTCGCAGGAGACTGGGTGATTGGGAACTTCTATCAAGCTAGTTTCTTCCCAGATGGTATTCCGGATCGCAAATATCTGGATTCCATATATCCAACTACGCCCGTACTTGTGCGAGAAGTTTCTTGCCATCGACTTCTTCTGAATACTGCAGGATTGGGAAGAGCAGGAATCGACCCGGTCAATGCAGTTGATCCTCCGGGTGGCTTTTACGTTCGCCGTTACGACGGAAGTCTCACTGGAGAAGTGGCTGAGGGCGCCATGAGTCAGGTCTTTTCAAAGCTCCCCATTACGCCCTTGTCTCACGCGAAGCGTGCCTTGGAATTTGGAGTACGCATGTGTCTCAAGTATGGGATCACATCCTGTCAAGAGGCCTCCGCCAACTCGTTGTACCTCCATGCCATCCGAGAGCTGGAGCTTGAAAACCGTCTCAATTTAGATGTATACACTCATATTGTCTGTGCACCGGAGACATTCGCCATGGAGCCTCGCGATAGTCTAGCGGCCTTGCTAGATGTGGCAAATGGCTTCCGTAGCAAACATGTGCACACGAATTTCGTCAAGTTATGGCTAGACGGCGCTCCATTACCGCCACAATTTACCCAGTGCGATCTTGACGCACAGGGACGTCCGGAGCAGAAACACATGGTAATTGGTTGGGAATTTTTAGAGGAGGCAGTGACCAAATATGATGCGCGAGGTATGACCTGTAAGCTTCACGTTGCAGGAGAGGGATCTGCTCGTGGAGCGCTGGACGTCTTGGAAAGAGTTCGAAAGAGAAACCCCGGTGGCCCGCGGCATGAGCTGGCACATTGTAGTGCGGTTCATGAGGGTAAGTCTACCGGCTATCATGACCGAGAACCGCCTGGCCGACTGATATTCTTGTTTCATTAGATGATATTCCTCGCTTCGTGAAAAGCCGCATCACCGCCGAAATGTCTCCTGCCATCTTTCATGAACCAATTGTCAATGAGATACCACACCTTTTCAAATGGCCTTTCAATCAGGTCCTAGAAACAGGTGCCCACATGACGATCGGCTCGGACTGGCTTTTGCCGGACACTCCAAGCCTTTTCGATGCACTGGCTGCTATTGTCGAGAAGGTGAAGATCTGGCCAGGTGGCCGCAAAAGCTCCGCTTTGGAACTTGGTAAATCTGAAAAGGAGCGAGGTGGTGAGATTTTGTGCCGAGTCATTACACTTAGTGGCGCGGAAGCGGTTGGAGCGCAAGGCCGAACCGGCAGCCTAGAAGTGGGGAAAAAAGCAAATTTTATCGCTATAGACCGCGATTTAAGCAAGGGAAATTTTTCTGGGGCGACTGTGTTGAAAACATGGTTCGAAGGGCGGTTGGTCTATGACTGCAAGGAATTTGAGGCTGGTGCGGTTCTCTCGGTCACAAATAGCAGGTTGTGAATGGATTTCGAAGTCTCTCCTGTAATACGAGGCGTCTTGAACCAACTGTCGACCTGTCCTTTATGGATAAACGATGGCATGTGAACCTTTACTGTCTGCGCAGCACGAATTGCAGGTGTAAGATACTATTGCAGCTCTTGCCAGAAACCAACAGAGTCGTCACTGTCCTATGTGGTATTGTAAAATGATATTGAGAAACCAGTAGAGGGATAATCGAGGTCAAAAACTGATTATATCATTCCAAACCATCATGACCTACCCAGGTAGGTATCATCTTCCATCCCAAGGTTGTATGGTTAATAGGGTCATGTGACTTGAGTCAAGGCCAAATCATGCCTCAGGCTTACAACACATGACACGGCGGGTATGCCGTCACTGACCCGGGGTTAGATAATCCACATCATGAGTTCACTTCCCCTTCTCCACCTGACTGACTTCACTTGAACTCCCCTTTGTCTCTGTATCTCGTCTTGTTGTTCGCTTTGACTTTCCCTGCCTATTGTTGGCTGTCATTTGTCGACTTTCTTCAACCAGCCATAGTGCTGCTAATTGCACTCGATGAGTGGCCGCCTGCTAACTTGCCGGCAACTGTTGGATTGGTCATAAAGAGTCCACCCGAAGTACTGTGATACAGCGGATCCGCTCGCGTCGTCACTCATTACTCGATCCACTCCGTTTTGCTGTGGTTATAGTGGTTCGAACCATCTATCAAAGACATGCGACCGCCACGCCTGCTCATCGTCCTCTTCTGCCTTATCTTCTTTCCGATCCTCCTCACCTTCTTTTCCGCGCTTACATCGCCTGATGTAGCAGCTCCCAATACGCTCACTGATCGAACAACTGGACTGCGCGCTTTATTTTCTTTCAACATACCATCGTCCCTTTTCCCTCCGTCGGCCATTATCAGTCTTACCGATGACAACTCGACCTTCTTCCTCGCTCGGCCAGCGGCATTTGGCCCGCCGCTGCCAACCAAAGGCCTCAGTGGTCAGTTATGGGTGGGAAGTGGCTTTGGTGAGGGGGGATTATCTGATGGCATGGAAGGGGAGCTGGGCTGCTCCGATATTCCCGGCTGGGGTGAGGGCACCAGTCATAAGAAACAAGACAAAACCTCTAGGAGCGTGGAGCAGGGCTCCGGGATTTCCGGAGGTAGTACAGTGAATGACCTATCGTCAACCCGGCCGCGCTCGGTGTCGCAGGCCGATACTACACCTCAGAACGATAGAGATGATCCAACCACCCTGCCCTTGACGAACGATGGCACCGACGATCATCTGCATCATCCACTCCCCGAATCCGGTGCTTCTAACCCCGGGATGAATCAGAAGTATGGAGACTATGTCCAAAACAAGCCGCCTGCGCATGCCGACATCCAATCACTACAGGAAACTGCCGAAATCCAAGGTAAAGTGGTGCTGCTGAGCCGGGGTGGCTGTGGGTTTTTGGAGAAGGCCAAGTGGGCACAACGACGAGGAGGGGTTGCTTTGATTGTCGGCGACGATACTCGAGGTGGCAACTTGGTCACTATGTACGCGCGAGGCGATACATCGAACGTCACGATCCCGGCATTGTTCACATCCCACACTACTGCTCATCTTTTGTCGTCATTGGTTCCTGGACATTCCGGTGGAACTGCAAGTCTAGGGGATGTATTAAAACCATCACAGGCGAAGTTGGCAGGACAGGCTGACACCGACAAAGAACGGGTGGCAACTACTACAGCAACGCCAACAACTATTCCAAGTTCGACTGCCAGCGGCCATTCTACGGCCAAACCTGCGCTACCATCTCACTCGAAAGGCGGGGTTTTCCGTGCAATTGGTGCATTCCTAGGATTATGCGATAAGAACGGAGGTTCACGGCACCTGGAAGACAGTCGACGTCCGCCCAGCAGCGGCAACATTGACTGGATCAACCTAGGCTCACGGGATGAAAAGGAAGCTCCGTCGACTACTTGGAGAAAATCAGCGGATCTCAATCATCGTGGTTGGGCCAAGGACGACGCATCCGACAGCAACAAGGCCGACATGTCCCCTGAAAGTTTTGAGGATGATGACTTTGTCATCGGGGTTCAGGACTGGAGAGATCCCGACTTGATGCCTCCTAAGAGTAGCACATCCTCAACCTCTGTAACTGGCAAGGATACTTCCAAAACTGCCAGCGCAGATAGTGATGCTGCCTCCTCGCCCAATGGTCTTCAGGGTGGTAGCATCACACCAGGAAGTGGAGAATACCAGAGCATCGATAAATCCAGTGCTAGTTCTCGCGACACACGTCTCAAGGGGTCCGAGAAAGACTCCATCGGAACCCATGGGAAGTCTGGATCTTCTACGAAAGGCTGGTTCTCGAGTCACTTTGGATGGGGAGATGATACTCAGCAAGACCCTCAGCCTTCTTCATCGCCTTCACTTCAGAAAAACATTGCGGCAAACCAGCAGATGCAAAATAGCCCTCACAAATCGGGCCGTTTAAGCATGGAGTCTTCCGAGCACGAAGGTCTTTGGGTTACCATGACACCTACCAGCATGTCCACCAGCCCCTTTTTCGATACTCTATTGGTCCTTGTCGTCAGTCCTTTGCTCACCCTGACGGTGGTTTATGTCCTTTTACTGATCCGGTCTCGAATCCGCCGTCGTCGCTGGCGTGCCCCAAAGTCGGTTATCGAACGACTTCCTGTCCGAACCTACCACACGATTGCTACCACTTCCTCCTCATCTTCCAATTCGACGCGTCCCCCCAGTCCTGGTCCCAGTCCCGGTCCTCTCTCCCCAACTTCCCCGCTCCTTGGCAATGAAAGCCGGCCAAGCGCATCCCGACCAAATAGATCACGTTCACAAACATTCTCGGGCACTATGCTAGACTCGTCTGTCGTGCCTAAGGAAGAGAAGTGCAACCTGCAAAGTGGATCTACCTTGTGGCGACGCAAGTACACAGGAAGGCAGGTGGAGTGCGTCGTATGCCTTGAGGAATATATCGATGGTCAGAGCCGGGTCATGAGCTTGCCATGTGGCCATGAATTCCACGTGGAATGCATGTAAGTGACATCAGTGAAATTGGTCTTTGTTTCGGAGTTTGACTAATCCCTTTCCTCAGTACCCCCTGGTTGACTACTCGTCGACGAACTTGTCCAATCTGTAAAGGCGATGTTGTCCGTTCGTTGGCTCATTGCCAATCCAGAGATTCTCGGGGTCATCGTGAGGAGGCCAACGATGACGTTCACAGCGCCCAGTCCATCTCTCGAGGCAGTGCATCTTCCGCTCCAGTACTCATTGAAGGCGTCAATGACGATGCTTCAGATACGGAACAAAATGCAGGTCTACTTGGCGACCATGCAAATTCTGCCCCACAGTCGAGCTGGCGAAACCTGGCTACTCTTAGTTTTTCTGCTTTGAGTGGCGATACGATATGGCACCAGGCTCGCGCGGACCGTAATCGCTAACATTTATACTCTATCCACTCTTTTCGAATTTCTTTTTTAACCATTTCCCCCTCTGTCCTGTGGGAATTGCTCTCCTTGTATTGAAGCATGCTGTATTAGCGGTCGTTTGGAGTTTCTGGGATTTGGATCTGCTTGGCGTTGGGTGAGAACAGTTCGGCGTGCTGGGCAGTTGCAAAGTGCCCGCAAGCATTGTTGAAGCGGCTAGGATATACCGCGGGTCAATCGTTCAAATATCTTGTATGTTTATGTTCTTTTGGTAGGATGGATATCTGAATGGATTCCATTGACACTATTGCTTTGCTGTTGACACAAAATAATCACGTCGTACCTACACACACGCTTCTCTGCCGCTGCACTTGTAATTCATAGTAATCGAAGCTGTCTAGGCTACACCTCGATTCAAACCATGCAGCCCCAGCACTCAACCTCATTGCTTCTCAACATAGACATTCCCAGCAATGTCCCCAAACACATCAAGCGCATGAACCAGCCGATCACGCACCAATTCAATGCGAGGAATCATATCCCGACCCAAAGGCAAGAACCCTTCGCCCTCGTGCCCAGCACCAACGCCCTCGCCAACGACAACTTCATACATCGCCTTGGCAGCCTTATCCTTATCGCCGTCAGCAACAAGCTTGCCTGTCAGTAAAACATCGATCATCTGCGCAGCCACAGAGCCGACATAGTCCATAGGCAAAGGGCTCGCAGGAGAACGACAGCCAGACCCGAACTGCGTATTGAACACTCCCAACCACACGGTCAAGATGCGGACGTTGAAGGGTGCGACTTCTTTAGCGAGCACTTTACACAAACCTGCAAAATATACAAATCAATACATAAACGAGACACGTCCTTCACCAGAAGAAGAAAAAAATAAGGGAACATACCATCCATAGCAGCCTTCGCCGCCGCGTAAACACCCATACTCTCCCTCCCCTCCAACCCCGCCCCAGAACTAACATTAACAACAACTCCAAACCGCCTCTCCCTCATCCCAGGCACAACCGCCCCAATCAGCCGACTCGGTCCAAAATACACAGTCTCCATCTGGGCCCGCAACTCCTGGTCCGAGAACTGCTCCACTGCCCCGATAATCGCATATCCGGCATTATTGACCAGCACGTCGATCTTGTGTCCTGCGGCCTCGAGCTTGGATACCAGCTCCGAAGCGGCGGTTGCGCTGTCGACATCTAGTGTGTGCCATTCGCCCCCGTTTTGGGTTATCTCTGACACGAGCGCCGGGGTGCGGGAGGGTTGTCGTGAGGTTGCGATTACGGTGTGGCCGTTTGATAGGGCGGTGCGGGCTAGTGAGAGGCCCAGGCCTGAGGAACAGCCTGTTATTAGCCAGGTTAGGGGGCGGTTGGGTTTTGTGAAGGTTGGTGCTTGGGTAGTCATGGTGGTTTGTGGTGTGTTGGATGATGGGATGATGGTGGTGAAAATTTGAAAATTCACTTTCCGTAATGTTGTTTTTTATTTGCGAGAAAATTATAATTATGACTGGAGGGATATAATGGCAGGATAGCATGGCTCTTTTATAGTTATCGCTTTCTTGCTGCATGCCTCGGACTTAGGGCTGCGATGACGGAGTTAATATGGTCTGTGCGTTTCAGCCTTGATGATGATCACTGGCCCTTGGGGTTATAGTTGCATTTACAGAGGATTTGTGGATCTGTTGGGGTAGGAAAAGGACTTAAGCTGTCGTCCGATTCGCGGTCAACAAGGATTGTCGATTTGACTTGATATCCAAGGTCAGCACATTCACGGAGTACAACCATACAGGATGAGATAGTAAATATACCCAGTTGTCATACTTACTACAGTCTAAAATACAAGTCCCAGCACCACAATCCATATAAACATGCAAGCCAAATACATACAAAGTGAAACCCGAAAGAAAGCAACCCATCACGCAAAGAAGCGAAAGTATGTTCAACACGACCCCGGTACACACGAAAAGCTACAACCAAACCGGCGGAACGGCAGAGGCCGAAGCTTCTCACCCGGACACCGAGGCATCTTCATCCCATTCTCACACGGGGTAAAGTCCCACCACTCTATCCATTCAGTGCGGGGAATCACATACTCTCGCTGGCATACAGAGCAGGGCTGTCCACCAGCAGCGCGCACTTCCCTCGCTTGTTGCAGCAAGGGAACGAGCAGGGCCGGATACTCGGCTAGTTCTTCGTCGGTGGTTTGCTCCAGGTAGGGGAGCTTGCTCACAGCGCGGAGCGCGACTTCGCGTAGGGACGGGGCGTCGTTTACAGGAGATGTCGATCCTGATGGTGTGGGAGTGGGTCTGTTGCGGGATGGGCTGTCTCCCATGGGATTGCCCTCCATATCCATGTAGGTGATTGGGCCTGTTGCGACGTGGAGAGGGGCCCAACCCTCGTTGAGAGAGGATTCCTCTTGGGATTGGAATGGAGGAGTAGGGACCTCGTCGTTTTCTGGTTCCTTTTTATCGTTCGGTTTGCAGTGCCATTCTGCGATCTGGGCTTCTTCGATTGGGAGGAATGGGTTAGGGCGTACGGTCAGGTGTTTCAGTTCACCGTGCTGCATGAGTTTGAGGATCTCCCAGGGAAGGCAGGTCAATTGGTTGACGGAAAGGTTCAAGACCTCCAGCGCTGTCAGCCTGCGGATTGTAGATGGGATTTCGGTCAGCTTGTTGTTTCGTAGGCTGAGGACTTTGAGGTTGCTGAGCTCGAAGAGATCGTTGTGCAGGGCTGATAGGGAATTGTTCGGGAGATATATCCTGAGGAATGGCTGCAGAGATGTAAAGACGTTCTCTGAAACTGGGGCTTCCTTGACAGATGGAAGCTTCGTTAGGTGCTGTAGGGGTGGCAGGAGACCGGATGGTATGGTTCTCAGATGGAAGTCGCTGTTTAGATGAAAGGTATTAGTATAATTGGCCCGGGTAGCAGGGATATCAGATGAAACTGGAATATCAGATGAAAGGAGATTAGCACATACCCCAGATCAATGCTCTCAAGTCCCTTATCAAGACAATCACCGACAACCTCCCGCGCGAATCGATGAGCATCAGACTCTCCAGCACTTCTAAACACACGGGTCTGCATGTTCTCCATCTCAGTAAGGAAAGGTGCAGAGTTTCCAGATTTTCTAGGATCAAGCACAGACTTGCGCAGGTCTTCCCCCCACATCGAGCCATCCTCTGACGGCAAAAGAGACTCAGCACCAGACTCGTCACTCCCCATCCACACACCACTATCAACATTCCTCTTATCCTTAAAGTCCGCCCTCTTCCGCTTAGGATCTAACACCTGCTCCCCCCACCAGGTCCCCCGATACCGCCGTTTGCGACCCGCCCCGGACACCGTCGCATGATAGTTCTCCAGCCCGGAAGCCGGGATATCATCACTAGAGAAGAGCGCCGGATCACTAGATGGTTGACTAGAGCGGTCATCGAAGCGCGACAGTCGCTGCGCGCGCTGGAACGAAGAGACCGCTAAGCCTGTCGCCGAGGGGTTCGCGGTCGCGGGCGAGCGGTGCCGGATTCGTCGCGGCGGTGGGAGGGGGATCTCGCCGTCCATTGCGATTTAGGTTCGCGGGTTCAGACGAGACACTTGTGGTTATCGGCCTGGCTCATTGGGGTTCTATTCGAACACGGGGTTTATCTGATGTTCGGGGTTGCGCGACGCGTTGTGGAGAACCCGCGATGGAGAGCTGCGGGTGTCAACAAACGCGCTAATGGCGCGATTGGGGGCGATAAGGGTATGGATTTGGGATCAATTGGCAGGTCTTTGATATTTTCAAAGAGAAAATCGCCTGCATTCCCTTGGAATGGAAAAAGATCAGATCAAAAGATAAGATCAGATCACACGTGCACGGGCATGTCAGTTGACCCCGGAGCTTACGGCTTCCCCACTGGAATGTTGGATCGACATGATCTTCTCTATCTACTCTATACGTATGTTGCTACTGGTGCTTACAGTTGGAATTGCTATCAAAGGAGAGAAAGAAAAAAAGTGCCTATATTCTGTGGATGACTCAAAGCCGGCTCGTGTGAGTCCTGGGTATCAGCCAGACCAATCCGAGGAGTAAGTCATCCATGACAACGTATATGGACAAACGAATTGAAAGAACAAGGTTTGAAGAAGAGAATAATAACAGCATCAACTCATATCGGTCCAAAAAAAATCATGAAATATAAAAAAGAAATGGGGGTATTTGAAAAAGCGTAAAACCGTTTCCTCTCCGAAAATGGGTTCTTCAGCCAGCCGAGAGGAATAGAAATGTTAAAGGTATAAGAAGATGAAAAGAAAAGAAAATAAGATCCCGGCTCTGCTGGAGATGAACGGTACTCGACAAGGCAGCAGTCATGCAGTATGAATTGGGCGTGGTATTGGCAATGGCCCCAATTCATGATCGTTGGCTGCGTGAAGGCATCTTGCCGAGAGGTCGCGAAATCGCGAGTGTGATTACAGGGCTTGGCCCACCATCACAACGATATAGCCAGCAGCGGCCAAGGCAGCTGGCATGCCAGCGCCAATGTTGGCCGCAGCGCCGGACGAGGTAGCGGCGGCAGCAGCTGAAGTGGAGGCTGCGTGAGACAGAGGAGTTGACGTCGAAGCAGCCATGGTGGTCATATTGCTCGCAGTGGAACTAGGAGTTGGGGTCACTGAATTGACACGAATCAGAGTCTTAGTGATGGTCGTGGTGGCAGTTGAGGTAGTGGTCTCCTCTGCAGCGACGAATGGAGCTGCCACTAGGCAGAGGGAGGCGACGATGGCAGTGAACTTCATTTTGTGAATTGATTCGAAGGTGAATATCAATATAGAAGAGGGAGCAAGGTGGTTGAATTGGATTCAAGGTGAAGCACTGGTGCCGAAGTATGAAACTTGAGAGGCAGAAGAGATGTTTCAGATTTGATCGCAAAAGAGTGAGCGTCAAAGACTTTGAGATATAAAGATTGTATAGAGCACTGCTCAAACAATATAAAACGAGCGACTTAAAATGAATGTATATGAGAGAAATCTCTAATGCGCCTAGAGGGAAAAAGGAAAAAAAGGGAATTTTACCAGGGCGTGGCATGTGCAGGGTTAAATACAGACATAACACAGCATGCCTCGAACCTGGGGAAAAAGTTCAAAGAAGTGGCGCTTCTGTTTTGATTCTGATTTTGAATTTTTTTTTCCCTTTAATTTTGTTTATATTATTATTGATTTTTGATGTGGAATATGATCATCCTATTGGCCCCTTGAATACGCAGATGGGACTATCCAAGATTGGGCTCCATCGTAGAAACATTCCGAGCCCTAAAAAGACAAAGGGTCTTCCGCACAGACTCTATAGACGCCAGGGGTGAAGTGGTTGTTATAGCCAAATGGCACAGATTTATCCGTACTTCGTATTGCCATCTCACTGTCTAATTTCAAGGACCTCGGAAGGGTTCGCCTTTAAGCCCCGTGTGAGGTGCAGCGAATACGAGAATTTTCGCCTAGGCACTCCGTATACTCCGTCTACTCCATAGGTGTAATTTCGGCATTTCCCAATAATCTCTAATAATCCCTGTTTAGCGAATTTCCTCATCCAATTGCGAGTTGTGGTCTTTGCTTACCTGAACTGGCCAAGTTTATCTACTTTATTGTTCTGGCATTATTACGCAGAATGTTAGAATGATGATTCTTGGGCATACACTACTGCAGGTGTTCACTTTCCCGGCACTTCCGTCTGTTCCGGACCCCTGGCATAATGTGCAGGAACGATCGTGATTTGACCTTAAACACAATAACAGTGGTCTATTCCGTATAGAGTAATTTCCTTGAATCTTGATCTCCCGGGCTTCCATCTTGCCTTACAAAGTGATTCCGGTAGTGCCACCTATTAGCCAATACTGAAATTTACCTGGATTTGCCTGGTTCCCACACTGCAATATACATACTATTGAGAAGAGACTTTTTTTTTATACTCCATAAGGCTCTGTGGATCGTCTCCATGGTTCCATTCAGGGACAAAAAACGAACGATCATCGCTCGGGCCTACTGCGTTAGGAATCTCTATTCCATAGCGTGGAATCCCAAGGTCTGGGGAGGAACGGTGAGTCATTCCACGTTCACTCATTCATATCCTTAGCCTTATAGTACATTGTAGTGGGCATATTCTGTGATGCGTTGGCATATGAACATGTCACGATTGTTGCAAGAGGGGGGTTTTTCAGGGGCTCTGGACTATGGGCTCGCAAAGCCCTATCTCCTTCCGTACCCACTTTGCACACCTCAATAACACAACATAAGCAATACGACAAGCTATACTCTGTCGTGCCGATCAACTTGAAAATTTAGGATGATCATTATCCACTACGGAGTACATAGTCCATAGTTCACAGTCCAGACTTATCCATCTAAGTCACTTGGACAGAAAAAAAAAGAAAGGGGCGATGGAAACCAAGTCGAAAGTGGTCACTCTTTTTCCTTCCTGGCTTACTGCACAATCTTAATTTTTGTTCAATGGAATTGCATGTTCGGAGTAGCCCAAATGAGAGCGGATAGACGCCAGTTGGTTGGTCAACATCTACTTTAAATTCCCGACAAATAAGGCAGCGCGCTTTGTCTTGAAATAACCAAATCAGGCCAATATATTGCACCAGAATCCCACACATCATCTCAGACATAGAGTTCAAGTAACAGGTTGGATAGTATCACTTCAGCTTTGGTTATAATCCGTGCCTCGGAAATAGCGGCTCTAGAAATTACTACCATAAGGGCTAGGTGAAATATATCGGTACCTATCACCAGTTCATTGCTCCTTGGAATGCCACGCTCTTCGCTACGGCAGAGGCCAATACCAATCACTGTTGTGATTGGACAGCTGTCAGTTTTAGGTATATTACAGTCATAGAGCACAGCCGATCAGATGGCGATCTCTCCGAAGTGCAACTCATGTAGAGATGCAGGTACGGATGAGGATGTAAGTGGACGAAACACATGATGTTCTTTATGGAGAACTCACCCCCAATCACACCGGGACTTGTACCGCTTGGTCTTTGATCTATATGTTGTAGATCACCGGGTAAAGACTGTGTGTAGTATTCGAAGCTCGAGCATATCACAATTGTCAATTTCATTAGTTACATTCTTTTTAAATTATCACCCCATTTTTGCCTTTTCATATCGGATCATTCCATTTTCTCACCTACAGCGCAGGCTTTCCATTGTTCATACCCCCGAACTGATTCTGCCAGAGGTTCTGATATCTCCCACCCTCTTTTTTCAGCAGCTCTTGATGTGACCCGCTCTCGACAACCTCTCCCTCATGCACAACAAGGATCCGATCAGCGCCGGAAATAGTAGAAAGTCGATGCGCAATAACGAACGTAGTCCGCTTGGCTCTCAATCGGTCCAACGCAACCTGGATATCCGACTCCGTATTCGAATCCACGGCGCTAGTTGCTTCATCCAGCAGGAGAATCGGCGACTTCTTTCAGGAAAACCCGGGCAATGGCCATGCGCTGGAGTTCACCGCCAGACAACTTGACGCCCTGCTCTCCGACTGTGGTGTCGTATCCGTCCACGAAAGTGAGAATTTTCTCGTGAATAGCCGCGGAACGACATGCTTCGTGGACCTCTTCATCCGTGGCTGAGGGCCTGGCATATCGCAAATTCTCGATGATAGACGCGTTGAATAAGACAGGATCTTGTGGGACGACACCGATAGTCTGGCGTAGCGAGCTGAGGGTTATGTCGCGGATATCTTGCCCGTCTATCTCGATATGGCCAGAGGTAACGTCGTAAAGTCGGAGAAGAAGTCTAAGGATTGTTGTCTTCCCTGAACCAGTCATACCGACTAGTGCAACTGTCGTCCCGGGTTCGATAGAAATATCCACGTCCTTGAGAGTCTTTAACCGAGAATCATAGGCAAAGTCAACATGGTGGAATGAAACACGGCCATCGCCAGGTTTCAATGGCATGGCATACTCTTTGTCATTGACGCTGGGTTTGGATTGGAATAGGAAGACTAGCCGCTCAGCATCGACTAGGTCAGAGACAAGCCAGCGATATTGCGCGGAGAGATAGGCCAACGGAGAGATGAGCGAAGACCAATACTGAATAAAGAAAACAAAGTCTCCTGTAGAGGAACGTCCAGTGGAGATCTCGTGTACGATCAGCGAGGACAGAGCGACGAAGCAAACCGGCTTGAGTAAATCCAGGAGTGACTTGCCAATTGCTCGGCGTTGACCGAAACGGGCGCTGGCCTTCAAGCGTAGGTCAACTGCTTCTCCAAAGCGGGACCTCTCGTACGAGAACTGATTGAAGTATGTAACAGTCTGCCAATTCTGCACAGCCTGGTGCATAATGCGAGTTTCGGTCCGCTGTGCCTGTGAAAGTTCGCGTCTGGCGTCCACGTTCCAGTTAGAGGTCAAGACCTCTGCCGCAACATAGGCAATAGATACGATCACCACCAGAAGGGAGGCGTAGACATTGAATTTCAAATAGAAGACAACGCACGCAATAGCTAAGTCAGCCACCGTCGGGACAATATCTAAAATGGCGACTTCTAACAGATTGTTCAGCGCTCCACCTTGGTCGATGGATTTCATAACTTCCGCCGAGTCATTTTCGATATGGAAATCCATTGACAGGTTCATGACATGGCTGAAGGCAGCAGTGGTGATCTGACGGTAAGAGAACTGCCTGATCGGAATCTTGACAAGCGTCTCAATCAATCCTAGCCCAGCTCCGCCGCTGATGAGCTGCAGCAACGCCCACTTTCCTAGAGAAGCATATGGGGCTTTGTGGGCAAAGATGCTATCAGTGACATCTGCTAGTTGTTGAGGAATGAGGATATTCAGGGCACGGTGGCATACTAGACAGAAGATGCTGACAGCAATACAAAGCTGCACTTTGAGATTGTTCCTGGGAACCAAATAGGGCAGAAAGATCTTCTCGGAGAAGCCTTTCAGATAATCCCACCAGCCCCCAAGCGACTGCATCTCATTGAGAAGTCTTTTCCTGCGTGCGGCTGCACCATTCTTATTTTTGTTGGTGTCCGAATCGCTCTCGCTCTTGGAGTCCACGCTGCTATTGTCTGAGTCGTTGCCATTCGCTGCGCCATATCTTGTCTGATTACCATTTAGGAACGGGCGTGTCTCTTCTGAGATCTTTCTCTTCCTCCGTCTGGTTTCAAATAGAATCGCAGTAGCCACAAAGACAAGCAAGGCAAGTCGGACCCCTGAGATAGTGATCTGCGTGATTGGTACCCATTGTCTCGGTTTGGCACCCAAGGAGAGCGCAAGGAGTGGAACTTCGAAACCAGCGGTGACCAACGAAGCTCCAGCCACTTCGTACTTGGAAGGACTTTGTCGCACCCACAGTGCAGTCCATACGACCGCCTGAGAGGTCATATGCACCAAGAACGGCTGAGAACGGTCCAAATCATCGGTGGCGATTTTCAAGACCGTTTGACTGACATATGTGAAAACGATCAAGGCAGTCAAGAGGACCCGTGGTCGACTGCGGCGCTTGGAGCGAGTCTTTCTTTTCTTTATCGGAGCTTGATTAAATAAAAAACAGACCAGAATATAGAGACTTGCTATTAAAGTACAACTATAATGAAGGGCCCGAGATGCTAGCTGAGTAGCCATGATGGGAGGTGGGACGGAGGCTCTGTTGGTGAACCCCCTCGCAGAGGTCCTAGCAGAGACGGTTCCTTATATATTCCCCAAAATTGAGCCTCATCCATATGTCAATAACTCAGGTGTCGGTCTAAGCGCCGCCCCATTGGATGGCTACAATTCTCCATTATGTGCGATTGTTGAAGTTGCCTGCGCTAGGGGGCTGGGATAACGGGGTCCTAGCGCCCATCGAAAGTAGACTGGGCTGTGACTGTAGGCCTGGGGTGGCAAGAAGGCTTCATTATTGGACAACCTGGGCAATCAGGGCAATCTGCAGATCGAACTAGAATCCACCTTCCTACACCGTAGGTTGAGTGCTTCGATTGGTGAAGCAGACATGCCTTGCTACTTACGTTGTACTCCGTGCAGTCGACATCCAAGGGGCTGACTGTTTTTTCAGTGACTCATTTGAGGGTAAGTAATAAAGTAATAATGCTTAATCCTGATTTTATAACACTGTGATATCTGTCCTGCTATTCTTTTACTGCGACAGTACTTCTGGCATTCGCCTCCGGTGCCCGTACTTTGATATTGATCTTCACGTGGCACAGCCTCACTATATACAGGGTTCTACCTCCGCATACCTGCACATGTCAAACCAAAGAGTACAGCTCCAAACTTGGATAATCTGGGATTAAATCTCTGAAATCCCCAAGAACAGCTGGAACAGCAATCCAACATTGATCTCTGCATCTGGTTTCGGGGACTCACCGGACAAACGGGAACAAACAGAAATGACTGGTACAACTGCCTGTTCGGCGGCTAATTGTCAATGGAGATGGCTCCTCTAAGAAGAAGGGATTGAGATTGGACACTTTGCATAGCCTGGTGACTAAGATCAAGGCAAGGCAGAAAACAAGGGCATGTCACTATAGACGAGGGTCATCCGCAATTGGAGGCTTATAGCCTTGAGATGCTCCTGTTTAGCCTGGGCATTGAGTTGACCCCAGATTTACATTTGAGGGGCCCCGCAAGTTCAAAGCCAGCCTCGGAGGTCTGAAACAAAATACATGCCAGTTCGCTTAATATGATAGCCTGGGAGTTGGCTGCGGCTTTGTTAGGAGTTATCAACGTGGTCGTATTCAGAACCAACCAGATTTCCTGCCCTGACTTTGAACATTAACAAGGGTTTAGTGATTCATGGCCCCGTAGATTGATCTCTGTTTGAGCTGGATGCAATCTCCTAATAGGGATTATATCACTGTGTTTCGTTCCCATACAGCTCTGGAGGGGAGTTTAATAACACGGAACTGGGTTGTGGGAGCCCAAAAAGAGAAAGGATATATTGTCACGGATAACGCCTAACATGGTTGGGAACAACTGAGGCAATTGAACTTCAACATCCATGTTCTGGGTACTGCTAGATTATGTACATCGTGTGCTCAAGAAGCAAGTACCCAAGAACCTGTCCGTTACAGCCATATTTGGGTAGTTCTCCTGTCTCTTGAAACCGCCAGAAAAAAGTATCTCTTCACCATAGAGATTATATCGTACAAGGGATGTCGCCAGGGAGTGGTCATGTCGCATGTTTCCCGAATATAGTCCTGAGACTGCGAAAAAAAAAGGTGTGTTTACTGGCGCATTGGCCGGAGGGGGCTCTGTCGGGGGAGCATCATTGGGGGACCCCGAGCGCGGAGCCAGGCATCGTTTTGAGGTCCTTCAGAGCGAATGACGCTACCGATGGACATGAAGAGTCTTTGAAGAGAAGTCCATTAGCCAGTGATTCCCAATCAAACTAGTATAACTTCCAAGCTCAAGGAGTCAACATACCCGAAAGTGGCACCTGAACCTAGCATGTACTTGCCCAGAGTCCGCATGACACCGTTGGGGCCAGCGCCATACTGGAAGATCGTCACGGTTCCTGCACCCAGTTAGCTTATCCAGAACGTCTTCATTTGGGGACTGAATGGGACAAACCAATAATGAAGCCCATGATGCCACCAACAGCTGAGAGGGGAGCTATGTTAGCTAAAAGCTCTTGGTGTACAAGGCTCGGTTGTTTTGCGATCACATACTGGAACCCATCATGCAGCCCATTTTCACTAAGAATCAGTCAGCGCATTTGGTCCACATACATATAGCTCCCCAAGTAACAAGAACATGAAGCGGATGATCTATATCACCGGGTTGTAGATGACATACTCTTGTCAAAGGTTGAGGGAGCACCCCCTGGGCCCGCCTGAGCGGGAGGTCCAGCAACCACAGGCATTATGAGAAATTAAGAGCAAGATAGTAAATTAAATTAAAAATAGCAGGTAACAGCTCCGAGCTGAATGAGATATCCCGTTGTGAGAGTCAAGGAACGAGCTCTTTTTCCTCCCCGGCTTGATGCTTCTCCGCCTTGGTCACGTGAGCACTCAACGGGCTTTAAATTGCACACGTGCCTGTATGGCACGTGACCTATTTTGCCTGGCGGCGTCAAGGGAGTAGGAAGCGAATGGCCCTCTTGCGCTCTTGCCTGGGTTCCCTCATGGCAACTATCCTCGATCTCTGATTTCTTTTCCGTTACATCTTTTAAAGGGCTGCCTGAAGCCTGCGCCGAGGCGGCAGTCCCGTCTTGTGCTTCTATCATTGCCCTGGCGTGAGACCGGTCGCTCACGACTTCCGACCTCCACACAACTCCTTGGCCTTTGAAGCACCTATTTTATTCAGTCTTAAATATCCCTCAGTTCACAATTCAGAAGTGAGTTTACTCTCCTCTCCAAATATACAACAATTTTTGTGGGTCGAGGCAAGACCTCGACTTAAGGAGTCAATTTATTTGTCTCTCCCCAAACAGCACTAACGCGACCGTCTTGATTTTAGTCGGGCGACTAAAGCTCCAATCACCCTTGCGCGCATTCAATATCCCCAACCCTCGGACATAAACCAACATTTCTAGACGTCTTCTTTTCACCCTTCAGACTATCTCAGAATACGGCCCCTTTTACAATTCGCAACCGTGGACGCGCTCCGTGCTCCGTCTAGATATCCCATTCCCTTAAACCATTCGCATCCTTCTCCATGACTGCTGTGGCATCTCCACCTAGTGTCGAATCGGGGTCTCGCTTGGGATGGTATAGTTCTAGTAACGGAGGAGAAGGAGCTCTGTCTTCAGTGAATGCGGACGACGTGTCACGGATGTTCATGCCACGGAAACACGTTCAACGCTCAAACTCCTCTTCCTCTCTGGGGTCGAACTCTTCGACTTCCTCCACATCTACTGTGGCCGCCCCTTCCCAAGATACCCATGCCGCGCAGAATTCCGCCAGTGAATCAGATACTTGGTCAACATCAAAAAAGAAGCATTCGAAGAATATCTGGCCTAGCTCGAAATCCGAGCCGGTATCAGGGGTAACGAACGCGCGGTCTCAGGCAGTGCCTGCTTTCACCTCGGGACCAAGTGCATCGTCGACAATGTCCGCAATGCATCAGCCTTCGAACATCGTCCCATCGCAACAGATGCCTCAGTCATCGCAGCAGAATGGCGTCCGTGCACCGACCGGCCCGCCCTCGGACAACCCAGCAATTTTGATTCTGTTGCCAACGAATGGTACCTTTGATAGGAAACAGATCAATGTACCATACTACCCCGAGGTCCTGCGGATCGGACGACAAACAAACGCCAAAACAGTCCCCACGCCTCTCAATGGATTCTTTGACTCCAAAGTTCTCTCTCGACAGCATGCTGAGGTATGGGCTGACAAGTCTGGCAAAATCTGGATCCGAGACGTCAAATCCTCAAACGGCACATTTGTGAACGGCCACCGATTGTCACCTGAGAACCGGGAGTCAGAGCCGCACGAGCTGCGGGAAGGCGATACCCTAGAGTTGGGCATTGATATTGTCAGCGAGGACCAGTCCACTATCGTCCATCACAAAGTCTCATCTAAGATTGAGCATGCCGGAACCTATGGTACTACCCCTAGTATCCTTGATCTGAACTTTGGGGACTTGGATCCTGCCTCCGGGGGCGGCCTTCTCCCTTCTCCCCTGAGTCAACCGCTTTCCCATATGCGCGGTCGAGCCGGTAGCAACGCTAGTAGCAGAAGTGCCCAGAGTGTTACTAGCAATCAGCTCAATGCTTTACATCAACAACGGCAATTGAACTACTGGAACTCGCCAATCTCCATCGAACAGGTTGTCAAGCGGCTTACGGTACGAATCACAATTCACCTTAATACTACAGATGGCTGACTTTGTTCTAGGGCGAACTGAAATCCGCAAAACAACAAACAACAGATCTTTCTCAAGCAGATGAATTTTTGACGACGATCATGAAACCAGGATATGCAGAGAAAGAAAAGCTCATCAAGCCTTCTCCTTTGGAGAACAATGCCCATCGCCAGATGAACGGCCGGCCTAAAATGCCTCGAGTCGACTCCTTTTCAAGATTCTCGGAACCTCCCGCTCCTCCTCCTCAACAGCCTCTACCGGAGAAACCTGATGCGTTGTCACGAAGCGCCTCGGAATCGTTCTCGCCACTGAAGCGTAGCGATACGGAAAAGCCGAAGAGCGGTACCGGTTCCCCTGTCTCCCGTGATTCCAGTCAGATCTTGAATCTCATTGAGGCGCTATCGTCTGCCAAGCGAGAGATCGAAACTCATGGAACACGTGTCAAGGAACTAGAAAACCTGCTGTTCCAAGAGCAGGCTGCTCGCAAATTGGCAGAAGACAAGGTCAATGAATTGGAGATGCGCTCATTGGATGTTGAAGAAGTCAAAGTCGAGAACGGCATTGTTCCGCCTTCAGAGAAGGGGGTGGGCGCAAAGAAGGAGCAGGATGGTACAGAAGCAACTGTGCAGGTCAACGGGATCCATCCTTCGGAGACCCCCACTCCTGGGGACAGCCAGGCAGATGCTCCTGTGGAAGACAAGACTGCTGAACTTCAGACTCGCTTGGAGAGTATGATGGAGGAGATGGCAGAGATGAGAAAACAAATGGCATCATTCAAAGATCGCGCCGAGAAGGCTGAAGATGAGGCCATGGAGTCTCGCAAGTCGTTGAACGAAATGATTGAAACCTTGCGCCAGGAACGCGCCAAGAAGGCATCACCCACGGCGCTTGACAAGAAAACTGATACGCATGACCGCGAGCCAAGCAATGGCTTGGTGGAACAATCGCTTACGAGCGATGCCTCTTTACCGGATCCCAAGATGAAGACTCCGTCGATGCAGGGCTTCGATCCGGTCACCTCGCAAAAAAGAGACATGGATGCTGCAGCTGCAGCCACAACCTTTGCAACACAACACCATCGACACAACTATGTGGAAGAAGCAAGTCCCTACGCCTCTATGTTTGGCGTGGTCTTATTAGGAGTAGGCCTGATGGCCTATCTCAACGGTTGGCAAAAGATGGACAAATAAACCAGCTTGGCCTCGTATGCTACCTTCTGGGGTTCCCTGTTCTTTTGACAGCCATTTCTATTGCATAGGCCCTTTGCATTGTTTCAACTTCCCCTATCTTTCTCATCAAATTTCAATTTTCGCCAGTCACGACTTTCTGGCGATAAATGTCTCGGTTCTTCTCTCGGCTGAGGACCATTTTCTTGTTTTCATACTCGGAGCATTTTTCCGTTTAGCCCACACTGTCTCTTTTATCTCACGAATTTTTTGATGACTCTTTTCTCGAGATTCCTCTCAGGGATCTCCTTGGTCGTCCTTTTGACGTCTGTTCCTCCCCCTCTTTCGTGCCATCTCCTTTTTCTTCGTTCTTCTTCTACCTCCTACTATGTTACTATTAGCCTGTCGCCCTCTTGGGAGTCGACATCTCTCTTTCTCTTTTGTCTGTACATGATGGGGAAATCAGGATACGTTCATGACTTGCAGCCTCTCTTTGAAACGTTTCGTTCCATGAAGAGGGTTTCAGGCATTATCATTCATCATGTCATGTCAGCACAGGGCTTTGTGAGCGTATCAGGAGTTTTTATTCGTACTATTTCGTTTTCTATTCATGCCATTTGTTTCTCACTGGCAGATTCGATGATTCAGGTTCCCTCTTCTAAGCCTTCTTTTTTGATTGGAGTAGTACTGTTACCCTATAGTCCTGTCTCTCTTTCATTTTTCATACAAGTCTGTCCAGCATCTACAGCTCGTTGGGATGATAGGGTGGAGCATGCGCTCTTGGTAGATCAGAGTTTGTTTCTTGTACATGATTTTGTGCTAGGCTAACAACCCAAGGACAAACGAATCGTTCCTTTCCTGATCCTGCTCAAGGGCCTTCCAAGCCTGTGTAATGTGGATATTGCCCCTGTAGGGTATTTGGTACTGGGTATATGCAAGTGATGAAGGGTGGTTAGAGGAGCCCTCGATCGGGCTTGGGGTTTGGCTGCTTCCACCAGCACCATCCCAGAACAGGGATTCAGGTTAAAAGTTCTTCTGAGCTGCGTTACTGGGTGGTAACCATGAGCATTCCGTTTGGAGTCACTCAGCAGGATGTGCGGGCACGCAGTGTCCTAGCTGGCAATTCTGGGCTCGACCACAGGCTCATGACAATGGCTATTTCCCAGCCACGTGTGTGGAGTTTTGCAGTTGAACATCCTCGGATCAGCAGACGATGGTCGTGCAATCGGATTACCGACTATCGTAGTGGCTTCTGTCGAAGTGATCGTGGGCGAATTCACTTGAGGCTGACGGCGATCTCAACCATTTTAATCCACCTCGTCCGGCTCTCGGGGAGCTCGGCGTCGTCTTCTGCCGCGGCGGCCTGACGTTTCCTCTTCTTTGCGGCTGACTTTGATTCCGGCTTAGAAGCCGCATCTCCCGGGTCATTTTGGGCTTGCTCTTTCTGCTGCTGTCGTTTCTGTTCCTCTTTTGCTTTCATTTCTTCATCCTCAACGATATCATCTACGACAATCACACTCCCCGTGTTGACACGGACTTTGTACTCGGTTTCCTTTTCCTCGAACCATTTGGCTACGTTCAGCGCCTTCTCAATAGCCCGTCCTGTCGCCTTCACGAAAACTTCCTCTCGCCTCTCTGACACCTTGGACAGCTCGTCAAGTATCTGTTTCTCGTTCTTGCGCGTATCCTCAAGGTTTATGTTTGCGGTGGCGCGCTTCTCGGCCTGCAGGAGGAGTTTCTGCACGCGCTTGACGGCGCTCATAAACGGCGTGGACTTGGAGACGTAGACAATCTTGGGCACCGAGGCGCCGGCATACGGGGAGGCAACTGGCGCATGAGGTATAGGGCGCTTCTCGACCTTGGCATCTGTTATTCAAGAGTCAGTGTTTGTGCATTGGCCATTTGAGCCTAGGCGTTCGGATGGGAAGGCTCACGTTTTGGGAGTCTGATGAGGTCTTTATTCTTTTTCTCAAATTGGAGATTTTTCTCCAGTGCTCCCTTCGCCATGGCTGATATGTGCCTTGCGCCAATGAAAAGTTGCGGAGTCAAGTTAAAGGATTGAAGCTGGGCGTCTTCTTGTTCGCCTTTTTCCGCCAGGCTAGAGGATGCCCGCCTGCCGCCCGCATCGCGATATGACATGCTTATATAATCACCATTAAACCTTGGGACCCCGGGACTGCCCAATCGGGAAAGCTATATACCTACCTAGGTACATATGTATCTAACTCAATTTGGTTCATCTAATCAGTCATCTCTATGCACTTGTATGTGTGCGTTTGAAGGTAAAAGAGAACACCGAGCGACTGTCCTGGACAAAGCTAGGGAAGGCCGGCAGTGTGTTGCAGATCGGTGTTGCCCTGTCTATCGCCTACGGGAAAAGTCCTCCAACCTACTGAGCCACATTAAAGGCGTTGACGCAAGTTACTCACTGGTATCATGATCCAAGCGGACAGCATTACGATGAGCATAAAGTGGGACATGTATGTGCACTGACCGCACACGGTGTTCACCAGGCGGTTACAGTCACATAGTGCAAGAATGGCAAGCTGGAGCCCGGTACTAACCTTTCCATACAGCACCACTATCAACTCCCTCTTAGAGAGGCTGCTAGATGCACAGATGATTCTTTCTTCAATGAGGTAGCTACCGATGACACTGATCACAGCAAGTCTGTTGTCAGCAAATAGGCTGGGCATGGAATCGTTGAGCAATACTTGTGTTTGGAAAGGGTAGCCTGGATATGCAGTATACAACATAGTCATGGTCATCCACCTGGGTGGGCCGAAATTCCTTCTAATCGGATGGGGTTTCCAGGTCCGGGAACACACCCTGTCGCCGAAATTACACCTGCACCGGGTTGTTGCATTTCGGAGAGAAGATGATCGCTCACAACTACTTCAAGAGACCAGTGAGCTCCGGACTGCAGATCTCGAACAGCGATGAGCAGTGCGGACTTGCTATGATTCTGAATGAGACTTCTGACCAGGTGACCCCGGTGGGTTCCCGACTTGTGCGACTGACTACCCCGACGGAGTCGACGGAGTCGGAGTCCTCCGTACACGTATTGATATTGCTCAGTTAGAGGCCTGTTCAAATTTAGAAGGCAGTTAATGTGTAAAGGGGCTCTTTGTACAATATAATTCAAAGTGGAGAATATTGATATGAACAGGTAGCTCCTATATTGTAGATGCCCAAGGGACCCCTATATTGTAGATACCCAAAGGGCCCCTTAGGCATCTTGTCCAATATCAGCCAATACTTTAATACGGAGTATGTTGTAGGTGTTTTCTTAGTATTGCTCAGGGGCAAAGGACAGCCACTGCATAAAAAGAGGCCCTGGCTGTATTCCGTACATCGTAAGCTTCTAAAGCACCATTGTCGTCATCTCGGTATTGAGACGGAAAGGGTCCAAGTGTGTTGACCCGAGTCGTTGGTGGCCGGTAACTAGCAATATCCCATATAGGTATAACATAGTACCCAGGTACTCCGTATGAGTACGGATACGATAAAGGTGATGATGAAATGATCATCATGAGGGCCCTCAATGATCTGGCAAGTTCCCCTGAGGCTGATTGACGTACTTCGTACTTCATCCTCCGTACTCCGTACGGAGTACTCCGCATGGAGCATACAATATCGGAAGCACACAAAGATGGTGACGATCAATGCGTCTGGACTTGATAGATCGACATTCGCCTCGAGCTGAAAACTGGTCAGGTGATGCTCACCAAACTAGTTTGGGAAGGTCCCGAAGTTAGTGGAATTGTGGGTCAAATGCTCAGTGTCCCGTTCTTTTGTTTCGCTTGTACTTTGTATCGATCACGAAAAAAGTCGGGATATGTGCATGTTTGATCTTTGATCCTCAGTATTAGGTATCAAATTAAGTGTAGCTAATCATCCCGAACCCTTGAGATTGGAAATTACGGAGTAAGTCGGGGTGACGGCAAAAAGACCACGATTTCCCCTAATCGTGGTCTTTTCACCCCTCGTGTTGGAGCATTGAAGTACAACACTAGCCATGTTAGGTAGCCTAGTTAGGTTTAGCGCCCTTATAGGAGTAAGTATTCATCATACATCGACGCCCTCAGCGCGTACATTATGGATAAAAGATATATAAAGGCAGTCTAAGTCTTCGTTTAGATATTATCCCTGGATAATTCTATATCGTACACAGTCTGCTGTTAGCTGGCCCCGGTTTCGGCCTCCTTATGGTTTCGGTCGCCGAATCGGCATACGGATATTAGCGTATAAGATAGTAAATTATTGAATAGTCAATCTATAGCATCCCTAATTGATCAGCATCCACTGCTAAGCAACATGCATACCCTCGAAGAGACATTCAAAGAACAGGCTGCACGTCTGTTGAAGGATGTACCCCTAATTGGTGAGTGCCGAGTCCTGTTTGTAACCTTTGACAAATAGCCTCATAGATCAATTAGATGGTCATAATGACTTTCCGTACATTATCAGAGGCTGGTTTCAGAACCAGATCAATGGACAAGAATCTACCATTCATGATATGCCCATTGGACAAACGGATATCTTGCGCCTTCAAGCCGGGTCAGTCGGGGCCCAGTTCTGGAGTGCATTTGTTCCCTGGTAAGGTCCATTCTTCTTTCAAAGCTTCTGATATCTGTGTGTTAACTTGACGGGGGTCTAGTCCAACACCAGAGGAGCAAGAACAAGGTTGCGTAGTTCAATTGCACAAAACTCTCCAACAAATTGATCTCATTCACCGGCTCATCGAGATGTATCCTGATAGCCTCGTACTAGCGGACTCAGCAGCCAGCCTCCTAGATGGGTTTCGCTCGGGACGCATTGCCAGTCTAATTGGGGTGGAAGGTTTGCATCAAATCGGCAATAGTATGAGCGCGCTTCGGATGTTTCACCGGCTTGGAGTTCGATATGTGACACTCACGCACAACTGCCACAACGTATTTGCCGACGCAGCGGTCAGTGTCTTGAGCATTATAAGACGATTTGAGAATTGGCAAGCTGATCCCCAGTGACCGTATAGACAGTATACACGCCACTACATTCCGGCTTGTCCCAAAGAGGGAGAAGGCTTCTTGGTGAAATGAATCGTATTGGCATGCAAGTCTCACTTCGTTCCATCCATTCTTCTGGCCGGCCATGTTGACGCATTCTTTCTTTCTATCATTAGGATTATCGACCTTTCCCATACCTCTCACGCGGTCCAAGAGGAAACCTTGAAAATGTCGGAAGCACCGGTCATATATTCACATTCATCCAGGTAACATGATCTGCGGACTGAGACACCCCGATCCCACAAAAGACAAGCCTGGACTCTTTAAACTAACCTATGTAAAAAGCTACACAATCTGTCCGCATCCCCGCAATGTCACAGATGACACTCTTCGGCTTCTTCAGCGTAACGGTGGAATCATCATGGTCTGTTTCTTGAGGGAACTCACAGATGCGAAGCCTGACTCTGGAGCCACCCTTTCCCGAGTTATCGACCATATCATATACATAGGTGAGAAAATTGGATACTCGCATGTGGGCATTGGATCCGACTTTGACGGGATGCTCCGGGGACCTGACGGATTGGAGGATGTTGCAAAATACCCAGCTCTGGTGGAAGGAATTCTCAGTAGGGGGGTCGCCGAGACTGACGTTAAGGGTATAATGGGTAGAAATCTCATCCGGGTAATGGAAGAAGTGGAAAGATTCTCTCGTCAGGCAAAAGCTACAACGATGGATTTCCTTGGTGATGATATTGGCGAGATATGGAGCGAGGATATTAAGGGACAACTGCTAGATGAACGGAAGAGATGCAGGTCACTGGCTAGCTAGCTCAATATATCTGTCAAAGAAACACATTGTCATGATGGCTTTTGATTCACTCCGCGGGGAGGGGAGAAATAGGGGGTGTGGTGTACAAGCTCACCCCTCGGTCACACATTACAGGATGCAGTTCGAATTCCGGATTGCTATTCGACGTGGTATAAAATATCGATGATCCTATCGATGATCCCCAAATCCGGAATATGGAACGATCCATCACGCTTATGTTTGAGATTCGAGACTTGCTTCGGATCCATAGTATAGCTGATGATATCGCATTGAAAAGGAAGGGGAAAAAAAAATCATTTATAATCCACCTCTCTCTACCCCGTTTGTCATTCAGATCCAAGCCAATCCACTCGTTTACAAATGTGCCGAGCTAGGGCCTGGGCAGTGGGTAGCTCAAAGACTGTGCAAATCGGCATATCCACGCCAACCCGCTTCAGTTGGCGCTGCAATCGCCATACGTCGATAGAGTTCCCCCCAGCTTCGAAGAAAGACACCGAACAGGGGAAATCGGCAAGATCAATGCTCAGACAGGCTGCCATCTCCCGGCGAAGGATATACACAAGCCGGTCGCAAAGGGCATTTTCATCACCATCGCTCTCACCCTCACTGCTACTATCTTCTTTGGTCTCTGGGAAGGTATGTGCTAGACGTTTCTCGATGACTGGGCGCGAGAGTTCCAACGACAATCCTTCCAAGACACATCGTAAGGCCTGATCAATGACCGTGATGGTGGCAGGCGCAATCTGGTGATGGTCATATTCAGTACGCAGAACCCAGTGGTCCACTTCCAGCTCCGTCCATTCGAACATGAGCAAAAACTTGGAGCCTGGCGCGTAGCACATCTCACGCTGGACATCGAGCCCGTCGATATCGAGGCAGTCCTCAATGGCTCCCTTCAAATGGAATGTGACCATAACTTCAAAGATCGGATGCTGCCGGATGGTGCGCGGGATGTGGAGGGTGTCGAGAATCTGCTCGAAAGGGATTGCATAAGCCACTGCCTTTTGGCTCGCTTCGCGCACTGATTCCAGGATGCCTGCACAGTCTGCATTTGGTGGAGTCTTGATGCGCAGTGGCAGCCTATCCAGGAATAAACCTAAGGACCGTCGCTCGAGGTCGGACGTTCTATTTTCCCACGGACAGCCTAAAACCACGTCATCGGTCGCGCAGAGCCACTGCAGCATCTGAGCAGTCGCGGCACAGACAATCTGGTGCTTGGTCACGCCGTACCTTTGCGTCAATGCTCTGAGTCCGTGAATCATGGTCCCCTCAAAGTGGCAGGTACGAGACGTGCCCTCAAAGCTCGTTTGAGTAAGGTGACGGTTGATGGAGAGTCGTTGAGGCGCGCCGTCGAGGTAACGTGTCCAGAAGTGGCGTTCCTCAGGCGTTGCCTTGCGAGACCAGGCAGATGCTTGCAGATAGTTCCATCGATTGACTTGGGCAGTCGAGCCTCGATAGACATCTGCTGTTTCCCGGAACAGATTCTGTACGCTGTTTAGATCGGCAATGGCATGGCTGATGACAACCAGCAGAGTCTTTTGGTCCATAAAAACACGGATGAGCTCATCACGAGCCAAGTCAAAGCCCCTGGCAATCTCTCTCGCAACATAAATTGATCTGCATTCCTGCACTTGAGGTGGAGCATTGCGGAAGACCCGAATCGGTCCCGTCGAAGCCTCAATAAAATTACTGCGGAGTACTTTGCGTGATGCTAGTACCGCATTCAGAGACTGAATAAGGAGCTGGCGGTCGAATTTTCCATCAAGATGGAGGAGGACAGGGATGTTGAACGTGCGGACATCCGACGCCACCAGATACTGGAACCAGGTCTGACGTTCCAACTCAGACAGATAATGATCAGGAAGGGCCTTGCAGATGGGCAAGTTCTTGGACAGGGGAGCCTGACGTTGACGAGACTTGACCAGGCCTGTCTGTTCTTCCAACGTGGGATGCTCAATTACGTCCCGTGTCGTCATGGCGATGCCATAAAAGCCCGCAAGACGAGCAGCGAGTAGCATTTGCAAGATAGAGTGACCACCTAGGCGCCTGAAGTCATCGTCGGGCCCGAGTGCTACATTGTCCACCAAACGAAGTAATATTTTCCAAATTCCCGCAATTCCCTCGGCAATGGGGTCCAACAGAGGCCCGGTCGGAGGAATTGGTGATTCAGTCTTACCAAGGATGCCGATTTCCTTCAATCTCTGATAGTCCACCTTGCGGTTTGTTGTCCAGGGGAATTCATCCAGGGGCGTGATAATCTGCGGTACCCAGCTTGGCTGAAGGGTTTTTCGGAGTCTCTGTTCCAGGCGGGCCACATCAATCGAAGAAGGCATGACAAATGCAACCAGGTTGTCATTAACGACCAGTGCAGCGGCCTGTACTAGCCGTGGCTCCTCTTCATACATTCGCATCTCGACCGAAACAAGCTCTACACGATATCCCCGAACCTTTACTTGGCGGTCCACTCGACCGACATAGCAGATCTGCTGGTCATTTGTCCAGTATCCGTAGTCGCCAGTGCGATACATTCGCTCGCCATCATGCCAGGGATCAGGCAATACGCGATGTGCTGTTTGCTGATCATCCCCGATGTACCCGCGCATCACCTGTTGGCCAGCAAGGAATATTTCCCCAGTGGCACCATCTCGCACAGGATGTAGCTCTGGAGTTAAAATATACATTCTTGCGGTTTGGATTGCTTGCCCAATTGTCACCTGTTGGCCGGGAACCAACCGTGTGAATGATGTGCAGATAGAACACTACATAAAATCATCAGCGGGTTGTGCATGTCCCTTGTGCTGGCTGTTACATACCTCAGCGGGGCCGTATGCATTGTAGAATACGCGATTTGCCGCCCACCGATCCAATAACCCTGGGGTGACAGGTTCTCCTGTGGCATAAACCTGTTGTGAATATTTTTTAGTTATTGAACAGAACAATAGTGCCTATTGAACCTGTGAAAAGCACCTAGGAAGTGACTTACCATGCGTAGATTAGGATATTCAGCCGGGTCTAAGGCGCTCATCACGGAGGGAGTTATAGTCGCGACATCCACTTTTGCAAGGTGAGCCAACGGGTCGCTGGGTTCACGAAGAACCAGAGTAGCCCCATGAAGCAGGGCCGAAAATATCTCGTTAGCGCAGTAATCAAATGCCGGGGACATGAATTGAGCAATACGACGACCTGGACAGCCGAACATGGTGGCTTCTGGGTTCGACTGTAATGCCAGCAATCCCCGATGGCTGATTGGAACACCCTTTGGACGACCTGTCGTCCCAGAAGTAAAGACAATGAGGGCATCATCGTTCGCTTTTGCGGGTAGGGGAAGACGGTGAGATACCGCATCGCACGTGGTATGGCTCAGCAGATCCGTGACAACCAGTACATGGATATCCGGCAACTGCAGCACAGCAGTGGGACAGGCATTCGGTATCAACAGCGCATCCGCTCCACTGCGAGTATATACTTCAACCCGACGATCCATCGAATAGGCGGGGTCGAGCGGACAGTAAGCTGAGCCCGATTTGAGGATGCCCAGGATCCCAACGATCCAGTTGATAGAGCCATCAGCGTGGATAGCAACTGTCTGTGCATTGGGGATGTCTCGGCGAAGCCGGGCACACACCGTATCAGAGAGCTGGTCTAGTTCCGCATAGGACAAAGTGCACTCCGATCCTTCTAGCGCAGCAAGATGAGCATGTCGGTCTGCAGATACCTCGAAGGCCTCTGCGATATGCGTCTCTGGAGTGTAATGAGACCGGGGCGCACCACATTCCATTTCAAACGTCGAGTTGTGACCGAATTTCTCAAAAGCACCCTCTGCATAATCCAGCCAGCTACCGATCGTCGTGGCATCGGGCAATGTATTTAAGGCGCTTTTCATAGCTTGGGATAGCGTATGCATGCGTCGGTCACTGTGGGCGGCTGGGTCATACACCAGACGGAACCCAGCGTCGTTTTCGGCTAGGAGGCTAAGAGAAAAATGTGGTGTTTTCAAAGAATCGTTCCTCTTTCGGGGCGAGGGTAGGCTCAATTTGCGGGAAGTCGTACTGTGTGGCCATCAAGTTGTCCAGCCGGTAGCCAATCTGATCTGACGACGACCATGCATACGCACTGATGGTCGCGAGTCCCTCCATGACGGCCTCAAGCTGCTGTGCAATGGATGCATCTCTTCTCAGCTCGCAGAGGAGGGGCAATGTAGCCATCAGCGGCCCGATCGTGTTGATGTGCTCCAGCTGGGTCTCGCGGCCAGAGAAAACTGCTCCCACGACCACCAGGTGCCGGCCTGTATACTGTGCCAGTGCCATCGCCCATGCGGTATAATAGACGGTGGCCAAGGTGACTTTGCATTCCTCGGCCAGTCTCTGTATCTGCGGCAGATGTTCTGCACACGAAAAGCGTATTTCCTGAGCACGGTATGGGGTGTTACTGATCTCCTGCGATCGACACTGGTCATCCAGAACTGGGAGCGACCGCACTGATTCTAAATAATCGGTCCAGAATCGCCTCGCTTCACCATCCCGTTTGTCCTGGATCGCTAACAGTCCCTCTGAGGCATCCAGAAAGGATGAACTCTGGGACAGGTGCCCCCCTTGCACCGCTCGCTGCACTTTGGCTAGGATAAGCCCGACTGAGTAGCCGTCGAGCAGCACGTGGTGAGCCGCCCAATTGATTGTAATTTCACCGGTATCTCCCGATCCGGGCTCATCACCCGTATCATTGGGCACAAATTTGATGAAGTCCAATCGCATACCGAGGCCGACATATAAAAGAGCAGGATCAGTCACGGCAGCCTCATAATCTTCGCGTCGCCGGAAAGTGAGCTCCACGGGGCCACAGAAGTGGCTGCGAACTTTTGACGTCTCCGACTGGCGCAGGTGAGGAGCATGCTGTATCTGCACGCCACAGGCGACATCAAGGGAGACTTGTGTCCGGAAGACAGGCTCACACTCAATAACCCGTCTCCAGGCGTTGCAGATACGCTCCGCATCACTCAATGGGTACGTCAACTGGAGCTGGTTGGTGTTGGTGCCATTGCGCTCTAGAGTGGGAGCTGCCAGCTCTAGCTGCAAAGGAGTTAATCGGCCGATTTGAGTGTCCAACGGCAACAACAGCTTCCCCAGATGCAACTGTGCCGCTACCTCCGCGCGTAGTGCTGATAATTGCTGCGTTGTATTTCTACCATCCGGCTCTATAGCTGGAGCTATTGGCTGCAAGGCATGCGCACAGCGAAGAATGCCATGCAGTGTCGGATGGCGGTAGATGTCTTGGGTAGTGATAGAGATGCCACGTTCACGACAGAGTGAGCTGAATCGGAGAGCTGTCAGTGAGTTTCCGCCCAAGGCAAAGAAGTTGAAATCTATCTGGGAACGCGGGATGTCTAAGCCAAGTGCGGTGCACATGCATTCAGAAACAGCTGTTGCCAGATTAACTGGCAGCTCAGACTTCATAGAAGGATCGTCAACAGCGGAGCCTTCGTATATGATCGCACTGGAGGCTGCAAGAAGCCGATATTGACTTTGGTCAAGCAACTCGGAAATAGCCCTGCTGTCAATCTTGCCATTGGGGGAGATTGGGAACCGCTCAACGGCACAGTAATGATCGGGGGAATGGAAGGACGACAGTCGTTTTTGTGCCTCAATGCGCAGACTTTCCAGTTCAACGGAGGCTGGTGTTACCAGAACCACCAAGCGTGACTTTATTATGCTCGCATAGACATCGCTGACGCCAAAGCCCATCATCCTCAACGGCTCTTCTACATCAGCGGCAAGATTCACCAAGAAGCCACGGTTCTTCACTGTTCGATCAGAGCGCCCACGGAAGTCCATCACACGAGCCCCATCGTTGCGACGAATCCAGCGTCCCTGATCACCCGTCCGATAGACTCGTGTGCCACGCCAGGTAATGAACCGCTCGGCTGTGAGCGCAGGATTGCGATAGTATCCCTCCGCCAGACCAATTCCGGAAATGACAATCTCGCCCTCCGTGTCATAGTCATCCACTAGAGTGAGATCATCCCGAAGCAGGTATACCGGTGCCTGTGGCATGGGACTGCCAATGATGCTACTGCGAATCGTTCCCGTCTCGCTGGAGACCTCCACATCTTGCATCAACGACGCACAGGTTGTCTCTGTGGGGCCATATGCGTTGAGAATTCGCACACCAAAATTAAGCCAATGTGACAGAAGCTGTCCATTCGGTGTCTCTCCCCCGAGTAAGATGGTATGGACCAACGGGTAGCTGTCGGGGACAGCAGAAGGCAGGGGGAGAGTGGCCAGGATCGAGGGTGTTGAGGCTAGGATCGAGCATGTCTGTGCTTTTTCGTAGAGTGTATCCATAGAAGCTGGCACAACTGTTCCTGAATTTCCTAGAATAGAAAATAGCATGCCGGTCGATGCTGGCGACTTGGGTTAGTTGGACTTTCTCCTTCGTTGACCTATGGATATTGTGTGAAAACGACTAACCATCGAATGCTACCGACAATATATGGAGCACACGGTCACCGGCTTGGACATCCATATTGAAGGGACTGGTATGCCCGTAGTTGACTATCGCGCGATGGGAGATCATGACACCCTTTGGCTTGCCTGTGCTGCCACTGGTGAAGATGATACAAGCCAGAGCTTCGGGGGCAGTGATGGTACTGACTTCAGTGGCGTTATCGCTGCTGCCATTACTGCGCGGGATTTCGACCTTCTGGAGATGAATAATGGTATATTTGTTGTTCTCAAATGAGGCACCAGTTGTGTTGATGAGGAAACGGCTATCAACCGAGGACAGCACGGTCTCAATGCGTTCTATAGACCAAGAGCTCCGGTCGAGGGGAACGTAGCAGGCTTTCGCCTTGAGCACAGCAAGTAGAGCAATAATGTTAAGAGTGCCATGCTCGGTAAGAAGACACACGATGTCGCCTTTTTCTACGCCCTGCTGTTGCAACTTCTGTGCTAGGTATGTGGATGCCGCATCGAGGTCGGTGTAGGTCAGTGAGCCACTCTCATGGTCCACTGCCAGTTGGTTGGGGTGCGCCGCACCGAATGAGCAAAAAGCTCACACAGATCCGAGGCCTTCTGCTGCATCACTGCTTCGGCAAGAGATCAAATGAGAGCGAATTTGTTGGAAGGGGAGAGCGCGTGGACCTAGGACCAGCGAAAGGAGGGAGTCAAACGGTTGATGTATTGTATCATCTCGATCACTCAGCACAATTATCCGCGGCGGCATTGAGCGTTGTCGACCTCCGGTAGTTCCTGTATGATCTCTGGGGCCCCGAGAGCTCGGTCGCCCTTGTGCAAATCTCTCTCCGACGGCGGCCGATAAAACGGAGTCCGTTTTTGGTCCCACGTCCGACGAGCGGATTTTTGTTGTTAATGACTTTACGGTATGCCCGATAGTAATTCAAGCATGAACTCGTTCGCTCTGGTTTGATTATGACAAATCCAATTCCCATCATCATCTGTCTCGTGCTGGCCCTCGCGGCCTCTCGGCAAACTCTTCACTGGCTGGTCTCTACATTGATTGATGTAAGCTCTCGCACTCCTGTATTTCACCCCGAAGATTCTGATCAGTTGTCTTGTCAGGCCTTTCTTCGTTGGAAATATCCTCTGCTTTCGCCTACTGGAATCAGGACACTTCCCCATGCTCGCTTTTCCTGGCCCAACGGCCAAGGTACGGAGAAATTCTTTCAAGGGCGTTCTGTCGCTCGGGAATGGCGCCAGCGGTGGGGCCCTATTTACCAAATATGGTCTGGTTGGACGCCAGAAATGTACGTGTTTTCGAATAGTAAATAGTAAGCCGCTGAGAGAAGAGCTGATGACTGGGCAGTGTCTTAACCACACCTGCGCATGCGGCCCAGTTCTATCGCACCTCGCACCGTCATACAAAGGCAAACAATAACAACTCCGGATGGCTTTTTGGTGAGGTGCTCGGGGTCTGTGTCGGACTGCTAAGCGGTTCCGACTGGCGACGAGTGCGGCAGCACCTCGAGGAGCCATTCTCCCGCCCATCTGCCACGCGATACACCGCAAGGTTTGTAACCCAGGCTCAGGAATATATCAGGGATGACCTTCAAGCGGGATCGGTTTGTCTCACTAAGATACCGGGGGCCATCAGTTTTGAGCCTGCCCGGGCACTCCAGCTTTTCCCCTTCTTCACAATGGCGGAGATTATTTTTGGACCCCTCAGTACATCACAACGCAAGGTCCTAGTCAGCCTGGCGCCCCTTCGCGAGGAATTGTTCAAGGAGGTCATTCGCGGTGGCGTCAATCGTCTTTCGATCGCCCCATACCTACCCTGGTCAGGCGTGGGACTGTTGAAAATCTTCCAGAAACAGTGGCAGAGCTTCGTGGAAGACGCCTATTTGCTCGCTATACAGGACAAGCGAGCACCATTTCTGCCGGTCGTTTCTCTCTGGGAGGCATGGAAAGCTGGCAAAATTACGGAGCGCGAAGTACGTACTGACTGGTCCCCAGAAACTGAAATTGACAAGCCATTTAACTGGAGATAATTGAGTCAGTGTTTTCAAACGCTTGACGAGTCACTGTACGCCAATCTTGATGTAACCACGCATGCTATCTCGTGGAACATGCTGTTGCTGGCACAAAACGCCCCGGCTCAGACGCGACTGAGGGAAGAAGTCGTTCAAGCTGTGACTAACACCGCAGCTGAGCCATATGAGCGCTTTATCGATCGTGACGATACCTTTCTAGCGGCCTGTATAGTTGAATCTTCAAGACTCAGGCCGATCCTACGTGAGTCGATCCCGTTGTGGCCCTACAACGGGCAGGGAATCTGATACTTACCGCTGATTTTCCCCCTTCAGCTTTCTCTAATCCCGAATCTGCCCCGGAAGATCAGTTTGTGGATGGCTACCTCATCCCAAAGCACGTAAGTAGCCATCGTGCCGGAAGGAAGATGCTAGATGCTCAAATACCTAATCATGCTGACCATCACTCACATTCGCTTAGACCAATGTAATTGTCGATGCTCAGTCAATCAACATCGATAACCCTTTCTGGGAAAATGGTACCAAGTACGACCCGACTCGCTACCAGAAATTGAAGAAGGAGGAGGTTAGATCGCCATGGCACCGGACTCATTTCTTCCAAGGTTCCTCTGCTGATGTCACTCTAGGTGCGCTATAATCTTTGGCGCTTTGGCTTCGGACCCCGGCAATGTCTTGGGAAGAATGCCGCGGAGCGCATGATGAGGGCTATCACAGCGGAGATGGTGCACCAGTATGTTTTGTCTGTTCCGGAAAATGTAGCCAGCCAGCTCGATGCAGTACAGGAAGACAGCTGGGTTGGCTTACCCTCCCTGCAAATGGAGTGTGTGCCGGTCACCCAGGATCTCTCGCCGGGTAATCAGTCGCATGACGGGGTGCCATAGACATGTGTTGTAATTCAGAGGAACGATTGATTGTTCTGTTATTCCTGAAGGGAGTACAACAGACTTATGTATATACAAAGTGAGGTCCAGGTTGATTTCCAACACTTGATTCTTCGTATAAATGTGAAGGAATTATTTCCGATGATGCGGCTTGGTTCCTGATCTGCACCAGCCATAGATTGGACAATGGATCGGGCGATGCTAGAGTGCTAGATCTGGGGGAGGTTCTACGGGGGAGGTCTAAGGTTGATCCAGGGAGAGAGCGGGATATACCGGCAGTTTTATTGGGCGTGTAATCCTCAGACCACACCCACCCGGGCAGGTGCTGTCCACGTGATGAGCAGGTTGTTTACACAAACCTCAAGAAGTCAGGCATAGTTTCCTTCCATCTTTATAGAGAATTCTTGATTGTAATTGTTATTTACATGGATGTCTAATAGCTCAGACAGGTCGAAAGTCGATAGCACACGGCCATGCCCGGCGGAGTCGGTGGACCTTCTCGATGCGCCAACCTCCTAGCTGCCCTAGACGCTCCCAATCTTCCATTGACCGTTCTTTGCCATTGCAAGTAATCATCATGACCAGATCACCATAACGGGGTAGTCTACCTGAGCGACCGGGCACCTTGATGGACTCAAAGACAATGAACCGACTGACTGGCGACGCGACAATGCTGCGCCGCACATTGCGAAGGATGGTGATGACGTCGTCGTCCACCCAGTCATGTAAGCACCATTTCATGGTATATACAGCTGACGCGGGGATCTGTTTGAGGAAGTCTCCAACTACCAGCTGCTGGACCCGTGGACCGATATCGGCAAACTTGCCAGTAGCCTCCCGGAACTCAGGGGTGACCAGGTCGATGACGGACTGTAAATCCATGATCCCCCCAACTAAGTTGGGATGGCCGCGGAGTATCGAGGCAAGGAATGACCCCGAGCCACCCCCAAGATCCAGAATGGGGTGCTCACATCCGATATCAGCCCAGGGATAGTCGGCTACCAAGCCCTTGGCCTGCGCAACTGCCCCTGCCCCGAGGGTTTTCTGAAACTGAGCAAGTTTCTCCTGCTGGGAGAAATACTCAAACAGGTCCAAGTCTGTACCGTATTCGATTTGTGCGGCCGTTCGCCTTTCTCCCAGCTTCACCGCGTCCGGCATCGACCGGCTCACGTTGAAAAACTCGTTCGGATATAGGTCCGCCCACAAGTGCCATTGAGTCCAGTGCTCATGGCGGAGCAGGTCAGATGCCCGGTTGTTCCTGTACGTGTGCTCGTTTTCATCATAGGCAAATATGCCGTTGTTAACCAGCGTATCAAGGAGCTGCGAGAGACGCTCTGGCTGGATTCCACAGCGCAAGCCTAGCGTTCTCACTGGTTCGGGCCCACTCTTGGCTAGATGATCGGCCACGTGGGCGTCGACCACGGTCCAGAGGACTTTACTGTTGAGATATCCTGCCAGAGGGTGTAAATTAGCAGGCGCCGTTCAATCCCAGGGCACTGTCGTCTTACCGAAGAAGCCATCTGTGAGCAGTGACACGGACGGAACGAGTTGCAGTTGTATATGGTCCATTGTGTCCACCAACCTAAGCGCCACTTGCTCTAGCCCGGGGTCTGGTAATTGATCGGGGTCATGCAGCTGGTTCTCTATCAACGAAGCGATTTCAGGGGACTGGATTGTAACCAGGACCCGCTGTACATGACTTTCTAGCTCATTAAGTTCGTGAAGTACCTTCTGCAAGTTCGATGCATCTGACGTGTTCTCGTTTGCTGGCAGAAGGTCTTCTGTCCGCGAGGGTGCCATTATTGTGAGGATAGTATCTCTTGCTCATTCCGTTTCTTTCGGAATCTAAAAGAAACTGTATTTGGAGATGTATTGGGCTTTTTAACCCAGACGACTCGATTTCTTTTAATGGACAAACCTTTGAATCCGCCTGCACGTCTGGAATATTGAACTGGACGGGGATTTATTCCGAGTTTCGGTGACCGAGTACGATAGCACGGACGGAGCGCGAGCTGCCATGGACAACAAAGCCGACGGTGATAGCAGATACCGACCACGTTACTATCTTTGACAATCCCAGATAGGGTCCAAGAGTGTCTGGAGGCTTAGTTTACGGCGTTGCTTTCCAGGCCTATAATATCCGGTTAAAGGAATAGACAGGTGCCTGTTTTCCCTAGAAAGCCAATCAGAGACCTGCATTTCTGTCGTATCAAATATACAATAGAAACTAGCCTAGGTAATCAACAGGCTTGCACGAGCAGAGAGCCCGCATCCACTCCTACGAATGGCAAGTGGTGCCTAGGCCCCTATAACCAATTTCTAAGAGAGCAAGTCAGAATGCTTTCCTAAAGTCCATATCGAATCTCCAAAGGAAAAGAAAGAATAAAAGCATCAAGCAGGAAGACAAGTATCTGGACTGTGATTCCGCCGCCTTCTTCGACCTTGTCATCCTAGAAAGCATACCAAATACGCAGCTTCATCGAACTTTCAGGGTAGAGATATAATATGAAATTGCTGTTTACATAGTTCCCCTCTTCCCTCTTGCACAATCTTACTTTCTCAGGGTGTCATCTGCTCTCGGCTTATGCTACATGTCCGTATTCCTTCTCACCATGTCCAAAACTAGCACATCGCTGCCACGCACGTTTCACGGCCTCTCGCTCCCCCATGCGGATGGACCATTCCTGCAATTTGGGCCACTTTCTCAGTTCATAACCAAAAAGGTCCGCGGTAGACTCCATCGCAAATGGCAGGGAGGCAATATCCGCAATCGTCGGCCGATCTGGGAGAGCCAAAAACAACTGGCCTGGCTTATTCAAGCGTTTCTCGAGGATGTCATATTGCACTGCAATATTCTGAGAGAGTTTTGCAATAGCTTTGGGGAGTTTCTCGGGGTGAAGTGCATGGAAATACAGCCAGTATTTGGCTGTCGGGCCCAACGCAGCCGTGTGGAGAGTCAGCCAATTGGCAATCTCTGTACGTTCGCCTAGAGTCCTACCCCCAAACTTTCCGTCGAGGTCGTAGGCATCGGCGATGTAAGTCAGTGTCGAGCTTGACTCCCATGCGCGCACGCAGCCCTTGCCGTCGGGTAATTGGTCCTCAATGGCGGGCACCATCTTATGTGGGTTGATATCGCTGAACCATGGCGCGGAAACCTTTTCAACCACGTAGATATCATGTGGGATTCCCAGCTCCTCGAGCAGGATTAGTGGCTTCACGGTGTTGTGGGTTGATGTGGCGGTTCCTGAGGGTTTCCCCCGCTGTTCAGCGCTCAATGTTCCATCACTTGGATGCTGCTCTTGCTACATACCTTTCACAACAAAGAGTACCAGCTTATTTGCTGGAATATCAGAAGGCCTAACATCCATAGTGAGTGATTTGATAGAATACGATGTGGCTTTTCCATGTATATTATTGTAGCTCGTAAGGTAGACTATCAAGTTTCGGGGTTACCCTAGTCTGAACGCCGTCCGAATTTTCGGCCACCGTGGGTATTACAACAGATCCAAAGTGAATAGGTCCATAACGAGACATTTTTCTACTCATGGGCTTAGCTAGAATTCGAGCACCTAGCATAGCTCACCTCCTCGACAACATGGCTGGCGACAAGGGCATTTGGTACTTCGCCTATGGCTCCAACATGCGCTCGTCCGTTATGAAACGACGAGGAATCACTGCGCTGGATGCCAAATTGGTTGTTGTTCCCTCGCACTATCTCACGTTTGACATTTTCGGGATCCCCTACGCGGAACCCTCTTTTGCTAGTATCGCCGCCTTCGTGCCAGAAAAAGTCACGATACTGCAAACAGCATCCCCTGCAAGGCACACATTGGTCCCTGCCGCACACGGTGTCGCATACCTCTTGACCCCTGCAGATTACCGCCAGCTAGTAATCAGCGAGGGTGGTGGAGTCGCATATGATGAAATCGAAGTCGATGCCGAAATCCTCCATCTGGATGATGGTGGGCATGAGCCAACGAAGTTGGTGGCGCGGACTCTACAGGCCAAATACCCCTGGGAGCCCAATGGGTCTCCCAGCGCACGATATCTTGTTTGTCCACCTCCCGCGATCCATCGGGAGAATCTCCAATCTCCCCTAGCAATTAATCGAGCTAATCCTCTCCGGTTATTCCGTGATCTTATAGGGCCTCCTCTCTGAAGGATGTAAGGAGTGGAAGATACCTGAAGACTATTGCACTTATATCGACTCGCTTCCCTCATACCACCCCCCTGGATCAATCATCACGCGTGTGGGCGGAATGATTTTTCTCTCCTTTTGGCGCCCACTTCTGCGTGCTTTAGTTCTACTTATCAAAGCAAAAACGGATACTCATGGACACTGTCCCAGGTGGTTGGGATGGGTGATTATGACTATGTATGGACTGATGTGGATGTGCCATGACAACATTCAATCCAGGATTTGGGGAAGGGGAGATGGCACGAAGTTGAACTTTCTGGCTGTATGATATATATGTAACTATGGAATACATTGTCATTGCAAAATCAACTTGTATCGTGGAAGAGGTATATTGTGAGAGGCTAGGGAAAGTGTGCACTTATGTTTATATCATGACTCCTTGTGATGGGATAAAGAGCTTGATTAAGATAGCGGCAAACCATTTCAAATATCTAGTAGCCAAATGAGGAAATGCGATAACGCGATATAAATGCGCATATATACTAATTCACGACGAATACAACGTATAAAGATGGGAAGTCTCTAGGCTGTAATGTATAGAATCGGTTAAGGTCAAAGTCTAGGCCGTAGACAGCCTGACTCAGTTCACGCCTCTCCATTCTCCTCTTGCGCAGCAAGGGCACGCGCACCCTCTTCGTTACAGAGCTGAAAGGATACCCCCGAGGCTGCGCGAACTCCTAAATCATCAATTCAGGTTAGCCAAAGTGTCACGTCTAACGTGGAAAGTAAAGAGTTGTGTTACACACCAGTACCCATAGCAACAGCTACTTGCTTCAACAACTGACCACCATCGCCAGCCACAAAGCAGCCCGGCAGACTGGATTCACAGAAGAGTGGATTGACCATCACTTCGGCACTCTGCTCCATTTTCGCGAGCCCCAGCTGATCAATCAAATTCTGTGATCGGTTGATGGTCGGGGGCTTATGCAATAGCATACCGAGAGTGATGGTCTGTGTATCATCGAATTCGATGCCGATGGTGTCCCCTTGGTTCATCAATCGTCGAATTGGTCTCTCGTCAATCTTGACGCCACTCGCAGACGCCGTGCGAAGCGCCTTCTGGACACCTGTATCGCTTGATAACGGCCCATTGCTGTAGATAGTGACGTCCTCTGAGAACTGTAGGCTCATGAGAGCAAGCCCCAGGTATGCTGGGGAGGAGAACTCCAAAATTCCCACAGGCTGACCCTGCTTTTCATAGCCATCACAGAAGAGGCACTGATAACTATAGAACGATGTTCGTCAGTTATGAAGTGGCGATTCTGATTGCGGGTCTAACTTACATGTGCGAAGGCCAGTTTTCCCGGTATCCATCAATGTTCGTGGGCAGCAGATCCTCTGACCCAGTAGCCAGAATCAACTTGCGCCCTTTGTAGACGGTCTCATCTGTATCAGTAATCTGATACCCCATGTATCCATCCCCGATATCCGTCTGGGAAGCCTGCGAGACTTGGGCACTGGAGAACTGGATACGGGGATACTTCTCTTCGATCTGACCGCGAGCGATCTGACGGAACTCGGTTGGCGGAATGCCGTCCCGCGACAGAACTGTATGCATGGCTGACACGCCCAGGTTTCGATAATGACCGGAATCAAAGACCAGTGCCGTGCGTTGGACTCGTGCGAGAGCCAGGGCTGCCGATAGGCCTGCAGGGCCACCTCCGACGATCAATGCGTCGAAAACGAATTTTGTCATATTCATCTTTTTCCGATAGAAACAACAGTTAGAAGAGATAATGTGAAGCGGAAAAGGGGGATATTTTCGGGGACTGGGTCTTTGCTTTTGAAGTCCTTCTACCTCGGAGACTTCGTGAGAATGTCTCCGTCATCCGCTGCGGGTGACTAGAAACACCACGTCGGATACATTTGACGGAGAATAAAAAATGTTTTAAAAATAAACAATACTCCGTACTCCGTAGACTGTGCTGTAATAGTCTAATACGCTCATACTTTCCATATTTCTCAGGGGTACTCAACCCACTTTTGTGCATGATATATATTCAATTCGGTTCTTTACCTCTAGCCCTCGGTGTATGTTGTACCTGTCCATACTCCTTGTTCTTTATTTACTTGATGATAAGCCAATTCTGTTTCATACCACCAGGAAATCTTTGAAATTGAGTACCTAGGTAGTATATAGAAGCAAGGAAGGCCTCTAGGGTATCTTACTAAAAGGAAGACCAGGTCTATCCTACCGGGGTACTCATATGCAGAAATCACTAGTGCCAAGTAACAAAAGCAGCACCGGAGACATTTCGGACACTTTGTAGCTACACGTATTCAATGTCTTTGCTTTATGTCTTCCTCCCTAGCTCAGCTCATCAAAACATTCCTTGCCTTGGTGATTTCTAATTTCTGTTGATTAGGCCTGTCTAGAATCCAAGATCAATACTGTTAAATAGTTCAATTTTGCCCTGGCCGTTGTGTCATTACGTTCAATCAAAGCATATTTTATATATATATTACTGAGTTATTAAGTGCTGTCCACCAAGGTTCTTCACATACTTTTTGGGTACTGTTCTCTTTCCGTTATGCCTCACATACTACCGCCATATGGCGACCGCACCAAGCCCTCAGTGGCTTGGGCAGTCGTCACAGTCGCCTGTATCGTTAATTTCCTCGACCTCTTCCAGAGTTCCATGGTCATGTTTGGCCTGGCTGACATCAAAGAGGCGCTGGAATTCACCGATGGCGATTTGAACTGGATCTTGGTTGCGTACACGCTGACCTTTGCTACGATTCTCCCTGCCGGGGGCCAATTGGCTGACCGTGTGGGTTTGCGTCTCACCTTTCTCCTTGGCACTTTTATGTTATTCTGGACGAATATTCTCATCTCTTGGACCCCAGATCGAAATGGCCTGCTTGCTGGTCGAGCCTTGGCGGGTGTTGGGGCTGCATTGACGGTAGGTTTCTTGCTTTCTGTGCATTTATCTCAAATATCTTTCTGACCATCTCAAGTGCGCAACTGGCATATCCGTCATCAGTCACACATTCCCACCCGGCAAAAATCGAAATGCTGGACTAGCAATCTACGTCTCATGTGGACCAATTGGCACGGTGCTGGGCGTCATCCTTGGGGCACTGCTCACAGCGTCTCCGGCTGGTTGGCGCTCAATGTTCTGGGTGAACTTTATTCTGGCCGGTGTTGCCTTTGTGCTGGGCTTCTTGATCATCCCGAACTTTGACCGGGATACGACGCGTGGATTTGATTACTATGGTGTGGCCACTTTCATGGCTGGCACCTGCTTGTTGATCTTTGGATTGAATGATGCGGTAGACTTGGGCTGGAAGCATCCTGCCGTTATAGTCACCATCATCGTAGGTGCCCTGCTGCTCATCGCGTTCCCACTTGTGGAACGTAAGGTCAACGAACCGGCGGTACCACTGTCGATCATGCGCAACCCCCATGTGCTCGTTCCCTTGACTGTCTTCATGTTTGTTGGTGGCGGTTGGTGAGTGATCCCATTTAGCTCAACATTTTGTCAATCATAATCTCACTCATACTAACTTGTTTGACAGGGTCACTTGGTTCTTCTTGGCCACAGAGATTTGCCTTAACTCACTCCACTACAAGACGGTGCTTGCGGCCTGTTACTTCTTAGTACGTATAACGAGATCAACCTAGCATCAACCCCCGCTAATTCTCTCTTTCGCATAGCCTGCAACCGCAGTTTCCATGATCGGAGGTGGCATTGGCAACAAGTTAGTCGGTATGGGTCATACGAAAATCGTCATTGTAGCCGGATATGTCATCAGCGTGGGCGCACTCGTCCCCTGGGGCTTTGTCGGGCCCCAATTTGGCATTTGGTATGTGATTGTGTTCTCGATGTTCTACCTGTTTGCAGCACCCGGGATTGCAGTGGCCGCGCAGGCCATCGTATTGAACGAGATTCCTTTGGATGATCACGGCACTGCGGGGGCCCTTATGAACGTCATGTATCAATTCGGAAGTTCTCTCTTCCTTGCGGTTGTCAATGTCGTGATGGGGAGTACTGCACGGACTGGGGAGATGAGCCACGATCTCCTGGTCCAGTACCATAATGGTATGTGGACCTTGCTCGCATTTACCGCGACGGGCTTGATTCTGTTTGTGGTGTTTTATCTTCCACGAGAGTCCCGTCATGCAGGCATACTCGAGAAGCCCCAGAGCGAGTCCGATGAGGTCAAGGACGAGGAGGAAGCTGTGAGAGCGACCAAAACACCATGAATGTCCTTTAAGTTGATAGAACCTATGGGATTCCATTCCAACACAGTGTTACCCACCTCGATGTCAAATCTGACCCTGTACCTATAATTTAGCTAATCCACACATTACTCATCGTTAATCTTATCTAGTTCAATTTCTTTGGCTTTATTCTAAATAGCGATTTTTCCAAGATGTATTTACCAATCTATTTTGCAAGAAAGGGAGCGTGCCCAAGTAATCTAGGGAAAATGTTATCAAATACGTGGGACGTACTACCTAGGGAGGAAATTCTATCAAACTATATTTTTTTAATACCAAAATCAAGTTCTGGACATTGTTGAAAAGTCGCAGTTAATTCTCATTAAAATGCCATTTCTCGGTTTCAACTTTAACCCTAATCCGGGGATCTCGATGCAGATCTGCAGTATGCAAAGTATGCAGAACCCAATTGACTCCTGCCAAAGGACTAGCGTCTTCAGCCATATGCATGACAATACGAATGGCTATCACACTGTATCGGCGGCCCGGACTTTTCAAATCAGGCTACATTCAGTCCCTTTGGCTTCATTTTTTGCGATTCATGTCGTTGATTCTTACTGTTTCTTTTCTATCTATCATAGTGGGGGAACACGAAAAAGAAGCACATAAATACGGGCTTCTTTCCATGTATGAAGAAATTAGACAGTTTCAATTTTACTTTCCCTGCAGTATTTAGGGGTTTCGGGTTCATACCAATAAGTCTTAGGGAGAAATACTATTTTCACACAGCCAAGACCCTTACTCAAATAGCCCTTCACCCTGCAACCGTGCGACCGCGATGTCCTCCACAATGACGAAGGACACGAAGATCATTGCAATAACAGGATAATGAGCATCTTTGTGAGCTTAATTGTGATGAAGATCAAGGTTGTTGAAGCCTCCTCTCCTTGATCGAGAAAACTGCTAATCTGGGAAGGAAAGCCGTCATATGACAGGAAATAGTTCCTGGTTCAATAATAGTCACGGAGAACTCCAGTAATCAAACCCGAGGTACTCGATTTTCCTCCGAATCAGCCTCAATGGATTTCTTCACTAATCTAATACCATTCGATGTAGGCGCATGATTACATTAGAGTAATGGTCCACGGGTGTTTGCAGACCACTAACCCCTTCCAATGTTGTCGAGACCGCGAAATATAACCAAGCTCGGTGGCTCTCTTCCCTACAACGACCGTCGGCCAATCACAACGTTGATACGCACTGTGAGAGGGAAGTGGTCCATCTCTCGTGCCAATTCGCGAGGCAAGGCGTCCCACTCTGCCTCACTCAACCCCATGGTGTCTCCCTTGGCGCCTAGCAAGGGGAAATTGTCAGAGATTGAACATGCACTATATCGCGGGGAACGGGGACATGAGACAATACGTACTTCGGTAGTAACCCATGAAGGTCTCCAACACATGTAGCATATTGGTACGGCCTAGCCTACCGGCAACAGGGTCCGGATTTCCCACTCCAGCCGCAATGTCATAGGTCGACTCCTTTACATCGTCAAAATCGTACTGACGGACCCATCCAGCTATCTGACCCGCAGCCGTAGGATGGATCAGCAGGCTGTTAGCCAGCTGGCGCAGGACCGTAAAGGCGGGGGCCTGCTGGCGTTCGTGTTCCTGCGAGGCCTCGGACTTGGCCGAGGTCAACATGTCCACCTCAACAAATTGAACCCACCCACCTGGCTTAACCGCATCAAGCAGATAACCAAGTGCTGGTTCATGTTCGGGCAGAGACGGAAACAGAAATCGTTGGTGGACGAAATCGAAGGCGCCTGTCCAGTCGCCCGGGAACGGCTCATTTACGCTTGCCTTGACGAGTTTGATCTCAGCAGGAATCTGATCGGGCGCTGGAAAGAGGTGGTCCCTGATACACGGCAATTTAATTAGTCTTGGTATTGATCTTGGTGGTCATTGCTGCATAATACTGACCCGATATCAAAGGCGACAAAGTTCGACCCCGCTGGGAGCTCTTTAGCCGCATCTAAGCACCAAAAGCCTAAGCAGTGTCAGAAAATAATTCCCATACAATTATGTCGGCCAGTCTCCTCATTCGGAAAATGGTACAAACCATCTGCAGTCGCGGAATCTAGCACATGCATGGGCTGTTCCTGCTCGACTGGGGCAAAAACCAACTTGCCGCCCATCGAGGCCTTGATCCAGTCATGCTGATTGCGGAGTCGTTGTATCTCCGAGGTGGTATGTGGCATGACATATGTATAGTCAGCCGAGTGCTCAGAAGTCTCCGTCATAATGAATTGGGAAACGAAACGAAAGACGACTGTGGTAGATTTAGATTTAGATTTAGGTTCAGATTGAGAGAAAGGTCTGAAAATCTGTACACAATACTATTGTTTCAAGATATAAATACATATACAACATATGGTTTATTTCCATGACAGCGACACAATATCCCATTCTTCACCCCCACAACGGAACGATCCCCGTTCCACTGCGTTTCGGACGCCGAAACTTAGTACTCCAATTGTCCAGTCGATCTCCCGTGTGGCTAACTTAGCGTGTTCTAGGCTTTGACGGCGAGGAAGAGCCAGCCGAGGGGAGAACAGCCCGTGGTTGTCGCGGAGACTTATAGACTGTTCGGAGACTTTGGCTCATGCGAGTCTGACATGCAGGTCCGACGGTATTATACATGTCAAACGAGGAACTACGTTGCAAACACTTGCCTCTTGTCGTATAATCACTAGAACGGAATCGATGCCAAGAGTCGTGCGAGATTATCCTGTCAATCACTTACGCTTTATATACAATGTACACTTTCCGAGGTCGCTTTTCGTGAGTCTGACATGCATATATTGTACATCATAATTAGTCGTTGATATTTTTTTAAAAAAATCATGTTCGCCGTTGATAAGCCGCACAAGGTACCCATTGGAGTTTTCCTCCCATCAGTCACGATCAGCGGGGGCTCATTCAGCGGGGGTTAATGCATTTAAAGGGTTGATGATGTATGAGGTAACCAGCAGGGCCCATATTTCTCATCAGTAATGGGAATGTCGCAATCAGAGTCCGGATCCTCCAGGGTTGATCCCAAACCTCGAAAATTTCGCTCTGCTTGTGACAGCTGCCACCGGAGCAAAACCCGCTGCGCCGGTGGGAACCCTTGCAGTCGCTGTCAGGAGTTCATGACCAGATGCACCTACAGTTATTCCATGCGTGCTGGAAAGCCCAAGGGATCCCGCTGCCGAAAGACACTGGAACGTGAACAGAGGGCCGCCATGGCGGAAGACTCCCACTCCGCCCCGAGGAGGAGCACGCCATCCCGCCCGAGGATGACACCAACCCGCACTATGCGACCTCCCGCTCTCCTTCCTCGTCCTCTCCAGTTCCATCATCCGAAACATTCTGGTCGCCGTCCGATTTTCTCTTCAACCAGACAGCATCCGACCTTGTGCCCTGCGCAGACTGGCTAGGGTCTTCCGCGTTAGATTGGTTACAGTCAGAGACAGTCTCCGAGCCCGTCGACCTGAATTGGTCAACCGGCTCAACAGATCGAGGCCAAGCAAATGGAGCGAACCGGTTTACCTTTGAATTGAGCGCCGACCACAACTTGTGTCTGGATTTTCCAGACCTGCACTACAGTAGTGACGAGCACCCGACTAGCTCCCAGCTGCCGACCCCACTACAGAAAGAGGAAGGGGAATGCCATTGTTTATCGACTTTGAGTACGCTTGTGTCTCGTCAGATCACCGCACGAGATGTGATGCGATACGATGCATCGCTTGTCTTGATCCGCGACGCCGCGCGCGCGTGTATCACATTCTGTCATTGTCCCTTCTGCCCTAAGGATGCAGGGAGCATTAGCCTAGTCGTCACCACGCTGAAACTCATGACCGGCAGCGTGGACCGCTTGATTCAACATCTGCAACGACGCTCAAGCTCGGAATCGAGCAGAGAGATGGATCTCAGTACTGTTCCTATCCCTCCCTCTAGGGAGGAGAGCACACCTCCTAAAATAGGGACAGGGGTGGACCCATCCAAGCCCAATTGGGGGTATACCACACCGCCAAGGAAGATGTTCAAGAACAGATTCAGGTGCTGTCTACGCTAGTCCGATCCGGGGTTAGGAGGATGCTCGAGGTATGCTGGCCCATGTGGGATTTGCTACGTTCGATGCCGTGCTCCACGCCGTCGGCTTCGCTTACCAATGCTTCCTCTTCCCACGCACACAACGGTCCGGATGTAGAATACAATGGAACCTCACTAAATCCTTCAGAGGTTGCCCAGGCTCGAAACACATTGGTAGTCCTGCAGAACCGCCTTTGTCATTTATTGGATCAATGTATTGTCGAATATAGATGATATGTACAGGCTCGGCCCGTATGGTTTCCTTTATTGGATGCTTTGTCAGAAAGATGTTCCCTTTCTATCAAAATACAGAGTCACTTTGGTGTCTGATTTATGGATTTCACTCGAACATACTATTATGATCCGCTCCAATAAACGAAATCACTTTACAGATTGAATTCGACAAATATCACCTAGCCATGTCTCTGAATTTTAACCCCAAACTACTCGGAACAAGTCAGTGCTGAGTTTGAATCCATGCAGAATCTTTCGGTCCCCGAAAAGCGGGGGACCTGAGCATTTCTCGTCCTTGTTTATTCTGATCTTGTTTTAAGAGGTCAGCTTGCCCTAGCAGCTGGTCCTTCTGCGACACGCAGGAGCTTTCGTTGAAAAATAAATACGTCCCAAGTGACTCCCTCACTCCCAGTCTTTCGCAATAGCAAAATGACAATCACCACGGCTTTAGATGAAAAGGTGCAAAGCCTTCGGGAAAGATATATCCTACCCCATAACGTGGAAGAAATTGAGCGAATGCAGAATCAGCATGAATGGGTGAAGGGATGCGCCGACGGTCTGATCAAAGCTCCACTAGATATGACCAGGAAAGACCTTCGGGTCTTGGATGCTGCTACTGCGGATGGTACGTCATGCCATAATGAAGCACGGAAGCTTTTTCTCCCCACTGATTGACAATATCTTCATATACAGGCTACTGGATTCAGGACACAAAATCAATTATGCCAGCAGGAACGGAATTTGTGGGGTTTGATATCGCGTACGTATGAGAATCTGTCTTCTATGAGGGATGAAGAGAACATATCCTAAGGGTTGATGATCTATATACCACAGACCTGACCTATTCCCGCCAACTCAAACCCTCGGCCCGAAGGTGACTCTCTCGGTGCAGAACCTGATCGAGCCCTTCTCTCCAGCTTGGAAGAATGCATTCGACCTCGTCCATGAACGATTTGTAATCTCCCTTTTCAAGGAAGACGAGATTACCCAAGTTCTGGACAACTTACTCTCATGCGTCAAACCGGGAGGTTGGGTCCAATTTGTCGAACCCGACTTCGGCACCTGTGTCTCCCGACCCAAAGACAAAACTTCAGCTTTTCAAATGATACATCAGTTAACCGGTCACGTCATGGCGGATAACATGGCATCGACCAAGCTGGCTGGACGGCTCGAAGATGCCGGTTGGGTCAATATTGGTGTCTCAGTCAGAGACATGATGGCTGGGAATGCGCATCCTGACCCGGCGTTGGGAGAGAGAGGACGGAAGAACATGCTTGCCATTCTGAACTATTTTCAATCCGTCACTAGGTAAGCAGAGAGAGTCCCCCGGGTCCAAACGTGGAAGCTAACTAGATATAACTTTCATTCTACTAGCCCAGAGACATTTGGCCTCTCTGAAAAGGAATGGCTGACTCTACCGGAACAATTTTCACAGGATATGGATCAGCACGAAACTGCAATTCGCCATTACATCGTCTGGGCGCAGAAGCCGGTTGTGTGAGGGAAGATTATTGTTTTCTTGTTTGGTTCCGATTGGGACATTCTTGTTTTGCGGTTCTGCTTCAACTCTGCAACCTGTAGCGGAATGAGGGCTGAGAACAGCGAAAAGTAAGCAACTTACAACGAATGAAATCAATGGAATGGATAAACTCTTTGGTGATCTATATCGCCCTATCTCGGATACCCCGTAATTCTCGTATGCCAATGAAACCTCCCCAGAGCCATCTTCAGAAACTAAGTTCAGTCGCTATTATAATGCATCTGTGGATGTCCTGAGATCAGTCATGAAACAGTGAAACTTCGATGTTCTGTTTGATCATGCCCTGGGCTTTGCGAATCTTTGATTTGTGATTTCTTACTATTTAACAAAAGAATCAGCTTTGGTGGAATAAAGTTCAATTCGTTGACGGTCTCCTCGCTCTAGAAAGTATAAAAGTACTGTTGAATGTAAGACCACAGCTGCACAAAAGGCAAAGCAACCCATGACCTAGTAAAGGATATCTCCCTCTCCGCTGTAAATCTTCGACCTTGGTTTAATAAATGTATTCCTTTCCCTTGCCACTTGTGTTCGGAGCCCATCGCATCTTCAATTCTCCTCAGGCCTTCCAGGAGCTCGGTTTCCGGAAGGGCGAATGTAATCCGGAACCATCCTGGCTGCGCTTCATTGTAACCACGTCCTGCCCCAACGGAAACCCCGGCCGCCTCCATCTTGTCATTAAGGTCTGCCTCACCCTTCCAGGTGTCTTCCAAGTACCCCAGACGGGCCCAGATGTATACTCCGGCAGCGGGTGCATAGAAGGGAATATTGTGGAATGAGAGGAACTCCACCACGATTTGCGATGCCCTCCATAGTTGCAGGCGGCTATGTTCGAGAATTGAATTCATGGTTCCCTCCTCGTCTCTTAGTAGTGCTGTAGTTGCTACTGACGTTAGAGTCGACGTCTTGGAGTGATTCGAAATGCCTAACGAGAGCCGCAGATCAGGATGAGATTGTACAATTGCAAATCCCTGGTAAATAAAGCACAGTAAATATGTCAAAGATATGTCACTCAATAGAAAGAGGGATTTGCTCGGTTGACTCACCAGACGTAAACCGCTACTCCCCAAGTCTTTACTGATACTATACAGTACACACACTCTGGCTGGGAGCACTCTCAGTTGGGCCAGGTCCATTTCTAGAACTGACACAAATCTCCCAGCAGCAGTATTCGATGGGGAGGAATTGATAATCGACAATGCATAAATCTCGTCCGAAAGGAAATACAGATTATTTCGTTCCGCAAATTGCAACAGGGCTTCTATCAACGCTGTTGAATAGAGACTGCCTCGCGGATTATGTGGGTTGCAGAATAGAATGGCCTTGATCGTGCACTTTGCATTTGCCATAGCGGTCTCATAGGCGGAGATATATGATGAGATACCCACATCTCGGACAGATGGGTCCGAAGGCACTTGAACATGGACGGCTTGGACTTTTGCGCGAAGCACAAAGGTAGTCTCAAACCCACCTAGTTATCCACAGTCAATTTGATCCCAATTATTTAGTTGTATGGAGTGCCGGTAGTTGATGATGACTTACCCCAGAACGGCGTCTCAATCAACACCCCATCTCCCGGTTCACAAACATCATACAGAACGCCTTCCAATAAGGAGCTGCACCCCGCACCTGTCACAATATGTTGTGGTTCGACGGCGGTATGTGGATGAAAGTATCGATTGAAGAATCCTGCAGCTGCTTGGAGAAGCTCTACATCCCCACCCAACCCATCCGCGTAGGAAAGGTGGGAGGGAGAAAGATCCATTCCGATATGACGTTTATAAGCATTGATGAGCTCAGATCGAGCTAGCCAATTCTCGGCCGTCATCATGTTGATTCGTCTTTCTTTGGCACTTAGTCGAGCCACTTGACGCATGTGCTTATCCATGAACCATTGGGTATTTTCTCTGGAACGGTCGGATAATGATACAGTAGCTGTGTCTGGGTAGAAGTCTCGAGCTATGTCTGAAGCCCCTATGCCTTCGGGCGATGAATCTGTCGGTTTGGTCATGACTAGCAAAGAGATCGAATGTTGCAGGATGTGCCGTAGGGAGGTCTAAAGAGGTATGAATGAGAACTTTCCCACCACTACAAAAAAATGGTAGGCCTTGGTCGAAGTAGCATCAAAATATTTATAGAAATAATAAGATTTAATCGGAGAAATTGGGCATATTGTGCATTTTCGGTGGCCGATTTGGTGCGTACTAAAGCGACGAGGACGAGTGAAGCCTTTGGGGAGAAAGGCCCTTATAACAAAACGCCATTTAACCGATGAGATTTCACCCCAACTGTTTTTATCCAACAAAAGAAATTGAACTTAGATGCGATGAGCTGTCGCTATATGAATGTGATATAGATGTCTGATTCCTAGGGAGTGCAGCATTCTAACATGCGAATGCTAAATAAACCGGAAAAGTAGCGACATTATATATTAAATAGATTCATAGAACCCTTCAAGGAAAACGATCTCCATCTTCAATCCTTTAGCTTTATAAACAAATATGTATATTGTATCCACGTACATATTTGTTGTATCCCTGTGGACATCAATAGTGTATATGTTGTACATCAATAATAGTACTCCGTACAATGCAACTAAGTCCTAGGTACATATGTTGTCCACGGGTATCTCCAGGGCTAAAGGTTAATATTCTAACTACTATAGCTTTTAGGCAAACTAGTTTAGTAGACCTTATTTATATTAGGAAATAATCGGGATCCTCTTCATAAAAGCATCAAGCAGGAAGACAAGTATCTGGACTGTGATTCCGCCGCCTTCTTCGACCTTGTCATCCTAGAAAGCATACCAAATACGCAGCTTCATCGAACTTTCAGGGTAGAGATATAATGAAATTGCTGTTTATATAGTTCCCCTCTTCCCTCTTACACAATCTTACTTTCTCAGGGCGTGGTCATCTGCTCTCGGCTTATACTACACACCCGTATTCCTTCTCACTATGTCCAAAACTTGCACCTCGCTGCCACGCACGGTTCACGGCCTCTCGCTCCCCCATGCGGAGTGGTTTAAATGCATGTTGTATTGAAAAATCAGTTATCAAGTGGGAATCGTAGTGTTGGTGGGCTTGGCACGATTACGGAGGAGACCTATCATCGGTAAACAAAGAACGCCTTAGGCAGGTATCACGCCTCAGGCACCCAGGGCATAGAATACGGCCCGTCCGACTGGACAGTCAACCGTGGTATAGCAGTTAATCTACCGTGGAAGATGCATGTCAAACCATGGATAATGTCTATAATTACAGCTGTTTGTTGATCTGCAAATGAATAATTGTTTTCTTCAAGCCCTGAAGAGTATCACGGCTCTTTGCCTATATCGGATATCAAGTTTGGTATCTTGTTCCGTGTGACTGCTCCAAAGGCACCATTTTTGAGTGGATCCAACCCAAGGCAACGGTCATAAGTGGTTTCATCACCGGGGAAGTTTGGAGGTACTAACACTGTTGTACTATTGCGTACTATGTACTTTGTTCAGGCCCCACAGGCGATCGCAGCCAACATATATTGTAATCGTAATCTGATCTAAGAATTATTAATGGAAGGGTTGTTTTTTAAAATAGAGAGTGTGGAGGATGGTTCATATGGTACAATAATAGTTACGCAGTTCTATGTGTAAGTTGTTTTTAGATTTTTATCCGGGGCGAATACAAAAGTACGTGGCCACATGAGCCACAATCTGGAAAGATCTGCTTGTACGACATGCATCGTAGACACAAGCTGAGCGCGATCCATAGCTGAGGCGGAGGCAAATCTCCGAGAAGTTTGTCTTGTAAATTGACCAGTCCTATTCTGCATAAAACGTATGACGCTGCACATATGAATCTGACAGAGCTAAAACATTCGTTAGACGTAGTGGCTCTCCTAGTTCCCCGTCACGATGTTAGAGTTCCGCGTGGATTGGAGTCTCGAATGCAAGACAGCTCTAGCCGTCTTAGGCCGGAAAGGCACGGGGGATGATAATCCAATCATAAAATTGGAGCGAGACCCTTTGGCTTAGAACCTACCTAAAGAGGAAAGGTGCTTAACGTAGACCAGTGGGGTTAGAATAGCGCCAACGGCTGTCTCTGAAGCATTCCAAACCAATTGCAATTCAGACGAATCGGGGCTAATGACATCTTCCAGCGGGTCGGTGCAGGTGGAGAAGCCTTAAAAAGCAGAATCCATGGTTCTGGACCAAAAAGAGAGGGGTTTGACTTCATTAAATTAATTAAATTATTAAGTTTACTGTTTTAGACAATTAAAAATATAATTTAAATAAATTTCGAAATTTTCGTACTATTTTGTTTTGCGGATTTTTTGCGGTCGAGTCCGTCTCCGCCTTTCAGAATGGTCCAGCCATGGGAAACTGCCCGCGCGTTTTTGTATGGGACTCTTTCCCCTCCGTAGAACTGTTTCGAACTCTTCTTCCTCTACTCTCCTTGACTTCCCTCCACATTCGCTTGGTCTCATATCCCCAACCACTTTGGCCCCTTATTCGTCTTACGTTCTCTACTCGATCCTTGAAGGGGTTTAAGACGTGTCTCACGTTTCAGTGCTCGGAAGCTAGCCATTGAAGCCGCTTTTTGCGTTGTTTTGCATACATCAGATCTGGCGTGCAGGAGATCCGGGAGATCCTGCATCGTGATTGGTTTTGCTTCTCAAGGGATATCCTAGAGAGAAGAAAAGTACTCGCCTGCCGCGAAAGCTTTTTTCTTTGTTGGCCTCCTTGGGTGACTCAAAAGTCTTCGGTACTCTCGGGCTGATCCGACCAACCGGGTCCCTCCATCATCTTCTATTCCTCTTTGGGCCTATCAGGTTTCAAGCTACCATACCCCCTTGACGGTGTTTGAGCTATCCCAGCCGCCACGACTTATCCGGCTCTTCAGGTCAAACATAACTCCTGCTCTTTACCCACTGGACTCGCAGTCTTTTCTTCTCATCACAACTCTCTTTTCAACTTATTCCTACGCACTCTCTTGTCTCAACAACAGTCCCGACACTCCAGTCCTTCAATATTCATAGCATGTCTGCTGACCCCAAGTATGAGACACTGGATGCACCCGATGGGTCAGCATTGACGTGGATCTTTGATCATTGCTTGCGTTACGCCGACAACTACGAAATTTCCCTCCGTGCTGCATACGAACTCAATTGCCAGAGCACAATGGCGCCTTCATTTGTTCTTAAGTCACCATCCTTCTTCCGCAACTCTGTTTTTACCAAAAACGCTCGTAACTCCACGTCTTCTTTCGAAACTCCTACTTATGACACGAATGCCGAATTCCGTGCCTGTTTGAGCAAGACTGTCGCCGAATTGTCTTCTCAACCTTGCTCGCTCCCTCCGAGCTTCATTCTCTCCTTTGTGCGCCGCTGCTTTTGTCTGGAACTATCCGATGTCGACTTTGCCCAGGCTTTAACTGCTCTTGATTACATTAGAGACCTCCAAGGTCGCTGGAAAAAGGAGATTGATGCCGCTTTCAATCGACTTAATATTACTGCCCAGGATGCGAGTCACCCTCAGCATTCGGAGCTTGCTCGCACTTTCCCAAACGTGTTGGTCTGGTACAAAGACATCAGCAACAAGGCACGCATGATCGATTTCCTGTACACTCAGGTCTACATTGGCCTGCGTCGCTGGGTACGTTTATCCCGAGATTCAAATAGCGAGTAGTTCTGTATCTAACATTTCTTTCTCAGGTTCTTGTCAATCAGATGATGCTCGAGCCGTTCGACAAAGCCAACTGCCTTGCTCTTCTTAACACTCTACTGCCACCTCTTCACCGAGGCAGCTCTACCCCAACACAGCAGTTGTCGGTGGGCGTCCTCGCAAATCATCGTGACACATTCTTCAAATTCATTACCACCTACGAGTCTGATCCTTCAATCCTGGAGCCTATCATGAAGCAAGGCGCTCGACCCGGTGAGGAGAATGGATGGCCTGCATTGTATGACGCCATGGACCGATATTTGAACGCTGTTCTCGAGATGATCGACGAGTGTGTTTTGATCAACGAGCCATGCCAGATCAGCAAGTCCGGCGTGCAGCGCCGCACCGACTCGGGCATCAGCTTCGGCCCCGATTTCGGCCCCTGCCCTGCTAGCTCCCCCTCTTCGGACACCGAAAAGCCTCTTCCCCATTTCCCAGAACCAAACGCAGGCACTAGCAAGCATGGTTCGTTCCTGGAACGATTTGCCTCCTTGTCATCATGGGGAAAGAAGAAGGACCCTAAGAAGGAGGAGCAGAAGGAACGGCAGAGGGAGTTTGAGCGCAGTCTGAAGAAGATGCAGTCCTACAGAGAATTTAACAGTCGAACTAGCAGCACCAAGAGCACCAAGACATCAGCCAAGTTCAACGGAAAGATCTCCTTCGATTTGACCGACGATAAGCGCCGGCGTTTGATTGATGAAGCCGAAGCTCGCAAGGCTGAGGCGGCCCAAAGCATTGGCCAGGCCATTTAATCCCAAGATCTCTGCAATTTTTCCCTACAAAGGCAAACAAAAACAGCATACCAGCCAAAAAAAAGACAAAAAAAGACAAACCCACAATGAAAAAGCGAAACCAAGAGAGGAGACTGAACACACTCCTCACATTCCCCTTGATTTCTTTACATTCGACTCGGTCATCCCTTGCACTTTCATCCTCGCTACAGCCGTTCCCCTGCGAGCACAAAACCCAGAGGAAGCCTCTGCTTCCAACTTTGCCAATGCCAGGCCTCTGCTACGCAGAGCCAGCCGGGCTGCATTTGCGTGACTTACCTTAGGTGTTTCAGAACAAAAAAAAAAGGCGTTAGGGGAAGAAGCATATGGGGGTGTTGATTTACGACTTAATGTCTTTACGATAGCGACCAGCTCATGGATTTGAACCCAAATTATTATTATCTTATTATTATCCTCATTTCTCATCCAGTAGATAATGTAGAATCTCACGACCATAGCCAATGCAATGTACGGAGTAGAGCAGTCGACATGTATACCTCGGATATTGCGCTAGTTGCCGCTCAGTCTACCGTAGAAGCTGCGATAAGATATCCAAGTGTCCAGATCAGCCGGTTCATCCTCGATCTCACTACCGTCTTTGTTAAGTGTTCTGGCTCATTTGGCCCGTGATGCTTGTAAATGGATTGACCTGCATGTTTGCTAATTAGGAAAGCCTGCACCGCACCACATACAACTCGCCCGATACGAGGCTGTCCCTGTACCATACAACAGATATACACAACTGCCCTCCCACGCTGCATTGCGCGATAATGAGGGTCTCTACGGGATCTCACATTTCCTGGCGGTGGTACGCCGCCGTCGGATTTCTGCTACCAGGCTTGATTGCCAATGCTAGCCCAGCTGTGAACGTGGCGCTTCAAGCCTCCTTCGACTCGGCCTCATACCTCGTCGAGCTCCTGTACGTTGCACGTTGAGTGATCTCTCGTTTGTAATAGGGTTGTCAATATGAGTAAGGCTAACGGATTCAATGCAGGGAGTCTGCCGCCGAAGAAAACTCCACCTCCTATTTTCCTTTGTTGGATCGCATCGCCGATGGGACGTTTGAGGACCTCACAACCGAGAAAGAGCTCTACGACCGCTTCTTGACAGTTTTGAACGATGATGGTCATATACGAACTCCGGAGAGTCTGTCATCGTTCAAACTATCGCTTTCGGTCCGATCATCGGCGCCTCGTATCGAGGCGCACTTCCAGTACTATAACACCTCGGTTCAGCAGTCCTTGATGGTGGCCCAAGATGCGGTATGTCCGGTATGGGTCCACTCGGAGGGAAAGCAGTATTGTTCCTCTGCTATGGAACGCGCACAGCAGGATGTTGTGGGAGAATTGTGGGTAGATCTTTGTTTATTGGGTGTAGACTCTAATAGCTGACGCTGAATTTCTGCCTCAGGGATCCTAGAGAGCTGCCATTTGATCGTGTCCTAGGAGATGTATCGCTTCCTCCGGCTGTTCTATATGCAGATGTCGCCTCTCCGATGTTCAGAGATTTCCATGAAACCCTGAGCGACATGGCAAAACAGGGACAGATTTCGTACCGTGTACGCTATCGACCTCCCCAACACTGGATTTCTCGTCCCTTATTTGTGTCTGGATACGGCGTGGAACTTGCTCTGAAGCGAACGGACTACATTGTTATTGATGACCGTGATGCGGAGCAGCTCGAAGAAAGGGGCGCTAAAAGTCTTCCAACTGACCCGGATGAGACGAAAGAAGATGCTCCGGATGACCTCCGGCCTCTGTCTTCCTCTGAAGTGACCCGCCTAGGCTTGAACTCTGCCAGCTATGTTATGGACAGTTCTGATCCTTTGGGGACATTGATCAAGATGTCCCAAAATTTCCCGAAGTATTCATCCGTAGTAGCTGCCCACAATTCCACTGGGGAAATGGCCCAAGAGATACGCCACAACCGGTTAAGAATGCTCCCTGGTGGTTATAATGCCATGTGGATCAATGGTGTACAAATGGACGCACAGCAGATTGACGCATTCTCACTCCTAGAACATCTACGCCGAGAAAGGAAATTGATTGACAAATTCCGTGGTCTGGGTCTCTCTGCGAATGATGTCGTGAAGTTACTGTCACACCGTCTCCTCACTGAAGCCCAAGCTGGTGGCGAGGAGCAACGGTACGACTACCGGGACGATTTGGAAGGGAACCAGGTTATCATTTGGATGAACAATCTGGAGAAGGACTCTAGATACGAGTCCTGGCCTGGTGATCTCGAGGCGGTTAGTACTTGATTCATAAGGCTATTGGACTGGATACATATTAACATAATTCTAGTACATGGCTGGTTCTTACCCGGGACAATTGCCCCCTGTGAGCCGAGATCTGCACAATGTCGTCGTGTCTATGGACTCGTCTAACCCAGAACACATGATGCTTGCTGCTGGAAACCTGCACGCCTTCATCAAGCGAGGAATTCCTGTGAGATTCGGCTTGGTGCCTACCACCTCATCGCCAGAGTCCATTGCGCAGCTGAAGGTAGCGCATTACCTTTTCGATGCCTATGGCATAGATTCTCTTGTGCAGTATTTCGAAGAGTTTGCCTCAAAAGGCAAAATGGGCTTCCCAGACAAATCGTGCTTCCAGTCTGCGACTAGAGGACGTGACCTCGTTGATGAACATGAAGCCCTATCTCTTGATCAAGTCTTGAAGAGCGAGAAGTACAACGCTCTAGTGTCCCAGACTGCTGCTTACCAGCGTCGGTTGAATCTTACCGGCGACGCACTTCAATTCTTGGTGAACGGTATCCCCATCTCCCGAGAAGGCAACTGGATGCAGGGAATGAGCATGCAGATCAGCAGGGACTTGAAATTGATTCAGCAAGGCATTGTAGAGGGGGTTTTCGAGGAGGACGCATGGCTTCCGGAGTTCTTCCTGACTGGCGCATTTGAGAGACGCAATACTTTCCTCATGCCCGAGGATCCTAAGAGTGTCCAGATTGTGGACATCGCTAACATCATTGCATCCAATGAAGATGTATTGAGCAAGATTCCTTGCGTTCTCTCGGACAAGGGAACCCTGGAAAGCGCTCATATGATAGTTGTCGGCGATTTCGAGTCAGAGGCGGGTGTGAAACTGCTTAGTGATGCCCTCAATCTTCGAAAGGAGAACGGTGACGTTGAGATTCTGATGCTGCACAATGCGCCATCAGACGCCGAGGATGACGTTTCCAAGAATCTCGTTGTTCTCTCTATCTATCGCTTGCAAAAGGGGAAACCATCGACCAAGTACTGGCTAAAATCGCATCCGGTGATCTTGATGCTGAAATCCTAAGAGTCTGAAGCCCAAGAGATCTCTACCATTCAAGCTTTGCACCAAACTCTGGCCAAAGAACTTGGATTCAACCCTGGCGTTGAGGGACTTGTTGTCAATGGGAGGGCAGTCGGTCCCATTGAGAAGGGACATCCTTTAAGCGTGGAAGAAATGGGCCAACTGATCACCTATGAACGAGTGAAACGCCTCGATTCCGTTGCAACGGCTGTTGGCGAACTCGGATTCGCCGATAAGATCTCAAACCCGCTCGATTTTGCTAAGCTGACCTCGCTTGTGGCTATTTCCACCATCTCGGATGTCCCCGAGGGTATCTTCGAAAACACTCCTGATTTCAGAATGGACGTGTCCAGCAAATGGAGGACGGAGCACTCTGTTATCACGGTTTCTAACTCCGATGATCCCACAATCCAAGTTGGTGTTAGCCTTGATCCGGCATCTGAAGTTGCTCAGCGATGGTTGCCGATTCTGAAGGTTCTCTCTGAACTCTCTGGCGTTCAGCTGAAGATTTTCTTGAACCCGAAGGAAGAGCTCACGGAGCTGCCAGTCAAGCGGTTCTACCGCTATGTCTTGGAATCTGAGCCATCTTTCACGGACGAGGGGGCTCTGGCTCGGCCACAAGCATCCTTCACTGGCGTGCCAGTCGAGGCACTGCTGACCCTAGGCATGGACGTGCCGTCATCTTGGCTCGTAGCACCTAGTGAATCAGTCTATGATCTGGATAACATCAAGCTGAGCTCAGTCAAGTCTGGTACTGACGTTGACGCCATCTACGCTCTTGAGCACATTCTGATTGAGGGCCACTCTCGTGATCTTACAACGAAGACTGCTCCCAGAGGTGTCCAGCTTATCTTGGGCACCGAGAACAACCATCATTTCGCTGATACCATCATCATGGCTAACCTGGGATACTTCCAGTTCAAGGCACAACCAGGCTTGTGGCAGATTAACTTGAAGCCCGGCCGCAGCGAGAGGATCTTCAAGATCGATAGCGTCGGCGGTCTAGGATACCGCCCGCAGACCGGTGATGAGAACAACGAGGTTGCTCTGCTGTCTTTCCATGGTCGGACGCTGTTCCCTCGCCTGTCGCGCAAGCCAGGCCACGAGGAGGAAGATGTTCTCGAGACAGGAGTCCAGCAAGGCTCAGACTATTTTTCCAAAGGGCTTAACTTCGCATCCGGTGTCCTCTCCAGTGTTGGTCTCGGGTCCAAGAGCGGAGGCGAACAACACGCCGATATCAACATCTTCTCAGTAGCAAGTGGACATCTCTATGAACGCATGTTGAACATTATGATGGTCTCCGTGATGCGGCACACCAAACACAGCGTCAAATTCTGGTTCATCGAGCAATTCCTCTCCCCCTCCTTCCGCGCCTTCCTCCCTTCCCTCGCCCGCGAATACGGCTTCTCCTACGAGATGGTAACATACAAGTGGCCACACTGGCTGCGCGCCCAGAAAGAAAAGCAACGCGAGATCTGGGGGGTACAAGATGCTCTTCCTGGACGTGCTCTTCCCCCTCTCCCTGGACAAAGTAATCTTCGTCGACGCGGATCAGATTGTACGCACGGACATGTACGAGCTAGTCACCCACGACCTCCAAGAAGCGCCCTATGGCTTCACGCCGATGGGCGACTCCCGAACCGAAATGGAAGGCTTCCGCTTCTGGAAACAGGGCTACTGGTCCACCTTCCTCCGCGGCAAGCCCTACCACATCTCAGCGCTGTACGTCGTTGACTTGAAACGCTTCCGCGCGCTTGCTGCCGGCGACCGTCTCCGCGGCCAATACCAGATGCTCTCGTCGGATCCGAATAGTCTCAGCAATCTCGACCAGGATCTGCCTAATCACATGCAGCACCACATTCCCATCCATAGTCTGCCGCAGGAGTGGCTCTGGTGTGAGACTTGGTGTTCCGATGAGGATCTAGATGGGGCGAAGACTATTGACCTTTGTAATAATCCTCTTACCAAGGAGCCTAAGTTAGAGAGGGCTAGGAGGCAGGTTCCCGAGTGGACGGTCTATGATGATGAGATTGCGGCCTTAGCGAGTCGCGTTGCTGGCGAGCAGGCTGCTGCCGGGGTTGAGTTTGTGCAGACCGGTGAGGACCGCAAAGATGAATTATAGTCGACCCGGTGGGTTTCATTCGAGGAAGCGATTGCATTTATGATTATACCTGTTGCATTTATTGGGATTGAATATTCCTTTGTAAAACGAGCACCTGTGAATTGCGCTATATGCGGTTAGTTTTGCTGTTACCAGCTTAGCGCCCTGGTAGAATGGGTCATCATATAGCCTCTGCATTGTTCGATAAAGCACTGCCTAGGGAATGAGTAACCAATGATCTTCCAAAAATAAATAGAACAAGTAAAGAAGAAAGAAGGTTCTAAAGTTTCTAATGCAGAAAGGTGGTCATGTTTAACGTATTTCACAAGCGACCCGCTACCACAAGCGACCCGCCACCCCAACCCAACCTACTAATTTCAAATGCATTTATCTCAACCAAAACGCCATTAAATTAAATAAACTAAAAATATCATCTATCTGGACATGTCTCTCTTCTATGCCCTGGCTTCCTACATATTCCACATGCTCGTCCAGCCTAGGGGGGCGGTCTTAAACCTTCCGATACCTACTCACGATAGTTGTTGATACGCGCTACTTAGGCCTCAAATAGCTCCGAACGTAGCTTACAAACCTCCTAAACTAAGAGATCCCCTTCGTGGACTATCGTCCTTATAGATCGAGTTCGCTTTTACTTTTTCTTCTCGTTTTCAGCGTGTAAATCGCTCACTTCTTTCTCTAGTAATACGGCGGATTATATCGTGATCTAGTAAGCTTTTAAAACCTAGTTTATAGCGGAATTAAGCGGGATCGGGAGGCTTCTTAATCTTATATAAAGTAATACTTTAATTAACAAAGCTTATTTTTATAATTATATATAGTTCGAGGGCGTTTTCGGATCCTAATCACTACCCTAGCTAGGAGGGGGGGGTAGGGGTAGTAAGCTAGATATTAAGTTTCGAAATCACTCTCTCCGATATAAAAGGGATTAAACTAGTAGATTAAAAGCTATTTTTAATAGTCTTAGATTTAAAGGCTTCTATTCGTATAGTAGAGTATACTTTAAGAAAATCTAGTTTATTAATATAATTCGATCCGTACCGCATTCGAAATTCAACTAGCCGGCTATAGGCTCGTTTTAATACTATAAAATAGCCTATATCTAAAGGCTATAAAAGGTAAGAGGAATATAGAGGTATATAGATTAGTATAATCTTATTCTCTTTATAAATTTTATTAAATCTTAGGGTTAAAAGACTTCCGTAGCCGTTAAATATTAAAAGCCGATACCCCCCCCTTTATATATAAAGAAGTAGTAGGAATAAAGAGCTTTTTAAGCTAGCGAAGTCCAATTTTATTAGAGGTCTATCTATTAGGACTAACCTTAAATCTCTAGTCCTCTAGGAGGCTATTAAACTAGGATTTAATAAAGACTTTACCTTTAAAAATCATATATAGTAGAAGGGCCTAGCTAATAGTATTCGTATACTCGATAATAGTCACCTATTTAGAATTTCTAGGTTATAAAAGTGCTCGCCGACTATAGTATTCACTTTTTATAATCACCCTTATAGTCGCTATTAATCCTATTATAAAACCGGTCTTATTAAAGTTATAAATATTATCTAGATCGATCCCGAATTATAAGATAGTTTTTTAAATAAGATCAAACCACTCTATAATAACCTTTAGATCTTCGTATTTCGCACGCTTATAGTTATACCGTTTCGAAAACTAAGAGGATAGAAGAGGGCGTCTTTTCATATAGTTTATCACCTAGTTTTCGCCGACTAAAAGAACCGGGGTAGTTCCGCGCTTTTTAAGAAGAAGATTCGCTATTTCTTATACTATAGAAGGCTAGGGGGCGTTTCCATATCGATCTATAGAGAGAATCCATTTTTTAAGAGATTCCTCTTCGATTTCTATTAGTTTATATGATTTAACACGAGAAATCGCGCGGTTTTAAATACCGTGGAGCCGATCGCGTAAGGTAGAACGGGGGACCTTATAAACGCGCGCAGCAGATGTATTAGAAGTGATATCTCCATTTTTAAAAGCCTAGATAGCTAATAAGATCCTACCCTCTCTCTCTGTTGAATTTTTAGAGGATTGAGAGCGAATTGGTGGCATGGTAGGTGGTTAAACTAGCTAAGATCTAAATTCATGGACGCGTTTTGGATGGGGTGGCGGGTCGCTTGTGGTGGCGGGTCGCTTGTGAAATACGTTAGTAAAATATTGAGGCCTGAGGCTAACCTTGGAAGACTCTAAGAGCTGAGGCTTTCCCAGGTTGTCTAAAGATCCTGAGGGTCAAACTGTTGTTCACTCGCTTCCGTTGGATGTACACCACGGCTGCCTGCGAGCACACAGCTGAAGTCAAAGGAATAGTGACGACAGATACGAGTGACTGGACGATTCTGGCAGCTCTAAGATACCTCTCAGCTTTTGCGAATAATTTGTCGAATTCCTCATCGGACATGTATAGTTATAGGGTATTGCGACGGTTCGTTCCACTCGTCCATTCCATTCCACTACCGATCGGGCGATAGGTGAGGATACAGATAATGGCCCATGCATATACTACTGCGGCCCCATAAAACAGGACCAGGAGAACGACATACACGGAACGTTGCGGGGGCTCAGATTCGTTCTGTCGCTTCAACTCGTCCTTGCTCGCGTGCTGGCTGTCGGAGGAACTGATGCCTCCCAAATGACGCTCAAGACCAGGAGTGGGGATACCCAAGACCGGAGCGGGAGTTCCAAGCAAGCTCTTGCTTAGCTGAACGTCATTGGGTTCATCTATCGAACCAGAATGATCGTGTATCGTGCCTGTCGAGTTTCATGTTATGCCTCAAGAGGATATGAGTCTTGAATGTTGTCCAGAGGAGGAAAGTACGGAGTATAAAGATTCCAAGATTTGCTCAGACCTTAGGAGACTCAAGTGTTTATATCATGTGTCTGCCTGTTGGCACTAATTGAGCCTCACATCTCGTATGGTGAAAATGAGACCAAAGCATCGCCCCGCTTGGCTACATGGCCGTCATCGCCCGCATTACCCAGCGGGCAGTCAAGGGCAGTCAGTCCAAAGTTACGAGTGGAAAGGCATTTCTGGCGCCAAAAGTGGTCATTTTCGTCCTTTTCACAGGTCCTCGTATTCTACATATGTACGTATAACTTTTATGGAAATTTTCTTCTACTACTCGCTCTCGTAAGAATTGATATCTCAGCAAACAAGGGTATATATAATGAGATGTAGAAAGCAAACAACAGCAAAGGTAAACATTTGGCTTCATGAGGTTTCACAGCTCATCCGAGTCAGTCTCGTCCTTAACGTTGACTTCGCTGCTGTCGTCATCTCCGCCGTCCGAGTCAGATTCATCCTCAGCATCATGTTGACTGGCAGATATGTGAGAAGCAGGTGATGGAGGCGGTGGGGACTCTTCAATAACAGAACGAGAGGGTTCCGCCAAAGGGGCAGGGCTGTCGATGGAAGCTTGTTTTTGCTTCTTAGACTTTTTCTTCTTTTTAGGAGGCTCAGGGGCATCTGCATCGCTGCTAGATGCCTTGTTGGCCTCGGCTGCGAGACGTTCCTCTTCTTCTAGCCTCTTTCGCTTCTTCTCCTCCTTCCTCTTCCGCTTGCTCTCCTTCCGTGCGGCCTTGTCATCCACTTCTCGCTCAATCTGCTCTTGCCTTTCTTTCTCTTGCCGCTCCTTCTCTCGTCGCTCCTTCTTCTCACGCTTCTTCTCCTCCTTGCTCTTTTTAGAAGTGGCGGGAGACGACGGGGCTTCCTCGATGAGACTGGAGGCGGGGTCTTCTTTGTGCTTGCGCTTGGACTTTGACTTCTTGGCTTTTTGGGAGGACTCGGGCAACTCGGGCTCAGCCTCCTCGGGCTGTGCTTCGTGGTCGGGCTCCGCATCGTCATTGCCATTGGCAACGGAAGACGGTGCTACCTCGTTATTGATGTTTAGGTTCGTGGTACTAGTTTTTGTGGCTTCGTCGTCATCGGAATCCTCATTCACGAATTGAGAGCTTTTCCTTTGCGCCTCCAGCCTCATGTTCCAGTGGGCACTTCTCTTAGCAGCGAGTTTGGGATCGAACACCGCGCCTGGCTGGCCATTGGCTCTCAAGGTCATGACCTGCCTCACGATCTTGCGCCACTTGTCTGCGCATTGTTGTCGAGACCGCATATGACCCATCTCCTTGCTGATGTTACCCCATACAATGAGACGCTCATCCAGCTCGTACATGTCCTTGCCTGCCTTGCCGGCAAGCATTGGCTTCATAGTAAGCCACGTTGATTCCACGGCGTCAAGGAAAATCTTGGTCTCCTCCTCCGACCACGCGCCTTGGTTCATGGTACCCTGGTGCTCGAGCTTGTTCTTCCATCGCTGAGTGACATCGTCATCACTGCGCCCAATGAGCTTACCAATGAATGTCCATTTCGGACCGTGTTTAGCGTGGAGCTCGATAAGCTCATCGTCTTGTTCCTTCGACCAATCGTGTGCCTTTTGAGCCGAAGCTTGGAAGTGTCGGCGCATAAAGCGGTAGACAGATCGCCGATCCCGGTCTGGAACAAGAGCGTAGATCTCGTTCCAAAAGTCGCTCTTTGAGATGACGTCCGAGGAGACTGGAAATTCGCCATTTGCGCCACGCTCAGAATGCTGAACCATCTCGTCGAATTTGACGCTAGAGATACCATGTACAGTGCAAAAATTGACTTTGTACGTTTCAATCTTTCGCACTTCGTCCGGCGTATAGAAGCCAATTTTCAGGCTATCCTTCTCCCTGGTGCGTGAGCCTCTGACTCCCTTGGCCCTGCCTCCTGGCGGTGTGCTACCCTCGGGGTTGGGTGAGTCAGGAGCTGGGGTTTTCTTGTTGACAGCCACCTGTTTTACAGCGAGCGGTTCCTCTGTAGCCGCTAATTTGGGAGTAGGTTGAGAAGTGGACAAAGTGGAGGCTTCCAAGTCTTCGCCATTCTGTTTGCGAACCTTCTTCGCCGAAAGCTTCGGCTTTGACGGAGTGGGTTGACTGGGAGTGGGGGGAACTTCAACAGCAGTTGCAGAAGGGGGTGGGTTGTGTTCTGGTGAAGCTGACTCGGCAACAGACTTTTCTAATTTGCGATGCTTCTTGGTCCTTTTCTTGCGCTCGGGTTCAGACTCGCGCTTCCGCTTTGAAGGATTCGACATGTTGGTGTCTAATTCTTGGGAGCGCGTCGTACCATTGACTTCCGCAATTGCTGGCGATAAAGCCTGTGATTCCGAGGAGAGTGACTTCTTTTTCTTTTTCTTCGTTCCATCAACCATTGAGGAATTCGGGGTTTCGGGAACTGCCAGATTGCAGATGTTAGTATCGAACCGCGCGGAGATCAAGTGTAATTTCACCAACCGGTATCTCCAAAATCCTCGGGAATTTCGGGGTATGGTTCAGGCTGAGACGATGTATTTCCCATGGCAATGAGATGCGATACTGAGCAGGGAGGGGAGAAGCGGAGGATGCAATAAAAAGGAGAGACCGAGGCTCCTCAAAATTTACGGCCCACGAAGCGCGAATCCGGCAATTGGGGTTCACCGCTCAGGCTGACCGCCTATGCGGGGCCAATCGAGTACATATCAATGGCTATTGTACTCAGGGGCTGTAGATCTATATTATTGTAGGAAGAGACGGAGTATAATACAAACAATGAAATTATCAAGCTAGAAAGGATCCAAGGCAGCAAGGCAACCTGTTTTAAAAGATACAAATCTCAATTATCAAGAACTTCCACACAATGGCCATTGTACAACTTTACTAGAGGGACTCACGCATCCCATACAATACTATACAATACCGCATAACAAATGTATCCAGGCGTTTAGCATTTACTCGACACAGCTCTGGCAGGTATCATGCTCATGATTGCATTAATAGTGTACATGCTGGCATAAGGAACAGAAAAAAGAAAATCAACTGCAAGTCATAAAACCCATAATCCAGGTCTTACAGACACAGTCAGGACACAAGCTTCATATCCCTTAGGATTTTCGTCACAAGTTTTTTTTGGTCATGAGGGTGAAGATTTTGCTGATCCGTCTCCTGTAGACAGCGCCCAACTGCGACAGTAACCTTGACAGCACTTTCTGCGGCGTTGGAGCAGTCCACCCACACCTTTCCATTGCGGCCAACTGCAATCTCAAATCCTCCCAAGCTCTCCAGCTTCTTTCCAAGTTCAGAAAGCAAAACCAGCCCTTCAATCGCATCATTGTGCTCAGCAGAAGAAGAGCTTGCCCGGATCAACCGGGCCGCCATACCAGTCGAAACATCAAATACCATTCCACCTGTCAAGGGTCCCAATCCTCCATCAGCCTTGCCAGTTGCTGGGTTGACACAGGTGAGTTCAACTTCGGCGCCGGCGCCGACTCCCACGGACTGTACTCGGGCATACACCAGCTCGCCTTGCTTCAACATTGGCCTTGTCTTCTTGGATGCTCCCTCAAAGGACAGCTGACCCAGAAGCGCGTGGGCCGTGTGTGGGGTTACCATGCAGTGAAAGAAATCGACGCTGGAGTGGTGGATCTGAGCAATGACGAAGTCGTTGACGGTGGGGATGTATCGGCGGTTCGGGAAAGAAAGGAGCGAGACGGTGTTTCGTTTCGCATCGGTCGTCAACAGACCAGCTTGTGTTGCTGTTAAGACATGATTGGATCCCTTTGAGGAGGGCTGTGATAGGATGCGGAGGCCAGGACCTAGTCGTAGAGGGTTGGAGTTGTTGGTAGGAAGATGGTCTTGAGGTACCTCATCGCTAGGCAATAGGACAAGCGGGGGTACTCATGATGCCAGACTGGATAGCTGTATCCTGAGAATAGCCTAAGTGTAGAAGGCTCTGCGGGGAGAGACTCAATGCTCTACGGCTGAATTTGGTTTGTACAGAGAGATTGTCTACTTTTGCGACTTGATTGGAAAGAAACCGACATTTCTTATCGCCACGTGACTGCGTTCTATCGGGTCCAAGGTATATGAGCAAGCTCCATCCAACTAGATTAACACTTCACTTGGGGATAACCTTGAAAAGATAAATAAGTTGAGTGATCTATGCTGCTACAAGAATTTTATCAACGTGCCCAAACTTCTCTACCATCAGAGCTATATTTACTATGGACAATTGTCCGCATACAACATATGTATCATGGCGAGAAGTGTGGCGGTGCCTTATCAACATCGCCACAACCACTATCGATAAGCACCAGCCACATTTGCGGCAGACGAAAATCTTCAAAATCTTTTTCGATCGTTCCCCTCATTCGAGATTTCCCCCAATTACCTCCGATACCCCCCAATCTACTTTCACGCCGTAACGTGAGACCGTTATTCTTTTAATCCAAAAAAAGTACACATTTACAACTTCGACATGGGTGACGCTGCCAACAGTGCCCCCGCTGAGGCGGAGCGCTTTGCTATCGGTATCTCGTTTGGTAACTCATGCAGTTCAATTGCCCGCATCTCGCCTGTACGTCCTGATATTCATTCTTTGGGCTAAAGAACGGTGACTGACTAATTTATAGGAGGGCAAAGCTGAGGTTATTGCCAACGAGGAAGGAGGTAAGGACAATGAAACCCCACAATTTTGAGAATTCGAATTAACATATTCAGATCGTCAAATTCCTTCCATCCTTTCTTACATCGAGGGCGAGGAGTACCACGGCACCCAAGCCAAGGCCCAGCTTGTTCGCAACTCGGGCAACACTGTCGCATACTTCCGCGATTTCATCGGCAAGGAATTCAAGTCGATCGACCCTACTCCCTGTCACCAGTCGGCCCACCCCCAGCAGAAGGACTCCACTGTCGCTTTCACCATCCGCGACACCGAGAGCGAGACCCCCAACACAGTCACTGTTTCCGAGATCACCACCCGTCACCTCCAGCGTCTGAGACGCTCCGCCTCTGAGTACCTTGGTAAGGATGTCAACGCCGCCGTTGTCACCATCCCCACCGATTTCACCGATGCCCAGCGTGAGGCCCTTGTTGCCTCTGCCAAGGCTGCTGGTATCGACGTCCTCCAGCTGATCCACGAGCCCGTTGCCGCCGTTATGTCTTACGATGCCCGCCCCGAGGCGACTGTTACCGACAAGCTGGTTGTTGTTGCTGACTTCGGTGGCACCCGCTCCGATGTTGCCGTTGTTGCCTGCCGCGGTGGCATGTACACCATCTTGGCCACTGCCCACGACTACGAGCTTGGCGGTGCCTCCCTGGATCAGATCGTCATTGACCACTTCGCCAAGGAATTCATGAAGAAGCACAAGACCGACCCCCGCGAGAACGCTCGTGGTCTGGCCAAGCTGAAGCTCGAGTGTGAGGCCACCCGCAAGGCCCTCAGCCTGAGCAGCAACGCTCAGCTGAGCATTGAGTCCCTGGTCGATGGTGTCGACTATGGTTCCACCATTAACCGCACCCGTTTCGAGCTTCTCGCCGGCAAGGTCTTCAGCCAGTTCACTGGTCTGATCCAGCAGGTTGTTAAGAAGGCTGAGCTTGATGTCCTTGATATCGATGAGGTTATCTTCTCTGGCGGTGTTTCCCACACCCCCAAGCTCGCCACCCTGACCAGCAACATCTTCCCCGAGAAGACCAAAATCCTGGCTCCTGCCGCCTCTGTCACTGCCGTTAACCCCTCCGAACTGTCTGCCCGTGGTGCCGCCTTCCAGGCTTCCCTGATCCAGGAGTTCGAGCACGAGGACATCGAGCAGTCCATTCACCCTATGGTCACCGTCGCCCCTCACCTGACCAAGGCTATTGGCGTTGAGTTCACCTCCCAGACCGACTCTACCTTCCAGCCCCTCCTCGGCGCCGAGACCGCCCTTCCCGCCCGCCGCATCGCTCAGTACTTCGCTCCCAAGGAGGGTGGCGATGTCCTGGTCCGCGTGTGCGAAGGTGCCCGCGATATCAAGGTCACTAAGCCCGAACCCAAGGCCAAGGAGGACAAGCCCGCCCAGGACGAGGATGACTCAGACTTCGATTCCGAGGACGAGGAGGAAGAGGAGATCCGTGAGATTGTCTGGAAGACCGAGAAGCCCGTTGCCGAGCTCGCCGTCAAGGGCGTTAAGGCTGGCAGCAAGATCGAGGTCATGGTCCACGTCAATGCCGATCTCGGTCTGCAGATCGCCGTCCGCGAGGTCGGCGCCCAGAACGCCGTCCGTGGCGCCGTCAACGGCTCCGCTTAAGTTTTTGTTCCGTTGTGAAATAAAAATAAAAGACTTGGATTTCGTTTACGGTGTGATGATGCATGCATGACTGATAGAGGTTGTGATTTTTCTTTTTGTCCAGGATTTATACTGCAGTTATCGACATGGAGTCTTTCCCTTTATTAGTTCTTAAATAGACTCAGTTATATGCAACCAAATCAGTACTGGTTCCCTTTTCAAGCCAACTTCACTCTGCTAGGCCCTATTCATTCTCCGACGTATTCTGCGCTTCTCCTGCTCCCCGAGAACTCTTCGTTGAGAATTCCGATTTTGCTCCAAAGCGTGTTTACCCGAGAAACCAAGATATATGGCTGTATACAATTTAAATTCCAAGGATCAGGTAACGGTAGTAGAAATTATATTACAACTAGATTAGATAGATTCGCAGCTGAAAGCACAAATTCCTGCATGATCTTCAAGTCGGAGAATCATTAAACCATGGGATTCATAAACAAAGGACTCAGGTTCCTTAAAAAACATAACCGGGCCCAAGGCAGGGAGAGTATTGCGCGAAGAATGCTCAATTGCCACCTTATGCAGGAAGGCCGTAGATTTATTAGATGAGTAAAGATCGTGACGACTTCGTAATAGCATTAAGCGAGTGTGGGTAGTTCGATCTTTCCGGCTGCATCCGGGTCATTCAGATAGATCAAGGTGAAACAAGCGGCCTCCTGAAGAAAGAGTAAACTCTTAAAAGGGGATATCAACGCGGGAAGACAAGTCGTGTGTGGTTTGGTCCGGAGATCGACAATCTCAAGTCGACATTTTCAGGTGCTCCGGCTTGTTCTTGTCGAAATGAGGAAGCGGGCTTCTCATGGTTAAGGTACATCCATTTAAGCATAGTTGTTAGGCTCCTTCTTCTGGCTTCTCACGCTGTTTGAGCGCTGCGACGAGAAGAAACCACGGCGACGCTCCTTGCGTCCACTGTATCCACTGCTAGTATCTTTCCGGCCGACGGCACCACCGAGGCAGTACAACAAGCATGAAAGGAACTGGCAGACAGATGCGGTCCACATGAAGGCGTATGCCTTGACACCCAAGGATGCGTCCTGACCGTTATTCTCGAAGGCGTCACGGCCCTGGACAAAGACAGCACTATGAAATACAGTTAGCACTTTGTTTCTGGGACGACCCCAGTTCCAATTGCAGTGGCACATACGTCATGAGACAGGTGGTGATGACCTGGAAAGTCAGAGAGATCCAGGCCAGGAAACCGGAGAGGTAGCTGGCAATGCGGGTGCAGATAGCCAGCATACCGGTGAAGAAAGAGCAGACGGCGAAGAACAGCCCAATGATGAGGAAGGGGAACATGAACCGCGACATCAAGAAGTAGTGCTTCGTTCTATAATGTGAATGGTTAGCGCGACCCGGTACATTAGGATATATCAGTCGGTAACCTACCCGATAAACTCCTGAGGGACATTTTCGGTGGTGTCGAAGTTACGGTGGCTTGGGGGGTCGAATGGGAAATTCACGTGGGTCTCTCCGCAATCATTCCTGCCATTGGTCACTCCACAGATGTTCCAGAATGTCCAACGCGAGGTTGTCGGTGCGCCTGGGATATTTCCGGTGTCCGCCTGCAGGAAGTAGATTTGGTTCAGAGGATTTGTGTTGCGTACACCTCCCAACAGAGTGAGGAAGATCAGCAAAATCGACGCTGCCATGAAAAACAGGCCTGTGAAGCCCAATGTTGCTCCTATAGACAATGATCAGACTAAAGTGTTCAAGAGTTGTTGATCCAGGGTCGGCTTACTGCTGAAGCCCATTGTGTTTGGTGCGTATTGTAGGTCACACTAGGATTTGAGTGAGGGGGAGTATTTTTTTCTCTCGATGGTCTGTCTCGTATCTCTGAAGGGGAATGGATTGCTGAAGGAGAGTGTCGAGAGGTGAAGGAGAAGGTGTCAGAATTTGAAGCGGAAAATGCTAGCTGGTATAAGGATGTAAGAGCAGCCGGGGTATCCGGGACCACTAGTGTGATATAATGACGAGTGAGCATCATCCTCCTCTCTTCTTCTTTTCTACAAAGTTAAGAGTATCGACGATCATAACGTCATAGTTGCACCTGATCGGCTAGCCGTTCGTAGTTAGTCTGCACTCTACTTTATGCGTTATACCATATCGGGTTAGTCCGAGTGGTCCATGACGAAGTCAACGAGCACACCCAAACCAAACGACGTTGCACCTCTCGCAATAACATTGGCCCTATGGAAGAAAAGTGACGTGGACCATCACCTATTAACGTTTCTTGTCTTATCCAAGTTTTGCGCCTTACCGAAAAAAACTTTGTCTGCCCAACCCGATCCCCAGACCCGACCGAGGGTACACACTGCGAACCTCCTTCCCCGTTGTAATGGCGACCTGGGCATACCCACCACTGCCCGCAGAGCAGATCAACCGTGAGGCGGACACTGCGCTGGTATGTAAAAAATATATGGACCCTTACAACAGGCGATCCCTACATGGAGGCCTGCTTAACTGTAGCTATGATTCGAGAAGGAAAGTGGAGCTTGTCTAGTATAATGCCAACATCTTTATCTTAGGCCCGAGAGCTAGAATGGCTATTGCATTCGCTGCAGGATTCTCTTGCCTCATTGAAGGAAGGTCTCCAAGAATGCGCCGCCCTCCTAGCTCCCCAGGAACCGGGGTCAACCTTAGTGCTGTCCTCGCTGCGGTCGGAAAATGTGAAGGGCTTCGTGACTAGAGTCGGCACCAAGGTCGTGAAGGGCGTATGTACCCTGAAACTTGCTCGAAGATCAATGGATATTCAAACTGAACTGATCACTCTCTAGGATGTTCAACTTCGTCTTGCCTCGCTCCCGCCTCCTCGGGGTGCCCCTAGCACCCGACTTAACCTTGCCCAATCCCCCGAAGCTCCGGAACTAGTACTTCGACAGCTGGTGTCGGTTCGAGACCTCGTGGCTCAGAGCCTGGATATTGTGGATGTGAGCACGTGGACAGGCGATCCTCTCAATGCAGGCTTTATTTTCAGTCAGCTACACCTCTTACTAGAGACGATCAGCGAGGCACGACAAATGTTGAAAGGAGAAGGCGATGAGACGCGAGGCAAGTGGTGGAATACCAGCGCCGATGAAAATGTATGTTCGATTTCTTTGATGAAGGCCCTGTAATATTTTGCTGATATGTATACTGCGCAGATGTTTGACCCTCCGCTTCCGCCGCATCTTTCATTCCATCTCTCCATCACAGACTCCGCCCTGGTTCTTGTTCTTCGGACTCTAGAATCTACTGCCCTCAATCATGCACCAACCGCTTTTTCCTCAGATATCTCCCTGACCGGATTCTCTCTACGAGATCGGATATTCGGCTCGCGGGCGCCGACCCATGATGAGGCCGGTAGCCTTTTTCAATGGCGGGGAGAAGAAGTTCGTGTCAAGGAGAAAGTCCGGGTAGAGAGCCAGGACCCTAGTCTGATGGCGGTCATGGCGAAACTATCAGCCCTTGAGCACGAGGTGATGCGCTGTGTTGCTGCGCTGCGGGTCCTCATGGGCGATGAAGATACAGAGAGCGAGATTTAGTGGCTTGATTGATACCCTAATGCATTTGAATTATGGACAGCTGCTTGTTGCAATACTTAATGTGATTCGGTACTCGAGCTAGGGCCTTCAGAAGTATTAAATGGACTATTGGGCTGTCATTCGACATACATATTGTACTGCCATCTTAAGGCAGCCTAGGACTTCGTCAACCTGTTGTATACTATATAATAATAATAATAATAATAATAAAAGACAATCAGCATATATTCCTACCAACAAAAACGCTTCCTGGTTGTTATAGATTTTTGATACCGAGCTAAAACCGACAACCTTGGAAGGGAACGGCGGACCAGCCAATGAGAGGCCTGCAGTTTGTGATGGGCGCGCATGGCCGTCTTGGCATCAATTTTCTGGACTGGGCCATTTTTCTTTCTCTTTCAACCTCTCGAAAAGGGACTGTTAGTAAGATCTGGAAAATGCTTTCCAGGTCTTCAGCATCAGGCGCCAGTCGGTCACAATCGCGCGAACTATTTCGTACTCTTGCTCGCCCTTCTGGATCGCGACAGCTCCGCGGACCTGTCAACCGTTTGACACCTACACAGAAACGCACTCTTGTCCAAAAAGCCTCACCTTTGGTCGCGTCTAGCAGGCTTGCGCACCGAAGAAATACTTCCAACTATGCGGCGTCACAATGTCAGCCTCAGCGGAGGTTTGTGTCAGGCCCAGCATCCACCGATTCGCCGCCTCAACCCAGCCAACCCACCGAACCGGATGATATCAATACCCTGATCGATCGAATCGGTGAAAATGAGGCGGAAATGGTACAATTACTTGAAGAGCTAGAGATTATGGGCGAAGAGGGTGAAGGAGACGAGCTCAGCGACCTAATAGGCCAGCGAGACGAACACACCGCGGAGTCATGGGTACACATGATCAAACAACGCTTTGGAGATGAGTTGCCGGACGGTATGCTGGACGATGCCGAGCTTCAAATATACGCCCGCCTCTATGGAGAACCAATCATTCGGCAGGAAGTTGAATCAATGGTTGAGGAAGAGGATGATCTGAGCTTGCTCCGTGAAGACGGACAAGGTGGATGGGAGGAAGTCGATCTAAATGAAAGCGTCGCCGCTAAGGACGATTTTCCGCTCGTCTATGATATGGATGTTTCCCCGGAAGAGCGGGAAACAATTGCTATGCAACGGACCAGAGAGGTGGCAGAACAGTTGGGCGGCGAGGTGATGCTCGAGGAATTTGAGAACGAGGCAGTTCCTGACTCTGCTCCAAGAATTCACCCGCTTACCCTCGAGGGTAAATTCGGAACTGATCCTACAACTATCCATCTGCCCAAGGATACTATCACTGGCCCCATATCGGTCATTTTATCAGAGTTTTCCAACAAGCACATTTCTGACACTGCTCGGCGCCTATTCGGAGGACCAGGATTGCCCCATTCGGATACGACCGCACCTCCACGTGCCCAATTACCGCAGCTTCCTGTCGCTCTTCAGGCTTCGCAGCGTCAAATGGGAGAAATGGAGGCCAACGCATACTTAGCAGCCCTGTATCCCGGAATCTACGCATCGTCACTTAGTGTTATGGTTGAGATTCGCAAGCGACTGGGCGCTGATTGGGTCCGCCGTCTCATCGGACAAGAGGGTGGGCCAAACGTTCTCGATGCTAGCGGTGGTGGTGCCGGCATCCTAGCTTGGCGAGATATCATCCGCGCAGAATGGGAGCTCATGGTGCCCGATCATCCCGCGGGAGCACCCATCCCCTATGGGAGGTCAACAGTGCTAACAGGCTCCGATTCCCTTCGGCTGCGCGCTGCTGCCCTGCTGGAAAACACCACCTTCCTCCCACGGCTACCTGATTACGTCCATGTGCGCGAGAAGCCTACAATTGATGATTCGCGGGCTGCCCCTAAACGCAAGCAGTACGATATCATCATCGCACCGCACTCTCTTCTCGGCCTTGAAGAAGAATATGAGCGTAAGCAGCACGTGGAGAACCTGTGGTCTCTTTTGAACCCAAACGGGGGTATTCTCATTCTGCTCGAGAAGGGCCGCCAGAAGGGCTTTGAGGCTATTTCCGGCGCTCGTGAAATGCTCTTGAAGCGCCATATCGCAAGCCCCGGCTCTACCGAATACGACAACTTCCTCGAAGACCCCGACCAACGCGAGGTCATTGAGAAGGAGCGTGGAATGATCGTGGCCCCCCTGCACCAACCACTCGACCTGCCCGATGCACAATTCTTCGGGGGCTACCAAGGGCCGTAGGGACTACTGCCATTTCGAGCAGCGATACATTCGCCCTCCATTCCTGCAGCGCATCATGGGGGCGAAAGACCGCAACCATGAAGATCTCAAATTCAGCTACCTCGCCGTGCAGCGTGGTGTAGACATGCGACAAGAGCAAGCAATTCGCCAAGGTCCTGAGGCTACAGATGCCGCATTCGAAGGATTCGAGGACCCCGAGGAGTCTGGTATCCCCAACAAGCCAGCCTTCCACGCTCTATCCCTCCCCCGCGCCATCTACCCACCCATGAAACGTCGCGGTCATGTCATCTTTGATCTCTGCACACCCGCCGGCAAAATTGAGCGCTGGACCGTCCCGCGTTCTTACAGCCGCCAGGCCTACCGCGATGCCCGCAAGTCCCGCTGGGGAGACCTGTGGGCTCTGGGAGCCAAGACCCGCATCCCACGCAACCTGAACCTTGGCGATAAGCATGGCGAGGGTAAGAAGGAGCGTCTGGCCCGCCGTGCGGCGACCAAGGATTCTATGCGTGAAGCCGAGGAAGAAGGCGACTTTGAGAATGAAGGAGAAGAAGAGGATGAAGACTATGGAGTTCATGACTCGGATGTTCCTGATGTCCCAGTCAAAAAAAGGGGTCAGCATATCCCCAGTTGGAAGAAGCATAATGATAAAAAGAAGCTTCGTCAGGCTTACAACAAGCGCTCTGTCGATGAATAAGTGGCTTCGATTTGGCGCAATTTTTTTGTGGATTTGGAGGTTCGAAAACATGTACTATACTACTAACTACTGGCAGCATTTGGCATTGGGACTGGGGACTGGATCTTGTTTGTACATTAGGATATTATTCTCGCACTTCTTCAGATGTAAAATATGGCATCTTCACTCTAATCAAAATTTGATATGTATTTGATTGATTCATACAGTATCTGGGGCGTCATTTGGCCCGGTCCAATCCTCCTTTTCTCCAATGAAATGGTCCTGATGGATGCCGTTGGGTACCCCACTAAACCGGTCGTGATGAAGCATGGTCTTGCCACGATTTGGGGGAACTGTGCCAGTCCCATGGAGCGCCAGTAGTCATCGGAAGCCTTTCACTGACTGGAGCCCCGCAATTGACACTGGGCTTTCAAAATCCATGGCGGGTAAGGTGCATTGACGTTCTGGGAAAGACAGTCGCTAGCTTCAGGCTTGGTTCTTTTCTAGCCAGGGTTGGCGAAGCAGGCACACCTAAGAATGTGGATAGAAATCAGATAAAAGTCACCATGGACCTAGATGCTCCCGACAAGCTAGTCGCTGTTCGTAATAGCAGATATTCTTATCTCGCAAAGTGACACTGCCACATTTCATTGCGCAGCCATGCTCTTTCGCAACTGTCTTTGCTTCTGCGTACTTTGCAACTCCAATCGATCGACTGCAAACTTGAGCCGTTCTTTCTTCTGCATGAGTCTCCTCAGCTCCGCTGCCTTGGATGGTGCTGCACTACCCGACGAGGCAGAGCCGGACCCCGCCATGCGACCCCGCAGTGAGCTGCTTTGAGGTTGGCTGCGGGTCGCTGACGACCGGTTCTCCGGGGTAGAGGACAGTCGACCTTCTTGCAGTTCGCATTTCGCCTTGAGGCCTTGCTCACGGCGCGCGAGCTTTTCGACGTGGTTTGATGATAGTGTGAGGAGGTGAGCGATGCTTGGGGTGATTTCGTCAAGGAGGGCTTGCTGCGCTTCGTGCAATGTAGGCTCAGGGAGGAGCTCAAAGTGCTATAATAAGATAAACAGTTAGACTCGTGACCTTTCGTTTCTTTCCAGGAATGAAACATCGGAAAAGAACATACTCGCGTTGTCTGGAGGACTTTACATAGACGAGGAAAATCGCTCACGCCCGCATCGAGGGTGGATATAGAGTTGTCCAGAATCTGGAGAGAGGACTGTAGCGAGGTAACTGAGGACGATAATGAAGCTGCCATAATGCGTAATTTAAAGCTTGATTTGAAGCTTTGCCTTGGAGATGATTGTTTACAATACTCGGGATAGATCGGGCGGTAAAAGCGGCATGACACCGCCTTTAAGGCGGCGTGGGCTCGGGACCGGGCAAACCTCCCAAACCTCACTTCTCCTCTTCCGTCCTCCTGCCTCACCATCTTCCCGAACGCCGAATTCCCTCCGCATTCGATTCACCTGTCACAATGTCTCTCCTCGGAAAGAAGTTCCCCGGCGCTATGGGTACGTGTTTTCTGACCTCGATTACGACTTGTGGGAAAGCGATATGAGGACCAACGACTGACGCATATGTTCACTTACAGCCAAGCCTATGACTCCCTTCTTCGCTGCCGGTACGCATACCCTATAGATTCCGAGATGCCCTGACAATCTAGAACGAATGGATTGTCAATTTTGAATACTGCATCCTCGGAGTGGTTGTTGATGGAACATTACTCTGACGATTCTCTCCAGGCATCATTGTGCTCTACGGTGTCAACTCTCTTCAGAACGCTCTGTCCAACAGTGAGTCCATTCCGCGCAACTACACATAAATTGTCGACGATTTTGGGGTCACATGCGACAATATCCACAAAACGACACTGCGATGAGCATATTTCGAGCATAACCAACTAACCTTCATATCCGTACAGCCGCCCAGTTCAAGAGCGACCCCCGCAACCCCAACGCTAAGCCCGCTGGCAAGGCTGACCACTAAATTGGGTCGACAATGAATGCACTTTGAGATCCCATTTGTTTGTTGAAGAGCGGGACGACCCGTCGCGATGTGTGTGTGGACGGAGATAGCCAAGGTCATCAATGGCCGGCTTGCCCTTTTTGTGATTACTCTGCGGGCAGTTTGCCCGTATCCAAGCATATAGAGCATACCCACCTCGATGGGGGTGACTTGGATCAATTCACAAGCTGTACCAGTACCATTCTGAGCAAGGCGCTTTTTCCTCTTGTAGTGTCCATTCTGCTGGATGATATCCCATCAGTCAGAGCAAGGAGATTAACTTAATCCGAATATTCCGCAGCTTGTTGTACCATGGGTAAAGCTTTCGGGTTTGTAGACTGTTATACTTCAAATCTGCTCATTGATACGCTATTTCACTTAGGGCTAATTTCCAACTTCTATGCGACCGTGAAATAAGTCAAAATTAGCCCTTATTTTCAATACCCATTGAGTTTTGATTGTAACAGCTTTCTATCAAAGTACTAGCAGTATCATAGGCCTTTGATGCCGCCCAGCGTGAAATCCTGCATCAAACACGCTAAACCCAATCGGGATTCCAGTTTTTGCCAACTCCGCCTGGCCGACAGTCATTTTCCGACCTCAACTCCGCAATACCCCCCAATTAAACACGCCAAAATGACCAAAATGGCAGGGCTTTTCCGGCCCAAGAAGCTGGATCTCTCTGGATTTGTCAATACCCGCTTGATTCGGGACAACAACAAGCGCATGGCCTTCGAGCAGACTGAGCCCGAACGGTACGAACCCTGTCCTTATCCCAGATGCTCTAGCTCGACCAAGGATATCCCGAGCTGGGAAAACTTGCTGGGAATTGAGACACAAATGCTGACACTGTCTTTCTTTGTAGACAAGCTCTCCGCTACATGATCCGCAACACCTCTCTCCCCGGCCGAGTGCGCGCGCAGGCTCAACTCCAATTGTCACAAATGCACGCCTACACTCGCCCCACGCAGATCAAGAACCGTTGTGTGGCATCAGGCACTGCTCGCTCTGTCTTCCGGGATTTCAGAATCAACAGAGTATGTGGAAAATGCCAGCCAATAGCCACATCTTGCCCCGGGTTTCTGACATCATTTCGCTAACATCCTTTCTTCTGCAGTACCAATTCCGTATGCAGGCCCTCGCTGGCGAACTTCCCGGAGTGAAGAAGGCCAGTTGGTAATTGTATTGGTGCTCTGTAATATATGGAGACCTCTGGTTGAATTGTTTGCACAATGGCGTTTTCTTTCCTTCCATTGGGTGGAAGCATGTACAGTATGCAATTCTCTTTTGTCGAGAAATGAAATCTTTCTTTGTTGTTTTAGTTCCTGCGATCAATCTCCGCCGCTCTCTGCTTGGTGGCGTTGACTTGCTGACAAGTCCAGGTACTGCTTTGGGCCTGATCGTCGTTTGCTAGTGTCGTGAGATCAGGCATTCTTTGTTGGCAGCGCCGAGATCATCTCAATTAGGTTGTTTGCTCCAACCATGATCGTTAATTGCAGATCAGCCCGGCTGATTTGATATATAACTGACTCTGGTAACTGTATATCTTCTTTCCCAATCATATATCCTCAATATCAGCATCAGCGGGAAGATTCTTCGGCGTAGCCTTTTCACAATCGCATCATCGGCCACTGAGCAAATGAGCAGCTTCTCGATGCCATAATCACGTCGTTGACTCTTGCCCATCTGATTTGTTGCCGCGTGGTAAAGCGCGGTGGAAGACAGCGGCGCCTTCCGGTTCTCCTCTTGTGATATCCCTCTCCTCTTCCTCTTCCTTTTCTTCTTCTTCTTCAATTTACCCATCACTCATTTCTTCCTCTTGTCTCTTTGACTTTCTTCTCAAATCAACATCACGCATTGATTTGAAGCTTCGCCAAAATGAATGGCATGCGAGAAGATCTCCTTCCCGACGACATCGTCTTCCCCGAAGAGCTGCTGGAGCTTGGGTAAGTTTTTCCATAGTTTTCAATGCGATATCGCAGCCTTGGGTTCTAACAGTCCACTGAATGACACAGATTCGTCATCACCAAAAATGACAAGATCCGGTGTGTCGCCGCCCCGGACCAGGGCCCTCGTTACAAGGTCAACCGAAGTGACCGCATTAACAAGGTCCACATTGAGACACTTCATAGTCAGTTAACCCTCAGATCCATTTCGACCGTACGCTACGGTCTTGATGAAAGCGTCTGGCACTAACGACTTCACAGAGGCGATTCGTGGCATCATCATTGACCGGCTCCTGGGAATGGGCATGCATTTCATGAAAATCCCCAAAGGCAGCGAGAAGCAGGCTCCTATCTTGGTGTCGGGCAACATTGACACTGCGCCTCGAGTTGTTGTTTTCATCGGCGAGATTATCGAGGACCTGGGCATATTCTCCTACCGTGACGTTTGCGACGACGGCATTTCTTTCGGTTCGATCATAGGCTTTGCAAAGGGTCTGCTTGGCGAAAATGCTCGGGATTCGCCCAATGCTCTCATACTTGCGAACGCCGGCCAGGACGTTTGGTACAATGCAGGTTGGTCCCCAATGACCGCTGAAAGTTATCATGCTCAACACCGCGCCTCTGCCGTGGTCCGCAAACGTCCACTGAGTGGTCGTAACGATGTGATCGGCAACCGCTCCATCGATGAGCATGTCCAGAACATCTTCGAACAAGTCTTGTTGCGCAGCGGCTTCCGAGTCGGTGCCAGAATCGACATCATTGGCCAGTCTGAGGGCGGCAGTGCTGCCATGACATATCTGAAGAACCACTGTGAGTATCTGACTGAATAAGATAGGTGGGGATTGCTTACTGGGCTTACTGACATGGCCCCTAGGGAGTTTCTGGGCGCCCCATATCTCCTCCCTCTCAATGATCAACCCTGAGATGATTCTCAACACGGGCATCAAGGCTGCTGACCTGAAGTTTCCGGAGTCATTTGCCTGGTTCATGAAATACCGCTGCCGTGGCTGGATCATCTGTGACAAGCCGATTGGCACACGTGTGCCCGATCTCCACCTCCCGTACGCTTACAACACATACTCCTCTGGCGAAGGCACAAAGTCGTCAGGCATGGTCACTCGCGGTGTGGGACACATCTTGACATGGATGAATATGATGCATTACTCCCCGATGGCGATAGAGAAGTTTGAGGTGGCCCCTGGAGAGCCCGATCCCAACATGGAAGCTGAGCTCGCATCACTGATCAACAACGGGATTATTCAAATTCCTGGTGGCAAGGTTGAAATACACAGCTTAGAAACCAAGGACCAGATTAAAGGCTGCGTGTCCGGTGTCGCGTTCACCGATGACATGTATACCTTTTTCAAAGAAAATTTGTATCCCGTTGCCGAAGATGACAACAAAAGCGATAATGGCAGTGAATGTTCGGTCGTTAACTCGATAAACGATGACGCGTTTGACGCTCTTCGTGATTCTCTTCCTGGCGTGTTTCCCGCCGGGACTACTCTTCCCAACACTCTCCCCGCCGAGACTCCAGACGCTCCAGACGTGCTTCCCCACGTCCTTCCTGCCGAAGTTACTGGCACTGCCGACATTCTTCCTGCCGAGCCTGACGCTCCTGCCACCATCGACGTAGTTGCCGGCTCTTCTCCCAACGTTTCTCTCGGCACTTCGCCGAACGCTTCTCCTGACGCTCTTCGCGTCCCTAGTGTTCTTCCTCCTGTCAGTAGCATCCCTGATGTTCTTCCTGACGTTTATGCTGACTCTTTTTCTGTTCCGGAAAGTCCAATTTACTTTGACGATGTGAACGTTGGCAGGGCTGGGCCATACGACCTCAGTGACCTGCAAGACATCCGGGAGGAAGAAGAAGAGTGAGCCTGCTTCCTTGTGAAGCAGTGCTGGGGTTGGGATTTGTGTTTCCCGGTGTTCACGCCGGTTGATTTTTCTTTGAATTTCTTTAATTTTGCCTAGACTTTAATATCGCTTTTGAGGTTTCTCCCGGCAGATGCGTGTTGTTTCCTCCCTTGAGATCTATTTAACCAGAAAAACAAAAGAACAAAAAAAAAGCAGGAAATGGCGGACATCTGCTGGGATAGCGAATGAATGAAACCTCTTTTACTAATTTCCCCGGCTAATTTCGCCGTATGCGACAGTAGGTATATGTGTGCTTTGTGTAGTACATGTAGGTATCTGGGTATCATGAAGGCACCCGACATCACAACGTTGACGACCGGCATATAGTATATCAGATTAAATATCTATATTTGCCTATATAAAGTTCCTCTACAACTAACAACGGAACGTCGCATTAAGAATCTACTAGGTGGATAAACTGCTGATCACCAGTGATGCAACAAATTCAGGCATAAGAGTCTTGGAAGGTCTGGGGTAAACAAGACAAGAGGGGAAGGGGTTTCCCACGTCAAACCCATTCTCTTCAATGTTCTTTTACCTATCTTCAAATATTCTCTTATCCTCTTATTCTTTTAGTCTCTCCAACATTTTCTCCAACATTCTCCAGGATATGGAACAATGAACTCAATGAAAGCCCCTCGGCAAAAACAGGGCCATGTTCACAGGCCAAAATTCTCTTTTCCGAGAGTATTTGCCCCCCGGGAAGCAGTTTCGATCGAGTAAAAAGAAAAGATGGCCCGAAAATGGCCAGGCGAGACGACAGTTTCGATCGAGTAATGTGCCCTGATAACCCAAAGGTTGGAAAGCGGGCCATTGATAAGCGGGAATTGCCCGCGGTTTTCAACTTCGGAGGTGCCCGACGCTCTTTTGCCTTTCGGATCTGCTATACCTGCTACAGATGTAGTATTCCCCAGAGAATGCAGAGGGATTGCAGAGAGAAAACAGAGAGAAAACAGAGATTGTCTCCAAATTCTTACCCATTACGGCAAGGGTGAAGGCCATTCAGCATTTTGCACGTCTGCGCCACTTGGCCGAGTACTCGCAGCACCATCGGGCGCTGGAATAATGGCTCGGCAGTGGGCCTGTGGATATTCGATATTCTCTGGATATTCTCTGGATATTCCTTTTTGCTGAAAAAGTGAAATTTCATTTACCCCAAGGTGGGCCCAGACTTTTTTTTCCCTTGGGGAGAGTGGCGTATTTATATCTGCCCCAATCCCCTTATCTTGGGCTTTTGCCCCTCTTATCTTCGTCGTCTTATCTGCACAGCTTTCTTATACTTCGTCTTTTGGTTATATCCGAGTCTTCAGTCCAAACTATATAAGAGTCATGGCAACTAACCTCCCCTCCATTGCCGTGGTGGCTTCATCCCGCGCCGTTATCTCCGGCCGTTTGACCTCTGCAACTGTGGTGATCTCACGGACAACCGGTAAGATCACCGCCGTCTTTGATTCCGTGATTCCAGCATCGGAGTTCCCTGCCGATACTCCCTATACCGACTACTCGCCCCATGTTCTGCTGCCCGGCCTGGTTGATGCGCACGTTCACCTGAACGAGCCTGGCCGCACGGAATGGGAAGGCTTCTATACAGGCACTCAAGCCGCTGCCTTTGGTGGTGTGACCACTGTGATTGATATGCCTCTCAATGCCATCCCGCCCACCACCACCGTGAAGGGCTTGAAAGAGAAGATCCACGCTGCCCAAGGCAAGTGCTGGGTTGATGTCGGTTTCTATGGCGGTATCATCCCCGGCAATGCCGGCGAGCTCAAGGCACTTGTCCAGGAGGGTGTCCGCGGCTTCAAGGGTTTCCTAATTGACAGTGGTGTAAGTGACTGGTATCAGCCTCGTGAGTTCCCTAATTAGTATTAATCTTCTGTAATAGGTTGATGAGTTCCCCGCTGTCGACAAAGAGGATATCAAGAAGGTCATGGCCGAGTTGGCCGATGAGCCAACCACTCTCATGTTCCACGCCGAGATGGAGCCTCCTGTTACCGCATCTGTGGGCGACGAGGCTCAGGCATCTGATGCACCTGCCGACCCCGTCGGCCCCCTTGAGGCGTATGCTACTTTCCTGGCCTCGAGACCCTCTTCATTCGAGACCTGTGCCATTGAAAGTATTCTGTCTTTGGCTCATCTTGCTCCCAACCTCCCCTTGCACATCGTTCACCTCTCTGCAATGGAAGCTATCCCCTTGTTGCAGGAAGCCCGCGCCAACGGCGTCAAGATCACAGCCGAAACCTGCTTCCACTATCTGTCCCTAGCAGCTGAGGAAGTTCGCGACGGCGACACCCGCCACAAGTGCTGCCCACCTATCCGCTCAAAGCTGAACCAAGATGGTCTGTGGGAAGAGCTGGAGAAGCACACCGAAGACGGCGTCATCAAGACCGTCGTCTCCGACCACTCCCCCTGCACACCAGACCTGAAGATGCTCCCAGCCCATGTCCCCGGCCACTGCACCGGCGGCAAGGACGAGGAGAGTGGCAACTTCTTCTCTGCCTGGGGCGGCATTTCTTCCGTCGGCCTAGGCCTGCCCATCTTCTGGACAGACCTCAGCCGCCGTAAGGGTCTGACCTCCTCGCCAGAAGACGAGAACACCAAGAACGCCCTCCAGGACGTTGTTCGTCTCTGCTGCGCCAACACTGCTGCCCAGGTTGGCCTGCAGTCGCACAAGGGCGATCTGGTTGTCGGCTTTGATGCTGATATTTGTGTTTTCGATGACTCTGCCGAATGGACCGTCGAGCCGAGCACCATGCTCTTCCGCAACAAGTGCTCCCCCCTACCAGGGCCGTACTCTGCGCGGCATGGTCCGCGAGACCTGGTTGCGTGGTGAGCGTATCTTCAGCCGTGACCAGGGCTTCCATAGCCAATCGCCGCATGGCAAGCTGCTTCTTGAGAAACGGGTTTGAGATATGTCCCACTCTCTCTTCTTCTTCTTTCTTTTGTCCACGCTTGAGACAAGTTGACATCTCGGCAGGGCGCCTTGCTCTCTTCTCTATATTTCTGCCACTTATATCTCGATCTCAAGTGAGATCGAACCCTCTGATGAGCACTAATGATCGCACAGCATCCATACCCGTTAGATTAATGACAGCGCGTTGTAGCTTTAGGGATAGAATACCAAATGCAAATCCATCCAAGTCTCCTAAAGAGGGTAGCACATAAAAAGTACATCAATGTAGTCATTATTATTGAATACTATACAAATACATATCAAAGACTCCCAACATCCTCACCATCCCTTCCCTTCTCCCACTTCTCCCTAACCCTCCTCCTAACACCCCCATTAACCCCTTTCCCCCAAATTTCCTCTTTCTCCGCCCCAACCTCAACACCTTCATCCACAGCTTGTTTCTCCTCCCCAACCGCCCCAATAACAACCTTCCTTTCCCTTACCCGCCTCTCTTTAACCCTCGCCCGATCCACCTTCCCAAGATACGTCCAATACAAAAACGACTCCGCAACAGCAACACTCAGCGCCGCAAATAGCCCAAGAAGAACCTTAACCGCCTCGCTCGCCAGGATCTGCGACGTCGGGAATTTCGTCAGCGCCGCGTACACGCTGAAACCGGTCACCAACACCGAGATGAATATGCTAGACACCAGCGAGATTGTAAGCGTATCCTCTTCTACGCGGCCGTCGGTTGTGTAGGGCGATGTGTGTGGATCCGCGTGGTCGGGGTTAGGTTGGTAGTTTGGGTTTAAGAGTCGGTTGTAGGATTCTTGTTCTGTTGCTGCGAGGAGACGTGCTTTTGATGCGAGATATTCGGCACTCTGTATTGTATAGATTATTAGGATATGCTTTGTATGGATTTTATATATCCGAGGAAATGAAAGGAAGGGATGGGATGGGATGTTGTGTATAGACCACGTACGGGCTCTGGCTTCTTTGGCGGCGGAGGAACGTAGACTTTCGTGCCGCGGAGGAGGGAGCTGAGGACTGTTGGGCTATGAGAGACATGCTCCTTGTATTCAGTGTCTGTTTGGAGGCATCTGGCGAGGCGGATCAGTTGCTCGTGGGCTATCGGGCCTTGCGCTTCCAGCGTGGTAGGCAAATCTAGCTCCTCGCGGCGCGCAGCTGGAATGACTTCGAACGCGGCGAGGATGCGGTCTGTCGTAACAAGCAGGACCATTATGATACAAAATCAATAAATTAAGACAATTAAGCACGAATCCATTGAGGAGCAGGTCAGTTCATAGGGGGAGATAAAGCGGAACCCCCCCCAAAAAAAGTGGCAGTTAAGCTCCTCCCCACATCGTCATATCTTCCTCTCTTCTCTCTTCACACATCTCGACCATGGCAGACTCAAAGAAGAGGTAAAGTAAATTCCCAATTCTTATTCTACTCAAATCCGCTTCTAGCTTCCAAGCCCCAACCTCAATCCCATGCCCGCATTCAAAAAACCAGGAAAACTAACCCCTCCAACCCAGCACGGTAACAACACAAACCAACCCGCGCGGGATCCCCGTCGCTCCCTTCGTCGACAATGTCAGCGACTACGTCTCCTCCCGCGAGGAAGTCGAGCCTACCCTCCGCTCCTTCCAGGAGATGATCTCCAAGTACCAGTTCATGGAGGTGAACACCCAGCGCCGGGCCCAAGGTCTGCGCGAGAAGATCCCCGATATCAAAAAGACGCTGGAGATGGTGCGGTTCCTGCAGCTGCGCAAGGAGGTAAATATCCCCCGCGTCTTCTATTCATATGCGATTCGGAGAAAAAAGTGATTCGTGGAGCATGCTTTGGAAATCGGAAATATCAATTCACTAACACTCACTGTGCCTGTCTAGTCCAACCCTGACTCAGACCTCGAGACTAACTTCGAACTCAATGATACCCTCTACGCCCGGGCTGCGATCTCGCCTGCTGATGCCGAGGAGGTCTACCTCTGGCTTGGAGCGAATGTCATGTTGGCGTACCCGCTCGGCGAGGCGGAGACCATGCTGGATGAGAAGCTCAATGCTGCGGAGTCGAGCTTGAAGAATTGCGAGGAGGATCTGGAATTCTTGCGCGAGCAGATTACGGTTAGTTTATTCCTGCGAGAGACGTGTGGGTGGGATATTGGCGCTTTTGCTAACGCGCTTTTGACTTGCAGACATTGGAGGTTGCCACGGCGCGTGTGTATAACTGGGACGTTGTAGAAAGGCGTAAAGATAAGGCTGCTGGCAAGGGTGAAGAGGAAACGGAAAAATAAGAAGCGCCCTGGTGGCTGAATGTGTTTTGGAAGGGATTTATGGGATATTATAAAAATGTTGCCAATGTCATCGATCATGAATGGTCTATTATCTTCCAGGTCAAATGTCAAGGCCAAAAAATAAGGAAATCATAACGCATCATGGAAAATCATGGAAACGAAGTAGTGGATATTAGAAGAATAGGCTCTAAACCAAATGCCGTATGCATAGAGAACGGGAACAGAGCAAAAGAGACGCATGTCATGATTCGTGAACCTTGGAGGCAATGGAAAATCGCCAAAAAAACAAAAAGAGAAATAGAACGCCCCCAAATCCCCCAATCTTCATGAAGCTTGAGCACACTACCTTCACTATGAACATCTCCTAGTCCGCCTGTACAGCATGTCGTTGGGCACAGGGGATCTGAGGATAGCGAAAGATGTTGGGAGTGCGCTGGTGTGTCTCAAAACAAAATCCAAATACTAATCATTCAACTCGGGAAAACATATTCATTGGAACATGTTGGAACCTAGTCTGTCGGCATCTGAAGCAGCTCGCTCACGCACCCGCTTCGAGATGTCAAAGCCAGTTTCATCACCGACAAAGGTCCACTCCTCAATATCATCAAGGTCGTCATCACCCCCATCCGGGGAGGCTTTAGCTGTGGGCGTAGGAGAGAACGGGGTTGACGAGGCAAGCGACTTTTGCCGGGCCAAGGTCTTAGCGTATTCAAGATCGCGATAGAGGGCCTGGATTGCAGTGGCCACACCGTCTTCCTAAACAAGGAATATCACATTAGCACTCCATCCATTTAGGCTGCGTAGTCTTGGAATAACTCACATTTCGGATCTGGATGCCCAGATTTCGCGCCTTTACAATCATACGTTCGCTGTGCGTTGCCTCCCAGAGAGCCCGCGAGAAGACACTGACGTTCAGTTTCTTCATGCAGATGCCAACGCCTAGATCCTCCACCCGGGAGCCGAAGAAGAACTGGTCTCCGAAGAATGGCTTGACGATGGTGGGGACGCCGGCTCGAAGACTTGCGCCGGTGGTTCCTGCTCCACCGTGGTGGGCTGCAGCATCGATTTGCGAGAAAAGCCAGTCGTGGGGAGCAGATTGGATCTGAAGGATCTCTGGTGGTAGAGGTATCTCCGTCTTCGTACTAGCCGGGTCACCCAGCCTATCAGACCAACCCTTGGAGAGGATGCATCGGACATCTGCTTTCAGGACTGATTCGATGACAGTCCGTGTCAGGGCAGAAGGATCCGAGACCACAATGGATCCGAACCCGATGTACACGAGCTTCTTGCCATCCGCTCTGGCCTGCGCAATGAATCTCGATAGTTCAGTCGGAGGAGTCCAATCTGTGCCCTCATTCAAAAACCAGTAGCCGGTAATGCGAATCCAATCCGGGTAATCGAGGGGCGGGGCCACCACGGACGGCGAGTAATTATACAGGAATGGGACTTTGTTTTGCTGCATCTTGTCCAAAGTTGTGGCCTTCAATCCCAACTCGTTGTTTCGCCAGCGGTTAACTTGCCCCGCGATGGCCTTCCAGAAGATATTGTCGAACATGACGTACGTGATGTAGTTGTACGCTCCACCCATGCGATTCTCCGGTACTGCAAAAGCGTGAGGGTAGGCCCTTGTTCTTGTCCATGGCATGGTGAACCCGCGGAAGTACGGAATCCTTAAAGCCTCTGCAATGTGAATTCCGGCCATGGCGCTCGGTGACTCGATTAGAAGGTCACTGCCCTGACAACCAATCCACGCCGATGATAAAAGATCATCGATCCAACCTCTGAACTTCAATGAAGCTTCTCTGAGGAAGGAATATGTGAACATCCCGTTCTCCACGCAAATTCGCATTAGCTCCGCAGGATCACCGTCAACGGGAGCAAAATCAATCCCGTGTTCTCTGATCCAGGGTTCAAACTCGGCGTGGGTTGCAATCTTCGGTTTGTGGCCCTCCGCAAGCAGTCCCTTGCAAAGCGCAATGTACGGTTGTACATCGCCCCGGGAGCCGATTGTCAGACAGGTAATCCTTAGAGGCTCGGGAGGTTTGAAATTGATAATGGAAGCGCGAGGATCGTCAAAGAATGGATGTATCTCTGATGTATCCTCGGTCAAGGTTGGACGTGCATCATGTTCCTCAGGGCTATCTAGTCTTGCTTCCTGAAGCATGCGGTGTTCAGCCTTAGCTGCTTCAACTTCGTCCCGTTCTTCCTCCGCTAGCAAGCCAGATTCCACCAGGAATTTCACGGACTCCAGATTTTGATGCAATGTGACTGCGCAGTCATCCCGTGAATCCGAGGCATTGAACTCAAAGAAAAGCTCTTCATGACCACGGATGATGACAACAAGTCCATGGTATCCAAAACGGAACCCTTTCTCCTTTTCAACGTTCTCGATGTCTTTGAACGGCAGAATCATTTTGGTCCGAGTACCAGGAATCAGGCTGCGGAAACAAAGCTTTTTCTGACTTATATAAATCTTGCCGTAGAGCGGGAGCACACGATGCAAGTAGGCGTAATAAGTCGCCTGCAGTTTTTCGGTAGGCGGAAGAGCAAAGTGTGCACGAAAGCGATCCCCGTAATTGAATGAACCTTCGTTATCCTCAGGATCAACGTTCTGATCTTCGAGCAATGGCCCTTCCCGCTCACCGTAATGCTTCTGGCCACCAATCCACATGCCAGAGACCTTTTCTATATAGCCCATTGACTCTGTTGCTAACAGCGTACTCATCTGTTTCGAGCGGCTCTTCAAGTATTCCGCAAAACCAGCGGCGCGTTGAAGGGGATATGCGCCCGCTTTGACAAGTTCATTTAAGTGAGTAACCGAGCTCGGCCTTGAAGATTGCATTGGATCAGATTGGCCGGTGGCATATCGCTTGTCTTCTGTGGTTTCATTGTGACCCAGTGTTCCACATGGAGAGCCTGCCGCTGCATCCAGGTCCAGCCGCGCAGATGCAGAGGGAGTCGTATCATCTGAATATCGTCGAATGCTTTCTCCAACATCCAATGAGTGCCCTTGCAGTGTGCGCATAGTGGGCGATTGAAAGACGTCGCTTCTGTGCAGAATCTGACTGGCCGATTCAGTGGTGTCTGTCATCGATTGTATAATCGGCGATGACCCGGTCCCTTGCTCCGCAAATGAGTCTGCCGAGCCTTGATTTTCATTTCCTACGCTGGAGCTTCGCTTGCGTGGTGAATCTTCCACTCTCTGATCAGACACTCGAACGCTGCTGACTGACTGTCTCTTATAGGCAGTACGGCTTGATTCGGGTTGATGTTTGATATAGTGTTGGTCCTGCGCCTCTTTCGTTGCGGTGGTAGCTGATGCAGCGTTAACCAGACCTTTGATGTAGTTGAACGCGTCCTGGCCCGAATCGAAGAATGAGAAGAAATACTTTGAACTGATCAGCAATGAACATAGAGTAATGTTTCGTCCCACAACCTACCTCATCAATTGCATACGTTTCGCCGCTATCGAGAACTCGAATTTTGAAGGTCTCCGCGAAATCGGCCATTGGGCTCTCCTCCAGATCAATAACATTCGCTATTGGAAATGATACTTTAACACTGTCACCTTCATTATGCGTCCGGAAGATGACTTGCTGGAGGGCTTTCACCCATTCCTTTGCACTGGTAGCGCTGTCTGCCCTGAACAAATAAGTCCGCTGATCGGTAGTGACCTGAAAGTCTTTTGCATCACCGTCTTTGCGTTCTGTGAGAGACGCAGAGATCCCATATCGAAGATCGACATGCCCGCTAGGAAAGTAGAGATTGGAGGGATCTGCGTAGTATGAGAGGACATCTCCCTTCAGAGCAAACCAATAGCGATGATACTTAGGGTTCTTGCGGCCGCGTTTGGACAGGTACCCCGATTTTATCGCCACGTTGGACTTCTTTGGAAGGTAGGCGTAAAAGCAGATGTGACCTTCCGTCACATACATGTAGCCCTGAAGAAGCATGCTCTGGAGCAACGAGCAGGCATACTCCACCAGAACTTTTTCAGGCTTTGCAAACTCAAACATCTTCATCAATCGCATAGAAAGAGCGGACGCAGATGATTGCGGTTGGTCCTCCATGGGTTTGTCTGGATTATTGGGCGGCATGTATGGTGTTGCCGATGTCAAATCAAAGTGAGATTGTGCTTCAACCATGCGACTTAGAACTGGGGCTGCTCGCGGTGTCGCACTGCGAGTTCGCCTTAGAGGAGGCACCTTGAGCATCGAGTCGCTTTGGTTCGATGACTCGTTTACCCCGCGTTCTGTATCTGACTTGGGTAACCTCTGCAGAAGCTTATTGTCTGAACATGCTCTTTGGTGGCGACGTCCTCTTTCTTCCAGAACGAGTTTGTTTGGCTCTGAATCCTTGCTTGGCTGGCAGGGGTCCAAGGATGGCACAGGCGGCGTCCGAGATGATGCTTTCCCACTAGTTTGTTCCACCCGCGGTTGTTCTTCCATCTCTCCATCACTATCGCTTGATTCATCAAACCGGGCATGGAAGTCCGACTTAGATCCGACAGCAGCAATCATGGAGAAGAGGGACTGCTGCATATAATGCACGTTGCCGTCCCGTGAACCCATACCTCGCGGCGGAGCTGTGAAATCAAACTGGGCATCATCCCCATCCTTAAATCTGTCTGGCACTCGATCTGAAAATGGACGGTTGGACGAAGTATGTTTCATACTCGCGCTCAACTGCCGGTCTGCCCGGCGTTTGGCATCGTCCCTTAACGGTCTCATCCTTATCTCTGGTATACCAATACAATACAACTGATGCAAAACGTAGGTCAAAGGCGGGAGTAAACGAGATTAGGGCGTGGTGAATCACTAAAATCGGTCGGGCAGTCAGAAGCTCGAGCCAGGTGACAGCCCGGCGCTGATAGGACTATGACGCTTAGGTATGCACTAGTCAAATGGGGAGACCATCAACCGAGCTGGACACCAAGTGACTGTGTCATATTAAAATGTTAGGTCAGGCGCCAGATCTTGATAGGCAGGGTTAATGGTGAACAACGCACGGGATTCCAGGGTCTAGGCCGATAAGCGCTTTGAAGCTCGGACGCCAGATATGGATGAAGCTGTCAAATCACGCTCCAAATCATGCAAGCACCATGATCTATATTGCATAGATCATGGAAATAAAAACAACAAAAAGAAAGTCCAAATCTATCCAGTTCATAGAAATCTTAGATTATGCACAAAGAGAAATATCACCTGGGCTCTCTCCGCATGCATGTGATCTATGACTCCATCGCCCCTTTTATGTCAGCTTGGTGCCTGAGGCAAGATATGTAGATCTTATCTATATTCCATTCTGTGCATGCATCTTCCTTTGTGCCTTTGTGCCTCTTAGGATATCTTCTTATCATTCTTCTAACTTTGGCTTGGTGCTGTAAATTGTTGGCTTTTGTTGAGATACCTGTTCAAATCCCAAAAAAAAAAAAAACAGTTGGTTTTAGCGATGGTTAGGTTAAGCATTTGGGGATCGACCGGCAATTGTTGATCCTAGATGCCATTCGATATTGGATGCCGAATTGAAGTTGAAGCCTGTCAGTTTGTGTAGCAGGAAGCCCTAGCTTAGCGCCGCAATTAGGGTGAAGCTCATTGAATTATACTAGTGCTCCGTCTCATGACACTAATCGGGAAAAAAAAGGCAGTGGAACAGCCAAGATCGTGTAACATTGCTCAAATTGCCCTGCCATAAGAGCTACCAGATGCAAGGTGTGAGATAAGATTGTAGATTGTACATAGTATTGGGGACGTCGTTAAAACAAAGCTATTCTCAAAAACCACTAACGCCAAATCATGCTTTTTCGGACTTCTTCCGCTTCTTTTCCTCCTTGTCCTTGTGGGACTTCTTAGACTTCTTCCGGCTTAGACTATCATCCTCCTCCTTCTCTTGTGAGTGCTTCTTCGACTTCTTCCGAGGAATGGCCGCAGCTTGGGGGGGCTTCATCCCCAGCCTCATCGTGATCAAGCTTCCTCTTCCGTTCCTCTCCCTTCGGAACCTTGAACGAAGGCACCTCAGCCTCGGATTCCGAGCTAGATCCAAGAGTCTCTGGGGGCGCACTGGTTGTCCCCACAGGTCGGAAGCGCATCTTCAAGTTCTTCGGCTGTGGCCGGGCTGGCTTGACATATTTGCGCAATTCTGCCACTACGGCATCGGTGTTTTCCGATGTGCTTGGGAGACCGATCATTTCTTGGACGTGGTAACTTGGGACGCTGTGAGCTGCTGTCCGATATGTTTGCGTCTTCTCGTCAAAAACAAGTAGCGATTTGGTCGCGGGATCGGTCTCGGAAAGAGCCTCGACTGGGATACCGTAGTTTACACCTTCGTGAGAGATGATCGGTTCACCCTGCATGATCTTGGCCATGCACACCTCCTTGACTTTAGACAAAGGTAGAGAGGCAGGTGCTGTGAGGTGGAGGACTTGTTTGCCGTTGAGGTTGGAGAGAAGGGAGGAGGCTTTGGAGGATGGCGGGGCCTGCTTCTTTGCAGACTTGAAACCCGCTGGTGGTTTGTATGGCTGAGGACCGGAGATTGCAGCCCTATGAGGAAAGGATTAGTTATTATTAGTTACTACCAGAGCTGATAGAGGTATGATCACTTACTTCTTGCCTGAGCTGGAGTCTGGCTTCATTTCGCTGGAATTGTCGGAGTCGCTACCTGAGTCCGAACCTGAGTCCGAACCTGAGTCCGAGGTATCATCTTCGCTTGACTCCTGTGCCTTCGTATGTTTCGTCATTTCTTTCTCTTTTTCGGTAACAAGCTCGGGCGAGGTCGATCTGCTCGAACTGCTGTCGCTGTCGGATGATGCCATGGCGGCTGTTCAATGTGTTGGGCAAACTCGAGGTCGAGACTAGAATGCTTTCGCAAGAATGCGCGGCGTCTGACACACCCAAAATACCACAATATAAATGAAACAGGTCAATGGGGTAATGCACAGGATATATATGCAAAGTTCAGCAAAGCCGATTTCGCAAAATGAATTGGATCGACTTTGAGTGAGAATGCTCAAGTCCTACGATCTTTTTTTTTCTGCTCCGCGGGAGCACGGACCACCCGCCAACTTTTTTTTGCTTATCGGCTTTGGATCGCATTATCGAGGCCATTTTCCTTTCGAACATAAGCTCAAAGCGCGTGCGCTTGAATTGTATAATATCATGGTGAAGCGAAAGGCTGAAAAACAGCAATCAGCTGGTAAGCCCTTTATCAATGTTATATGGCACCAATTTGAAGCTCACATGTCGTTTATCTAGGCCCTGTTAGTGCCGTCGCTGCTTTAGCAGCACGCAGAGCTCGGCAGCAGCAAGCGCAAAGCGCAAATGTACCACAGGATGCGCCACAGGCTATTATTGAGAGCGAGCGGCCCTTGAAAAAGTCACGGCAGTCTCTCGAGGGACCTGAGGCGACCGAGACAAATGAGGAGCGTCATGGTACACGGACAAAGGCAGCAAAGAAACAAGATGAGCCATTGCCCGCAGAGACAACACCGGAGCGCCCAGTAAGAGCTACTCGGCCTCAAAAATCGGAAGTGAAACGTGAAGTGGGGAATACTCCTGGGCACCCCGAAGACGAGCAGTCTGAAAAAGATCAAGTCAAGGATGCAGGAGACATGGATGAGGATGATATTGCGTCTGTTGTGGGTGATGCCGATGGCTATGAATCACCCACAGAAACACCAGCAGAGCTCCAGAATTTCCCTCTATCCAAGGCTCGGTTGAACAAAAGCAACATAATCTACAATGATGAGAGCACACTTTGCGTTCGCATTAAGGAACGGACGGTATGGACGAACCTTCCCGGCTCTTTGAGGTGAATACTGACTCTGGCTTGCCTTAGAACCTGGCGTTGTTAGGCCATTATGATCTCTGGGTCAAAAGAGGTGTAGTCAGTCTGATGGGCGCCAAATTACATCCGTCCTCGCAACTGCATAGAGTTTATGCTCCCTCAACCCACTCTTTGCCGATCATAAAATGTGTTGCTGGAGTCGACGGCGAGGCAGAAGTGGAGATCAAGTCCTGCACCAGCGGCATTTCCCGCCTCCGTGACCTCTCGCCTCTGTATCAAAGGATATGGGCCGGTGAGAACACCGTTGCAGATAAAATCACCCTGAAAGGGGTTGCAAAAGACTCCAAGCGGACTTTTTCGGTGGTATGTTGTCATACTCTACTCCAGATCGAGCTGTGTTCAAAACTAATTGGCGTGGCAGTTGTATACCTCGGCAGATGATTCCTTAAATAGACATATCCGACCGCTTCACCTTGACAAGAAATGGAGTGCATCAATGAAAGCTCTCTCACAACGCCAAGGACAACTTCGGGTCCTAATTTGTGGCCCCAAGGCGTCCGGAAAGTCTACCTTTAGTCGCTACTTGTTGAATCACGTTCTCAGTCCAACGCCCGAGACCGAGAATGGATATACTAATACCGATGGAGTTGCTTTCCTGGATTTAGACCCGGGCCAGCCTGAGTTTGCCCCTATGGGTCAAGTGTATCTCGCACGCTTGCGCTCTCCATTCTTCGGTCCGCCTTTCACCCACCCATCTTTGGACGATTCCCACGACGGTGAAATAGTGCGGGCGCATCATATCGGCGCAGCATCGCCAAAAGAAGACCCTGATCACTACGCACTGTCCGTCATGGATCTTATGGATCAATACCGCTCCTTGCTGGAGAAACATCCCCAATGCCCTCTGATCATCAACTACCCCGGTTGGATCTTTGGACAAGGATTAGAGGTTGCAACTTGGCTGGTCAGATCTCTTGGTCTATCTGATGTGGTATATATGAGTGAAAAGGGCCCATCAGAAGTCGTGGATCCGTTAGGTCTGGCTGCCCAGGAAGCTCGGGTCCCCTTGACAGTCCTCCCATCCCAGCCCACTGATTTCGTGAGCCGATCAAGCGCTCAATTGCGAGCGATGCAGATCCAGTCATACTTCCATATGTCTTATCCAAATGATCTCAGAACTTCGCTTTGGTCAGGTGTACCGCTGTCTCGCACCAGGCCTATTACTGTGGACTATGCTGGTGCACGACAAGGCATTCTGGGAGTCATGGTCATGGGATCCCAGATCAGTCCCGATCTACTGCACGAAACGCTTGAAGGCGCTATCGTAGGAGTCGTGGCAGTGGAATCGCCGAGAGCTATCATGGGTGGGATGGCAACATCAGAGACACCGAATGACGAAGACCATGAGGATATTGACATGGATTCAGCAAACCCAAGCGCGGGTAATTCAGCTGAGCTTTCCATAGCTGACAGCATTGTACGAACATCCGAAAACCTTCCTTACCTCTTTGTTGGTTCTGGCAGTTGCATTCCATTGGATCCCAAAGCGTCAAACTGTCTTGGTCTCGCTTTGGTCCGCTCGATCGATACCTCTTCGCGCAAGCTTGAGCTCTCTAGCCCTGTTCCCTCATCTCACCTAGAAAAAGCCATCGAACAAGGTCACAGCATTGTGCTGGTCCGTGGCCAGCTTGATAACCCGAATTGGGCTATTAGTGAGGAATACTACGCCGCTCGTGCGGCAGAGCGGCGCTATCAGCAATCGACATCTGGGCCGCGGAAAGCTGGAGACTCTGGCAGCGATCAGGCACACGAGCTCGATCCGGCTGAGCATAATCGAACGCTTGCATTGCTGCGAGAGAGGGTCCGCCGGGCGAGCAATGTGCCTTGGATGACTGTCGTGGAAGATAACAGTCGGCACCAGCGTGAAGTTGCTGCGCGACGAGAAAAGTCGCTATGGAAATTGAGGAAAAAGGCCTATCCCGGCAGCGAGAGCGAGGCGGACTACTAGCTCCCACGTATCAAATATATACATAGGAAGAAATCAAATGCAACAGCAGTTTGCACACACAACTTTACTGGTTTCTACATATCGCCCTTGACGTTTCAACTTCGCCTGGGCAGTACTCTGCGGAGCCCCTCATTGGTCACGTGGGCGGAACAGCGGGGCGCTTTTTTTCTTATCGGGAAATTCTCCAGGGCCAAGATTTGGTTTTTTTTCCCTTAAAGAGTCATAGTCCATATACACTTGGAGGCTACTTCTGTTTAGCCAATACATATTGTCGCAATCAATTGCAGTTGATCTGTGGTTGTTTTCGACATCTTCCAACATTTTCACCAAGAGAACTGTGTGACTCAATTTCACAATGTCTGAATCCGAGGTGATTCCTCACAACAGTTTCGACACCATTCTGGTGCTCGACAATGGATCCCAATAGTATGAACCCCCCCGCAGTGGTGATGGCGACTGTACCCTTGTCGGCAACCCTATTTTTTGGTGTTACAATTCGCCGGTTCTAACGAATCCCTGCGTACAGCACCCACCTCATTACCCGCCGTCTACGAGAGATCAATGTCTACTCTGAGATGCTCCCGTGCACCCAGAAGCTCGCCGACCTGACCTGGAAGCCCAAGGGTATCATCCTGTCCGGTGGGCCTTACTCCGTGTACGAGGAGGGTGCCCCCCACATCGACCCCGCCTTCTTCGAATTGGGCGTCCCCATTCTGGGAATTTGCTACGGTCTCCAGGAGATTGCCCACCGTCTGCACGCCGACAGCGTTGTCGCCGGTACCGCCCGCGAATATGGTCACGCTGACCTGAAGGCCACCCGGTTCGGAGGCCATGTTGACAAGCTGTTCGAGGGCCTTGAGGATGCCATGACCGTGTGGATGTCCCACGGTGATAAGCTCTGCAACTTGCCCGAGGGATTCCACACTATCGGCGAGACCAAGAACTCTGAATACGCCGCTATCGCCCACAAGTCTGAGCCCGTGTACGGCATTCAGTTCCACCCCGAGGTTACTCGTAAGTGTTTGGTTGCGTGACTTGTGCTTCTCCTTCGGCTTAGGTACTGACGGGTTCTCAGACACTCCTCAGGGCGGCCAGCTTCTTAAGAACTTTGCTGTCGGCATTTGCGGTGCCAAGCAGAGCTGGACTATGTCCGAGTTCATCGGCCAGGAGATCACACGCATCCGTAACCTCGTCGGCCCTACCGGTCAGGTCCTGGGTGCTGTCAGCGGTGGTGTCGACTCTACCGTTGCTGCCAGCCTTATGACCGAGGCTATCGGTGACCGTTTCCACGCCGTACTTGTCGATAACGGATGCATGCGTCTGAACGAGTGCGAAGTTGTCAAGGAAGTCCTGCAGAAGCAGCTTGGCATCAACCTTACCGTTGTCGATGCCAGCGAGGAATTCTTGGCTGGCCTGAAGGGCGAGCACGATCCCGAGAAGAAGCGCAAGTTCATCGGTGGCAAGTTCATCGATGTGTTCGAGGAGGAGGCCCGCAAGATCGAGGCCAAGAGTGCCGGAAAGGTCGAGTGGTTCTTGCAGGGCACTCTCTACCCTGGTAAGATTATTTTTTGCTCGTAACTCAGCGACTTAAGCTAATATATCTTCAGATGTCATTGAGAGTATCTCATTCAAGGGTCCTTCGCAGACTATCAAGACTCACCACAACGTGGGTGGTATCGCCGAGCGTCTCATGGCCGGTCACGGCCTGAAGCTGATTGAGCCTCTGCGCGAGCTTTTCAAGGATGAGGTCCGCGAGCTGGGCCGCCAGCTTAAGATCTCCGAGGAGCTTGTTGGCCGCCACCCCTTCCCTGGTGCGTAAACCCACACAAATGCCCGCTTAATCAGTCTCCAGATCTGAGAGCTAACATCATCTCTAGGCCCCGGTCTCGCCATTCGTGTCTTGGGTGAGGTCACCAAGGAGAAGGTCGATATGGCCCGCAAGGCCGACCACATCTTCATCAGTATGATCCGCGAAGCCGGTCTGTACGATGAAATCGGCCAGGCCTACGCCGCGCTGGACCCCTCGCGCGCCGTTGGTGTCATGGGTGACAAGCGTGTGTACGCCAACATCATCCTCCTCCGCGCCATCTCCACCAAGGACTTCATGACCGCCACCCCCTACCCCTTCGCCTACGATTTCCTTAGCAAGGTCGCTACCCGCATCGTCAACGAGGTCGAGGGTGTGTGCCGTGTTGCATACGACTTCACTAGCAAGCCCCCCGGTACTATCGAGATGGAGTAGATCTCTAGTATTTTCTTGGTTTAGGGTTTGCTTGTGTTGTGGGGGTTATAATAGAAAAGTTACACTGTCGATACATGTTTAGCTAAAATGATTGGGATGCAGGTTACGAATCCATGTGCATAGAAAGGAATCAAGTTCATTATGTCATATTTTATACTGAATGTTTCATGTAAGATGAGGAGTAAATAACAAATGCAAGGCTCAAAGTAAGAAAGTGACTGACCCCGTGTATAACACTTAAATCGGTCTGGCAAAAGGAGGCTGGCAAGACAAAACATGACATAAACAACCTTAGAGCTCCCGATCCCCAGGTGATGCCTCGATGTATGTCTGATCTCCTCGCTTCTGCCACGACTGGAACATGAGAGATGCCACGTTCCGGCCCATCAGCGCACTAGTCTCCATTGTCGAGATGAAGCTCTCGATGCCACCCGTGTACCACACGCCCGGAGCCAGAAGAGTCTCCTCAAATGTCACCCTCGGATAGAGAAGAGGATATGGGTTCCATAGCTTCTCATGGAACCAGCTGATATCACCTGTCGAAAGGTCTCCGATGGTCGTATTGCTTCCCACAGTCTCATTCTCCAGCCCCAGAATCTGGGCAATGAATTCAGCCGTGGGCCGCTCTGGCGAGAAGATTTTGTAAACGTAATGTTGCTGTGTATCTTCTTCAGAGCCCTCGACTGAATGATTCACTGTTCGAAGTGTACTGATACTCCAGAAACCGCTGGGCCCAACACCATCTGGGTTCGAACCCAGATCAAGGCCCTCGGGCAGAGTGGTCAGAATAGTCTCAGGCGCTCGAGCATTTGAGTCTTTCAGGCCAAAATACTTCGGTGAGATACGATGTGGGGATGCAAACAGTGTAACGTGCAGATTGACATATGGAATCTCATCTGGGGTGCTCTCCAAGGGAGGAGACATGGAGATACCCGAGTACTGCAAAGGACCGGCAATGACAACTTCGTCAAATACCTCATGCTCTGAGCTGACAGCGGTGTTTAACTTTGAGGAGACCCGCACAGTCCCATGGTCATCGCGTAAAATGTCAGTGGCCGTGGTATTCACTTTGATATTCGCTCCCGAAGCTCTCAGCGCGCCATCGAAAATGCGCCAGTTCCCACCCTTGATAGAAACCGCTCCATCCGTAGCCATGCAGACGATAGATTCCAAGCCATGAATCAGCGGCAGGTTCTGCCCATAATTCACTCGAGTACTTGCTTGGATGATCTCCCTCGCAAACAGCGAGTCGATGCTATTTGTATGGAGAAACGCATCGCCAGAAGATGCAGTAGCATTGATCAAGTCGACCGCAATAGCCGCTTCAGTAAGAGAGCTGAAAGGGAATAATGGCCCTTCATAAAGTCGGAGAAACCTGCCAACGACACTCTTCACCAGATTCTGAGTGTGCAGCGGCGCCAGTCCGTACCGCCAGAAGAGCCGGCCGATATTCCACCAGCTATACGAATTCTTCAACGTGAAAACAAACTTGTTCCCGTCCCAGATCCCGATACTCTCCTCAGTCTCCCTGGGCCGGGCATGGTCAGCACTACTGACCGTCAGACCGAGGTCACGGGAAGCGTTGACCAGGTTGTAATTGACCTGGACAAAGATGGAGGCGCCAAGCTCAATGGGGTATGCTGGGTCGTCGAATACATCGACTGTTGTTGAGCGACCACCGACATATGATTCACGCTCATAGACTGTGATATCGACAGGGATGTTGGCTTCATCTGCGAGCTTACGCAGTTGATATGCAGCAAACGACCCTCCGGCTCCGGCTCCTTATGAGGGTTATCAGTTGTATGGAACTACGCTCTTGTGTAGAGAGATGCATACCGATTATTGCCACCCGCTTAGGGGTTGCATTAACGGCCCCTTGCAGTGGCTCTTGTTCTGATGCATTACCAAACGAGATGAGTAGGATGGCTAGGATGGAGTATAGGAAGAGAGGGACATGCGGTGGCATAAAAGCCCGCATGATTATGGTAGCACTAGAAAATGGCAAAGCTAATTGGTAGGTGAATAGCAAGTTCTGATTAAACAGAGATTAAATATAGATCAGATATCAACAGATATCATCAGACGTTGAAGTCAAGGGATTGATGCCCAGGTGCCAGTGTAACTTGGTAGGTAGGCAATCATAATACGCTAGTCCCTGTTAGGACTAGTGCATTTCCATATCGCTTATCTTTTTTGAGGGGCATCACAGATTTGATTCTCTTAACTCCGAACCAATTCAAAATGGATCCCTATGACAGTGACTCCAGTGTCGACGAGGACTTCACCGATACTGGTGTGCTTTTAGGCTATGCTGCTGAGGATGTCATCGAGGACGTAATCAGCCATCTTGGAGGCTGGCCGGTATGTTCTACCACTGCGAAGGATCACTCTCTATTATCGGCTCCAACTGACAATAGCCATTTTTTCGTTTCAGAAATGGCTCGATGAAGCCTCCCCAGCACCTGGTGATTTCGCCAATTGCAAAGTCTGCAACAGCCCAATGCTGCTGCTCCTCGAATTGCACGGCGATCTGCCCGATCACTTCCCGACCGACGAACGACGCCTATACCTATTTGGCTGCCCCAGAAAACCTTGCAACCGCAAACCAGGCAGTATCAGAGCATTCCGTGCGGCGCGCAAGGTTACCGTCGGCGGACAAAACAAACAAGATGAAACAAAACCAGAGGAAAACAAGCCCGTCGCACCAGAGCAACCCAAGCAGGACCTAGGAGCGAGCCTGTTCGGCGCAACAAACCTGACAAGCAACGTATCCTCGAACCCGAACCCCTTCTCATCTGCTTCGGGCCCAACACCCGCAGGCAGCAACCCCTTCGCAACACCGGTCCAGACAACAGCTCCTACCGCCGAAAAACCCGTGTCTGCAAACACCCTGGAGTCCACTTTCGCCGACAAAGTGCGCATCTCCTCTCCGCCCCCCCCTCAGCCGCGACAAAGAAGACACCCGAATCAGGAACACCGGCGCCGTGGCCCGCGCAGTCCGCATTCCCTGCGCCGTACAAGAATTTCTTCCTAGACGCAGAATACGAGACTCTCTCCCGGCCGTCTTCACCCACAGTGCCAGATAATGTGCAGATCGAACCAATGGAGGAAGAAGGCACTGGTGCCGCGGAGCTGAAGGACACTTTCGAGTCCGAGCTCGACAAGGATTTTATGAAGTTCTCGATGCGCATCGAGCACAACCCGGAGCAGGTGCTGCGGTATGAGTTCCGCGGTGCACCGCTACCTGTACTCGACTAGCGATGAGGTCGGTTCCCGGCTACATGTTCACAACGCTCCTGGCGCCAAGGTCACCACAGTTGGTTCGGGGAGTATCCCGGCTTGTGAGTACTGTGGAAGTCAGCGTGTGTTCGAGTTCCAGCTTGTGCCGCATGCCATTACTATGCTTGAGGAAGGGCGTCCTGGTGTTGGGCTTGGGAAGGATGATGCGGGCATGGAGTGGGGTACTATCATCATGGGGGTCTGTGGTAAGAACTGTACGCCGCAAGAGCTGGGCGTTACTGGGTGGCGGGAGGAATGGGCTGGTGTGCAGTGGGAGGAGTTGAGGTAGATGTGGACGTTTTGCATTAGAGTCATTTGCCTACCTTAGGTTGTACATAGCAATTCTACCAGGAAAATTCTAGTATCTTGAATATATTGCCGTGGGATCGCCTGCAATCTTTATTGTATATAATGCGGAAGATGGCTTCACTACTGAGTCAAAACGCTCCAAGCCGGTTGACACGGGATTTGCGCTAGGACAACTAAAAGACCGTGCCTATCTAGTTAAGATCAAGTGAGTACTCTTTTCTAGAAAAGATTGACCTATATTGCTCGCCAATGCACGCGTCATCTTGCCCTTGAAACGTCTTAAAATGGTATAGATGGGCTTGATTCTCCTACATTTGTCAGTGATTTGGACATAGTCTATAAGATGAAGGCATATCACATGGAACCTGCTTCGTATAGAATAGATCGTCCTTCAGCCAAAACCTAATCTGAGATCTTGTACGACTTTGCACTGTTGTGTAACTACGTCTATATGCAGCCAGTAACAAGAATGGACAAGATCGACGACATACTTCCATTGTAATCTGAGTTATATATATCCTGAGGTAGAGGATAAATAACCCTACCCTGTCTTCTCTTCAAGTCCATAAACATTCTACTTGCTCTATACTTCAGTCACATCAAGATGTCCACTATCGAACAAATCTTGGAGAAGTTCAAGGACGTAGCGGTCCGAGTCCCATCAATCTATTCGTTGTCCCCTTCCTGGCATCCAAGAGTGGTTCCAGACTTGAACGGAAAAGTGGAGGAAGGTGTAGAATTATGGCGCCAACGGTATGCAACTTTTGCCGAATGACCTGTTTCAGCGAATCTAAAGACCCGAAGCTGGCTACTGGAGCCTACTGTTTACAAGCAGATCCGGGCTGCCGACTGTGGTTACTTCACACGAGCTACGAGTCCAGATGCCAACGTGGCGAACTTGCAGATTGGAGCGAAATTCAGTAGCTGGGTACCTGAACCACTCTTCTTTGAACCCCTATTCGGCTAACAAGGATCATACACCAGCTTTTTGCTTGGGATGATGGTATGTTCGCATCTCGTTATCTCGTGGCTTCTGATTAACAGGAGATAGCTCTTGATTTGGGCAGCCTCAAGGATGGGGCGAGACAACGAGAGCTAATACGAATTGAAATGTTAAGGACCATCCAGAAAGGCCTTTTGGGGGAGACTGTTATAGAACAACCCCCTGACTGGAGAGATGCGCCCCCTACTCTGGCCGAGTCGTTTTACGATATAGGATTCTCGCTTCAAGAAGGCACTGAGCTTGGTATGTCTTTTCCCTCACTCCAGCTTGTTACCTAGGTAGAATCATCCGGCTAATTGCACAGAACCTCTCCAACATTTCCTCTGCGACCAACTTTGTAGATATGTGGCAGGGGCATTCAGATTGGAAGATGCGTTTCAGGACGGTATCATCATGGATCTAGACGTCTATCTAGAAAACAGGATGGAAAATTCAGGTGTCTATCATATGATAGGGCAGTCTTTGTGAGTTCCCTACCACTACCTCATCTGCAATATATTAACAGTTATATTAGGATTCTACAGGATATCACTCTCCCAGCTTGGTTCATCAACCATCCTATTCAAAGGGAAATGATGAGACACATCAATATCATGGTATCAATGTGAGTATGTATATGATCAAATGGAGATCGACATCCTAATGGGTATATAGGCTGAACGACATTGTCTCTGCTCGCAATGAATTGGTAATTTCTCTTAGATTTAAGTATAACATCTTAGCAGCTGACTAGGTCTAGCGCTACAAACATGTCGATAACATAGTCCCTTTGCTCGTCTATCATCGAGGATTGGAACCACAGGAGGCAGTTTATCAGTCCTGTCAGATTATTAACGACAGCTATGCCACCTTCGAGAGCCTTGTGCCGGAAGTTCTTGACCTTGCGTCTAAAAATGGGTTAGCCGAGGGTCCAGCCTTTGTGACCTGCTGCAAAGATTTCTACATTGGAGCGGTGAACTGGCTGTATGAATTCTTCCCAAGTGATCAAACGGTTTCTAGTCTGAACCTGACAAACTATGGCAGATACAATTCCAAACGGTATCACGATTTTCGACCAGAAGATGGGGAAACCGAAGCTTTAATTCCCATGTGGTAGTAGGGGAGGAAGCGTTTACATCCGATCATTGAACATAAGACCGCTGCTATATATTGTTGTTGCCATTTCGCTTTTTTAGTACCTAATACCTACTATAGTATAGCCTCATCTACTTTATATCTCCAATCTATCAGTTGGAGTAATCATGCAACAGAAAGAGCAATGATACCTTATTTGAGCTTATATCCTTCATAATGACACTATATCGTGCTGTATCTCCATTGCTTATACATGTGGAACTGGCTCTGTATGATTTTTGATATTGGCAGCAAAGCCGGCCCTATATGGAGGCGCGACTGAAGTTATGTTATGGTATGGACATGACATCTCTCTCTCTCTTCCTCATATTATCCATTGCAAATATTCGCACGGACAAGTAAATAAAGAATCCAATACAGACAAGAGAAATAGAAATGGAAAAAAGAAAAAGAAAAAGAACGCCAGATGCGCCAGGTCCCGACTCATCTCCGAGCCCCTCCTCCATGCGAAATCTATCGTCGGTTCGTCACTTGATCGGGGGTGGGATTCATGAACTCATGTCATGGATGGAAATCAAATTTTCCCTCGCACAGCTTTTTGGAGAAGTTTAGAAAAAGGTTGATACGAAAAGAGGAAAGAAATGAAACATTTCGAATCGACGCGAAAAAGAAAATTCAAAAATAGAGCTTCCGCCAAAGCATTTATGCGGGCAACTCAAAGCCACGACGGATGACACGACCGAACTGCTCGATGCCGACGTGCTCGCTCTTGACCTCGGAGCGGGCCTCGTTCTCCTTGTTGGTAGGCACGCGGATGACGTCGCCGTCGACCTTCCAGCCGCAGACATCGACGACGAACTTGTTGAGCGCGTCACGGCTGCGGACATCGAGCCAGGACTCGAGGTTCTCGGCGGTGATGGAGCGGAAGGTGTTGCCAACCTCGACGGCGATGCGGATGCGGACAAGTTCCTCGAAACCGGCCACGTCGGCGGTCAGGTCGGCGTACAGGTCGTCCGAGTTCAGGGTGGACCAGAACTGGGCGTACTGGGCGGACTCGAGGAGGGTGGACAGGCGGGTGAGCTTCTGGACGGACTCGACGAAGTCGGAGGTCTGCGAGGCGGATTGAGCTTGGCTGGTGGTGGGGAAGGGCTGGGTGCTTGTTGGGAGCAGGGCGAGGCAGAGCGAGAAGGCGGGCGAGGGGAACACGGTCAGGGCCTTGGCCAGGATGTTGGTCACGGTGTCGGGTTGGATGAGGTGGGGGTTGAACTGGAAGCTGGATTTTTTGAAGAGGGTTTTTGTCAGCTTCGATTCGAGAATCTCATGACGATTTGAGGTTTTGCAAAGAAGAATGCCATGGTTTTGGTTTCAACCAATGCATGGGGGCTTCACGTTCAGTATCTTCACAGAATTTCTCAACACTCCCAAGTATATTATGGGGACGTCAGGTAATAGGAAACGCTTAAAAGATACTCATCATAGTAAAGCTTGAATATGATTTTTTTTTGGCAATGCAATGCTTCCATAAAACAAAAGTGGTCCAACTCACAGCTTCAGCAGGGCCAAGTTGGCGTAGCAGTCAAATGTCCGGTCCTCGCACTGCAGGGCGACATAGTCCTGGAAGACGGTGGTGGTCTCGGGATTGTACCGGTCGAGGCCATTGAGGATGGCCTCAATATGGGCCGGCCGGGTCTCACACTTGTCAAAGGCGACCATTTTGATATTGTTGGAGGAAGGTGGGAGGTGATGCGGGTCTTTTGTCTCTGCTGTTCTTTTTGGTGGGATTTTCCAAGGTTTGATTGTGGCCGTGGCCGGATTAACCCGAAATGGTACGTTTACCCGGAATTCTTCCGGACTATAATATTAGGCATGTGCATACTCCGTACAATAAAAACTTCAGTCTCCGAAAAAGTGGCCAATGGCCATGGATTGATTCGTGTTCAAATAATACATAAAATACATGTCTCTTGAATTCCTCGTGCGATCGTGACATCCCAATCATAACCGAGCACCAGTCTCAAGAAAGGAAACCCGCTAAACAGACGTGCTTGAATCGTTGAACTCCGTAAAGATCGAACGAGGTGTCCAAGAGAAGAAAGACATATCACCCTGGGGAAAAACCGAAATCAAGGCTGGTAAACAAGAAACTCCGTTCCGTGTTTGTCAGACGCCATAGTCTATGCCCATGCCATATCGCAAAATACAAGAAGAAAAGGCCGAATCCGTATGCAGAATGAGCAATGCAGAGATCGGTCGAAACAGCTTGCAAACCCGCATAAAAGCAAAAAAGGAAGCGCAAAAAAACGAAGCAGAAAAAGCAGAAGAAAAAGCAGAAGGTTGAAGGTGCCTGAAAAACAGAACAAAGCAGGCGGGTATCTCAATAAGAGGTTCATGCAAATGATGAAAAGAATATTTCAAGCCATGACGGGCCGGCGAGGCGTAATGGGAATCGCCTTTGGTCCCGCGGAGATTTCAAGGTTCGAGATGTCGATATCGTCGCCATCATACTTCTGGTCGCCCTCTGGCTGTCTTGCCTTGGAGACGAGGACTGGCCGAGAAGGACTGGCGCCTTCTTCGTCGCCCACAGTGCTGCAGACAAAGCGTTCCTCATTGAGAGGGATTCCGCCAAACATTGCGCCGAGCTGGTGCAGAAGTGCGACGAAATGAGCATGTAATTCAGTAAAGATGTATTCATTGCCGACGATTTCGGCTAAATTACGGGCACGAATCTGGCCAGCTGCACGACGGCCCGCCGGATCCATACCCCGGCCAGTGAGGAAGGATGAAACGGGAGGGTACTGGCGGCCGGGCTGTCTTCCCGGGTTGTTCTGCTCATCGCGGGTCTTCTCGTCTTCCTGGAAGCGCTCAGCAGCGTGTACAATGCTGGTTGCGATGCGACCGAATGCGCGCCAGATAATGGGGCATGCGCGGAATGCTCTTCCGGCATCTCGTCCTGCCAGTGCGACCAGTGCATAACTGCGTCGCTTGCCGCGTGCCATGGGGTCTGGAAGGCGGAAAATATAGGCAATGGTGTAACCAGCGACGCCGTCGCCGAAGCAGATGGGGCCGGACGAAAGTCCCCGGGGCAAGAGCTCACAGCTTAGGGTGCGAATAGAAGAGCGTCGGAGAAGCGCATAGTCAGCGGGGTTAGGCGGCCCGCGCTGAGAGAGATAGGTGTGAATGTGTGTGTGGCATGAAGAATCGGAGGTAACCGAGGCAGAACGAAGTGAGTCAGGAGGAGACGCATGAGTGTGGTAGTCGGTCTCATCATCCAACTCCGTATGGTTGTTGCCGCATGAGTAAACTAGCTCGCGAGAGCGGAGCACCGGGCTAGTAGAATTGCCCTTGGCGTCGCGACTTCCAGGCGCACCCGGAGGTAGCTGTTTGCTCACAGTTTCTGGCAGAGACAAGCTACAACTGGCGCAGGTATCGCCATTTGCACCACTTCGGTTGGATTTATCTTCGGGTGAGGTCGGATGTCCTTTGAGGAAGTACGGGTGATCTTCAATTCTGGGCGACTTAGACTCGGCAGATGTCTGGGATTGAGACTGATCGATGCGAGACTCATGTGAAGCCGGGGTACCCTGGGGAGAGTGGTCGGATTCGGGGTGACATTGCGGACATGAAAAAGGTAGGACCTGCGAGCAAATAATAGAGGTGGGACCATGCACCTCGCAGAAGTGCGTCAAAGAGAGCTAAGAATGTCAGTCCAAGCACATAGGATGTACCTTTCTTTTTTTATACTCACAATGAAATCCATGGTGGACCTGATCAAGCAATAACCAGCATCTTTAGTCCATTGTCCCAAGGCATGCTGTGACTGGATGATGACGAAAGGCTGGTATGCGGGTCCACACAGTGACCAGGTTCCGGCAAGGTTAAAAAACAAGAAAAAACAAAAAGAGAAGTTTAAAAAGGAAGAGAAGAGCAAAGAGGTGAGATATTAAGAGAAGAGAGAGAGAGAGGGAGTAGTGGAGTAATGTGATAAATAAGAAGACAAGCAATAATAATCGAAGGGGCTAAGGCCCTCGGTGGAAGCCCGGAAGTTGCAGTTACGGGAACTCCCAAATGGAAGGTCAATGGAAGAAAAGAACTTCTCCACTGGTCCACTTTCTCTTCTAACTTCTTTTATATTATTTGACTTTTACTACTCATTTTATTACTTTTCTATGACTCTTTTAATTCTACTTTATCTCTCTCTACTTTATTGTACATATGTCGGTATTGTATTGAAAGTACTTTTTTGCCCTTTTAACTTATAGTTACACCACCCTTCCGGATAGCCTTCCGATCACATTCTTTCATACTCTTCTCCTGGATTGCTGCATGTGAAAGTCATTCTAAAATCGGGCCGACCATTAATATTCATGGGTTTCCGTGCTTTGCCTAGCGCCTTGTCCCGAGGGGCCGTTCTCGTCTGCCTTTGGGCCGTTGCGTAGAAGTGGATATGTCTGCAAACAGGGGCTCCATGGGAATATGTGTGGTACCAATGATCGTGCAGATAATTTAAGTGAATATTAATTACATTTACTTCGTATGATCTTGATCTTAATACATATCAATTGGATTCCAAACACATTCTGAGAGATTATATGATGTATCGATTGGACAAATCGTCAGGGGTTCACCGCTTCCTCTTTCGGTATTCTGTCGTATGGGTTTTGCTTTTTATTATTTTCTTTTTTTAATATTTGCTTTTTCTTACCTTTCATGTCACTCGAAAATCAGCATGTGTCAGATCAAGTCTGCCGTCTCTATTCCAGCCATCTGGATTTCGGGGGGTAATCTGGAGATAACTCCGTGTTAGGGGCACAGTAAGGAGGTAATGGAAGAAATTCCTTGTCCTCCGATTTGTTGAACGTCATCATATTGGATGTGTACAATATACGGAGTATTCCAGAGGGATTCGGCTATACTCCCTCGCTTCTGGAAAGACGATCTTGGGTCCCAGAAAAATATGCTCATCTTTCCCCAAGTCGGACACGAAACAGTTCCGTGGAAAAGTGGGAATTCGGGGGAAATAATCCCACGGTTAGCGTGTTCAGCAGGGATCTAAACTTTGTGGGATTTCCCGACAAGCCTCCGGGAGTCGTAGGATCATTGTCGATAACCCTTTTTCGCCGTTACATTATCGTTTCAACTCTAAATGTTGTCTGTTGTATACAAATATACTCGAGGCTCATTCTCCAAATAGACCGAGAAATCTCCCCTTCATCCGGAGGATCTTCTTCGGAGTTAAACCCCATTAAATATGTTATGGGTCCTTTCATCCGTCCCGTCCAAATGGCAAACGGAGGCGGCTAATGTACATCTGTACATCCCCGATCGTATTCCGTCCACTGGGCCAGGATATATTGTACAGGCTATTTTGACAGGATGAAACAGATATTGGGACTCCAAAATAGCAGTTGCCCCGGCATTGTGCCGGGATGCTAAATCCTTGATCCTTGCCGACATCCGCCAGGTGACCTCCGTACGGAATATGTCTATATGCAGGTTAGGTACTCCGTACGGAGTAAAAAGTACTTGCAATCAGGCAGCCTGTACCACTAGTCGTACACTAATTACACTAGTGGTCCACGGGTGGACAATGTGTAGCAGCATTAGTCCTGTCATCTACTTTGTATAGTATAATATAGCCCGTCTCATTCCTTCCGTGTATTCTCACCCTATCACGCCGAAGACATTGTTGATTTCTGCTCCAATTTAATGAGGGATTTTAACAATAATATTTATAAGCAAAGTAAAAAAGTAAAAGGAACGGTAAACCCACCCGGACACGAGCGGATCCCTTATTATTTTCGCCACAAGAGGCACACGACACTTTTTAACGGGTTTTGATGGATTGCCGATTTCCTTACGGAGTACTCCGGACCGAATATTTATTTCCAGCGTCTCCATTTCCTTCGACATTTCACCGGGGTACTGGACTCACCTTAAAATACCTCATATTCCACAGTGTTGGTTCTACTATGAGACAAAATATATAAGTACAATATACAGATATTATGCCAAATAAACGGAGTAGTATAATTGAGTTTATTATTTACCCACTATGAACCGGATGCCGATTATTTTGGGAAGGTGAATCCGTTCCAAGAAATTCCAATATGATTGTCATGCAGAAGTGGACCCGCTATGAGACACCTTTATAGTATTAGCCCGTCAGGAACAATCGGTAAGCTAAACACTTGGGTCGATCCAAGACATGGGCGATCTAGCCACGTGGAATTACTAAAGTACTACGGAGTTGACCTCGGGATGATCAGCGTTTTATATGCAACATATGCAACGTATACAACATATACAACATAGCATAGGTACGGTGCCACCCTACAACATTGCACAATATTATATATTCGATATCATTGGAATCTATGGCTGCACGGCCTTAATAGAGCCAAGTCACAAGATTTGGTCACTCGGGCCATTCGCCTCGACACTGTTGTTCCACCGCGGGCACATCATCGTTGATATAGATGGGTACGTACACGCCTCTTCTGCAGTCGCCACCCGGCATGACAGTACGTGGCTTGTTGGATTTATTATCATGTATCACGTTGTGCAGCTGTATGCCTTGCCCTACGAGCGAGCCCCACCAACGCTAGCGAGTTTATTCAAGCAGCTGGGCATTATCCCGTTGAGCCATGTCTTAGGAGAATAGAACATGTTCAATGAAAATAAACAAGTTTCATGACTCTTAAATTTGCAGATGGCGGGCTATACTCCGTATAATGTGTATGAAGCTTTAGTGTAAGCTTAAACTGTCTCACGACATTTGACCGGAAGATATGAGTGGTCTAGCAGACATTTTGATTTGTTTCCACAAGTTACTTCTTTAAGGGGTATATGACTACTCAACCTAGAGAATGCACATAAAGATGTAAAGATTTTGAGGCAGCAAAGCCTCATCTAGTCTCGCTGGGCGGAATTGTTAAGCCCAACCCATGAAGCCCGTCTAACTTCCCAGGGGAGTTGGGCATGGGATGGGTACAATTAAACCCGCCCGAAAGATGGAACCAGAAGGGGTTTTTTTCTTGTCCAAGACGTAGGTTCGACCTTCGTTGTCAACCCGTTTTCCCCGCTGGCGATATCAGAACCATATTGACCAGCAACCACAATAGGAACAAGCCTTTGTCTTTGGTCTACGGGTAGCCTTGTCCAGCGAAACGACCGATCTCTTCAGTCAACCGCATAGGGCTGGCCTTAGATCGATCCACTGCTGGTCCAGAGTCTGTTCTTGCTTTCCCAGGCATATTGAATGATTACTCTCACCATATTGTCACCTCAAGGGCGATCATATTTGGGCATGCGCATGTTCATCATTGACAGCATATTGCCTGCCGGACCAGAGGCTCCAGCTTGGCCCTGAAGACTCTCCAGCAAATTCTTAGCAAGGTTGATGTTGATGTTCTCATCCTCCTCGTCTTCATTGGAGATGTTGGCAGCCTTTCCCTTGGATGCACCTGCTCCGTCAGAGAACAATTCCTGTGGGCGCCGGTTGAGATCCAGCACGCCCGTCCCTTGCAATTCTGCCTCCATTCGTCGGGAAAGCTCCTTGATCTGCTCCGTGTCGTCTTCCCCGTCCGAGTCGAGGTCTTCCACCCGTTTGCGGATGGAATCGGGTGCAGAGGGCATGCCCATCATCTCTTTCATCATTCTGGAGAATTCCTCTTCGTTGAATGACGCGTCCTTATCCTCGCCTTCACTGTCGACTTCCTCGTCATCATCATCTTCGACGTCAGAATCCGACTCGAAGTCATCAATGAAATCAGCACCATCGAAGCCCGCTGAATTGTCATTCAGGAACTCTTCAAAGCGAGCCACGATCCGTTGAAGATTCTCCTGGGCACCGGAGTCACCGAATTTGCCAGCATCTTCTCCCTTTCCTCCGCCTCTTCCTTTGAGCTCTGTCTCCAAATCTTCATAGTTGATATCCAGCCATTTTTCATCGTCGTCTCGCTTGTCCCAGGTTTCTTGGATTTCTTGATCGGTGGGAAGGGTTTCATCCCCTGTCTCCACATCCTCGAGCAGGAACTTCATTTCCCTGACTGCAGGCTTATCTTGGTTTTGGGGGTCGTGAAGCAGCATCTCGAATCCACACGCGAGTTTCATCCCCGCTTCCGCCCGTTCATATGCTTTGCGGTCCTCAGTCGAGGGCAGCTTGCCCGCCCAGGTATTTGGCACAGGAAATTCTTGGCTTTTGAGTTGCGCATATCCGACACGGGTAAACCGAACACTAACGTCGACCAAGTCGTCCGGCTTGAAAACAAGGCCGGACGCATCCTTCGCTCGCAGTGGCCGCAGAGCGATCGGATCACGAACATAGAACGCCTCCACAGCAGGTGAAATGTAGGCTGGCTTTTGGTGTAGGAGGAATGCAACCTTGCGGGAATTGTGATGACGGCGGAGTGAAGGTTTTCGCTGATTTGCTGAGGGTACTTGCGCAGACGGTAAAAGGCCTCTTCTTGGATTATCGTTGAGCGAAGAAGGCGACCGGGTTCATTCTCGATAATCTTTCGTGCCTCTGGAAGTGAAATTTTCTCGGTAACCTGTTTTTTCGCCTCCTGCTTGGGCTTGATGATTCGGAGGTCTCCTTGGTGAAGCCACACCTGATCCATTGTTTGGTTGATCAGTATGATGTCTCCAATAAGCCGAGATAAGTTGACTAGCCATAACTCACCCTATTATCTGCGACATCTGGCTCTATCCATGCCGGGAGTGTTCCCGCGGCTTCAATGAGAAGAAACTCGCCATCGCCGTCCACCACTTTGACCCAAATATCTTTGTGTCGCTTGGTCAGCTCACGGAGGAAGTACACAATGACCCATTCATCTTCGATAGAGTCGCCGAAGGAGGTGCGGCCCTGTAGTGAGGTGATTCCTTAAACCCCACAACAATTAGCTTCAACTTTATTTGAGGGTAGGTTTTTAGAATAAGAGTTCGGTACCGTCTTCTTTAATAATCTCTAATCGGAAGGCCTCACGCTGCCAGATGTAATATTTAAGCAAATCTTTGGTTAAATCTGCAGCTGTACGTTGCACCTCAAGTAGTCGTGCTCGGGTCTCGGCAGCTTCATCGATAACGGCGGGGGTGGGGGAGGGCGGGATATGATAAACTGAGTATTCAACAGCGTCGTCGGGGAGCTCCGGTTTTGGGATAGGACGGAAGGTTGATTGAAACCACGCGAGATCCTCCTCAGAAGTCATGGCTGATCTTGTGCTGTCAAAGATCACGGATGACCTCATGCATTCTTCTGATAGAAAAAAAGCAAAAGCGGCGAAATTCACATCCCGTGATTCACACGCTAATCCTGATTAGGTTAGAAATCAACAGAGGTGTCCACGCTAAACCCAACACAGCCGGGGATAACTCGCCCAAAACACGTCTGTGACTGTCAAGCGTGAACTTTTAGTCTAAACTTCGTTCCTGCCCTTATTCACGGTGATGGTCACGCGCTGAAAGGTTTTGGCCCACCTCCCCTGTTCAAACATGGCCTTCCCCTACATCGACACACCACGCACCGAATACGACGGCAACGCGACTTATCTCACAACCGGATTTCGCAGCGCCGGGCGACATCATTTGTCTGCACTCGATTCTCTTGAAAATTCATTTCAAACACCGTCCAAGGACAATGATGTGATCAAGGGTTTTGACAAACGCGTCACTCCGCGCGCCGGTGCTGCTTCCAAGTCAACAAGAAGCGCGTTACGACATCTTCCAGCAGCAGCTCCCGCGAAGGGAGAGTTTACTCCGTTAATGAAGAGCGCGACAAAGAACAATCTTTTGAAGAATATGTCTGCGGCGAGAGGAACAGACGGCCCGAAAACCCCGGGATATCAGCGAGAGACCTATCGCAGCAACGCCCACACGCCCGGCTTGCCTGCTATGGACATGTCTGATATATACGAGGAGGATCGGACGATGGAAGAGGCAACTCCAGTTCCACATGCTGCAAGCAGTAGTGCACAAAGTACACCATTGCCTGGGTATTCAGGACGCAACGGAGGAGCCCTTGGTGATGGAGGGAATAATTTGTCGCTCAAGGACCAAGCCATGGTATGATGAATATCAGAACCAATTGGGTTACACGTAACTCCCTGCAGATCAATACTGACGTCCATAGGCCATTGATCAACTGAGCAAAGTCAATTTCAGTTTGAAGCTAAGGATTCACTTCATGGAAGAACAACTGCAAAAGGCTGGCCCGGAATACAATAATGACGCTCTCAAAGAAAACAGGGAGCTCAAGGTTTTGCGACTAACGATGCAACGCGATATTTCCCGATACCGAAAGAGCCTCCAGCAGGCAGAGAAAGATCTCGAGGACTACCAGCTACAGCTGGCAGAATTAAAAGAGAAATCATGGAGGGAGCAAGCGGACCAGACGGTACAGCGGGAAATGGATATGATGCGCGAAGAGCTTGAATCGCGTGACGTCGAACTCCGAGAAGCGCGCGATGAATTGAGGCACATCAAAGATACCCACTCGCAAGAGACTGACAAACTTCGTGACGACATTGAGGATTTAGAAGCAAGCTCTAGAGAAAAAGATCGCCTACTTGAGGAACGCGAAGAAGAGCTTGAAGATCTGAAACGTAATGCCGAGGAGAATGGCGCAGCTTCAGAGCTCCAGCTGGAGCTGGAGCGTGCGAAGGAGCAGATGCAAGAGCTCCAGGACAGTCTTTCTCAGGCCAAGACTGAGACCCGAGAGTCGGCTGATGCCGCTAGGCAGGCGATTGAAGAGAAGGATCGTGCCGAGGAGGACTTGAGGGAATTGCAGGATGAAATGTCGAACAAATCCTTCACCACCAAAGGACTCAGCCGGCAAATGGAGGACAGGGCCGAAAAGCTCGAAGAAGAGATACGTGACCTGCAACGAGAGAACGATGCGCTGAGGACAGGATTGGAGAGTAAAACCAACCATGCGACACTCCTCGAAGAGCGTTATCAAACTATTCAACATGGCCTAGAAGATAATGCCCACCACCTGGCTGAGGACCTTGCTGCAGCCAGGCGTGATCGCGATCAAGCTCGACAGGACCTGAAAGCTACTTCTGCCCGACTGCAGGAGGCCTTGGACGAACTCCAGCGTGGAACGGACGAAAAAGGAACTTCTTCAAACTCGCCATCAAGCGCTGACCGGTGAATCGGGAGGACTACAAATCGAACTTGACCGTGCACAATCCAGAATCCGCGAACTTCAAAAAGCGGTTCAAGACGCCACATCTCGCGCTCAGGACGAAGGGCACAACATTCGCTGGCAACACAAGGCGGAAGTTGAACGGCTGCAAGAGGAGATCGAAAACCTTCACCACGAGATTGAGGAGAAGGAAGGCCGATTTGCAGTCGATCAAAGTCGTTGGGAAAGCAGCAAGCGGACTCTACAATCAGAGAAAGCATGGGCAGAAGGCCAAGCGGCAGACTTGAAGCGCACTATCGAAGCGCTTCAGGAAGCTGGTAGCACATACTCTGGGAAGGAGTCTAGGCTACAAGAGGTCATTGATAGCGAGAAGAAGCGCTACACGCAAGAAAAGTCTATGCTGGATCGCCAAATCCAAGATCTCAAAGACGACCTCGATAAGACCAGGCGCGACCTTGACGAAAGACGGGACGAGCTTCTTGCGGCGAAGCAAGATGCTCGGGTATCTAGACGCGAAGAGCAAGCACTTGCAGACAAGGTGCGAGCTCTGGAAGACGAGGTGGTCGTTTTACAATCGAGCCTGGCGGATGAGCAAGAACTTGCTAAGGGTCGGCAAAATGGGTCATCTGACCTGGAACAAAACCTGGAAAAGTCTATTGCTGAGAGACAGAAGCTCCGTGATCAGCTTGCAAATGCTCATGTCGAGATATTTGACCTGAAGGCTTCGGTGCAGGAGATTGAGGCTGAACGTATCGAGCTCCAAGCTCAACTCGACCGATTCCAGAACGCAGATGATACTACTCGGTTTGACCGCGATAAACTTGAACTGCGCAAGACCGTAACAAGACTTGACAACGAACTCAAAGTATTGCGAGACGCCAAATCATCTCTTGAGGATCAGCTTGTCTCTGAAAGTGAACGATTTGCAGCAGAGGAGGGTCGTCTTTCTGCTGAAATCGATCGCCTACAGGACAAATTGCTTGCTGGCTCTAGTAACCGAGACCGAGAACTTACCTCTGCCAAGACGAAGGTACAGCGCCTGGAGCGTCGCGCCCAAGAATTGGAAGCTCTTCTTGAGCAGCAGCAGCCTGTGGTGGAGAATGAACAATCTAGTACACATGGGGACCTCTCCTTACTCCGACACAGCCTGGCAGAGGCTAGGAAACGCGAAAAGATTCTCCTCCAGCGCGAATCCAAGCAGAAGTCTTCTGCCCAAAGCTACAAGTCACGAGTTGAGGAATTGGAAAAGGATCTTCATGATGCTATGATGAACAAATTCGAGTCACACTCCCACACAATTCTCCGTCAAACAAGCTTCATGAAGAGCTACGCAGTCTACGAAAACAAGTGGCCGAAGCACACCGGTCCCTCCAGAAGGTGAACACGAAGAACCGAGAGCTCGAACGTGCCGCGATGAAAGAAGAGGACCAAAAGGACTTCCACGAGCTCCTCAGGTCCTCCACACTCGAGGCCGAATCGTTAGCTCTGAAGCTTTCCGAACGGGAAGCGCGCCTGAACGAATTGAAGACTCATGTGCGCCGAATTCGCGAAGAGCGAGATGCCCACAAGCGCGAGGCCGAAGCGGCAACCAAAAATCTCGATATGTTACAAAGACGCCACGACGAAATCCTCGAGAAAAACTCCCTTTCTAAGTCGACCAACAAGACCAAACATGAGAAAGAGATCCGAGGTCTCAGGCAAGGAGATCATCTGGCTTCGCGCCCGCCTACAGCGTGAGGGAAAGTTCCGCCGTGATCTTGCCTGGAGCAAGGGCTTGATGGAACTTGGTGAACGCGTCCGAGTTGCATGGTTCGTACCCCCATTTCCATCTAATATTATTTGCAACATAGCTAACAAGTTACCAACAGCAACGATGCCGATCTTCGCATGATTTCCGAGATGGGCGTGCAGGCCCGTGACCGAGCTCCTGTACGCACTCCACGCCATAAATTGAAATCCGCCGTATCTCTTGTGAGAGCCGCTGTTCGCATGCAAAAGATGAGCAGTGATTGGAAGCGGACTAAGAAACTGGGCGAGGGGTTGAAGCGTGCTAAGACTGAAATGCTCAAGCGCCGTGATAGCTCGAACAAGAGCTTGCTTGGCCAGTAGCCCTGGATATCGGTTCTATGTTATGTCATTCGTTGTGATTTTGTCTCTTGTTCTTCCAGCGTCCACCTTCTGCTATGAGAGATTCCCCCGACATGTCTTGCAAGTATACTAGTCTTTTTCGACTTGTTTTATGTTTCTGTGTCTCCATTCATTTTGTATTGGGCGTTTTAGGGCTGGCTTTGTGCCGGTTTGTTCGAATCATTTGTGCATAGTGTCATCCCAGCGAGGAATTTGATGATTCAAGAATCCTTATTCGTTTACGTAGCGTCTGGCAATATAGAATCTGGGCCTTGGGTGGCATTGGTTACATCTACAAGCAATGTCGAAAGAACCTAGCAAGTTTGTAGTCTTCAAAGCCGTATGTATGCTACTCGCGCGCTTTCCTATGACAGAGACACTTGCGGGGATAGACACATGAAATATTTGCTCAGCCAACGCCTCGCCATTGCCAAAAGTAATTGAGAAACGCTTCTAAACACCAAACTCTTCGGAGACACCCACCAAAAGACACAGGAATCCGAAATGAAGCAAGCATTGACATGGACACAGATAAAGCGCATGAGAAAATGGAGACTATGGGCAAGGGAATGAGATATTCAGCTTCCCTCTCTGGACAAGCCAACGAGCCAGGGGTTTATGCTGTTGATCGACTGAGGTAGAAAGATTCACATTTCGGAGGCCATGATGGGAAGAATATTGATCATTTCGGAAAATACGATCAGGCGCCTTCACTGCCAAATTCTTGGGTCCATTCAGCGTTCCTCGTGAGATCCTCTCCGCTAACGGTTGGTCGAGAGTTCTTAACTGCCTTGATGAAATCCTTCAGAACGAGAGGTGGCTCCAGAAGCTTCTCTGCATCGACGTCGAGCCAAGTCATTTCCATTGCGCCCGGATCCCCTGGTGAGCAAGGCGTGAGTTTCTCTACGCCCTCGTCGAGTACCTGTAATAGAGCCGGTCAATCGCTGTGGGTTGGAACGGTTAGAACTGAGTATACATACCTTCTTATAATGTGTTGCTCCTTGAATCTTGCGGATTGGCTGCATCAGTGCATCCTGCACGGAAATACTAATATCGCTACCGGAGTAGCCTTCACTTAGATCGGCCAATTGGCGATAGTCAGCCTGTGTCATATGACACGGCGTCGAGCCCACGGCTAGCATGAACATCTTCATTCGTGCATTGACGTCGGGGAGACTGATGTGTACTCTCCGCTGGAATCGTCGCCGAATAGCAGCATCCAGTTGCCAGGGGATATTTGTTGCGCCCAGAATCAACACGCCCTTCGAGTCCTTGCCGACACCGTCCATCTGTACAAGTAATTCGGTTTTGATACGCCGTGAGGCCTCGGATTCTCCTTCACCACGTGGTCCACATAGCGCGTCGACCTCGTCGATGAAGATAATCGCGGGCTTGTTCTCACGAGCCATGTTAAACAACTGCTTCACAAGTCTAGAGGCAAATTAGTACGCAACTCTCGGAGCTTTTGTTGATGAAGATGTTACCCTACCTTTCACTCTCACCCATCCACTTCGAGACTAGGTCACTACTGCTGACACTGAAGAATGTGCTGTTTGCCTCCGTTGCCACGGCTTTGGCAAGATAAGATTTTCCCGTTCCTGGAGGACCGTAGAGCAAGATACCCTTCCAGGGTTGGCGCTTGCCAGTGAACAAATGAGGGAACTTGATGGGAAGAATGACTGCTTCCTTCAAAGCTTCCTTGGCGTTCTCCAGACCAGCAACATCCTCCCACTTCACGTTCGGCTTGTCTGACAGAATAGCCCCTTGAAGCGCCGATCGAAGCTTTTTCGCATCCGCATCTTCGCCGTTATCGTCATCTTCCTTCCTATACGGCCCAGTGTCGTTAGCAGGGATAACATGGGACAATACCTCACTCGCAAACACTGCTTATCACACAGATGAAGTGCTAGAGCGAGGAATCCTTGTCAAAAGAAGTCGAGTACATACCCTCCCTTCCCACTGCCTTGCGCCACCTTTCCATTTGCGCCAACCGCGCTCGGTTTTTTCCGGTCCTCGGCCAAGTGATTTTTAAGCTTCTCCGCGCGATCCATATACTCGCCGGCCTTTGAGCGGATCATCTCCTTCGATTTCGGGTTCTTCTCCCATTTCAAGGCCAGCATGAACAACTCCAGTGCGGAGTAGTACATCTGATAAGCCTTTTCGTACTCTCCATCGTTGTCATTCTCGATCGCCTTCTTGACCGTGTCGATAGCCCGCCCCAGGAAATCCGTATTACTCATGATAGGCAATGCGTGTGCTGGCTAGGGTAGAGGCAGCAAGTCGACCGCGGAGGCAGATGTGGTAAAGCGGGGAGAGAGGAGCAAGGGTTGGGGCAATGGGCCAAGGCTGGGGGGGATAGGCAGAGAGATGCTAGAAGAGAAAGCTTGAAGATTCCTTGGTGTAGAAGAAAAGAGGAAATACAAAAGAGCCCTAGAACCGAGGGTTGATGGGAATTGGAGGGGAAAGTGAGAGTGGAAGTTGTTTACGGGCGGGATCCATTGATTTTCCCTCCTCCCACTTCACCTCCAAGTTCACCATGGACGCCCAGAAACAGCTTCAGGCACGATCGGAAGAGTTCCAGGCACTGCAGACCGGTATGTCTATATATCAAATTGACCTCAGCAATAGTTTCTGACCTTTCCTGCCCATCCAGAGCTTGAGGTTTTGGTCGATGCCCGCCAGAAACTTGAATCGCAGCAGCAAGAGAACGAAGGCGTGCAGACCGAGTTCGCCCAGCTAGACGATGAGGCCAACATTTACAAGCTCGTTGGTCCGGTGTTGCTGAAGCAGGATAAGTCCGAAGCCACTATGGCCGTCAACGGTCGGTTGGAGTTCATTGAGAAGGAGATGTCAGTGCTACTGCCTTGGCCACCGCGACCCAACGGAAATATGTGCTGACTGTGAATCTACAGCAAGCGAATTGAAGGCGAGATCAGTGCGACACAAGAAAAGAGCGAAAAGATGCGCTCAGAGGTAAATCGCCCTCATCCAACTGCAATTCGCGCCCCCCACCATATGCATATTCTAACCCCTCACCCAGCTCATCCAACTCCAAAGCCAGGCTCAACAGCAGGCTGCTGCTGCTTCTGCCTCCGCGTAAGGCCAAAATTACCACCCGCAGGCGAAGAAGGATATATCACCCGGAGATGCAATAGGTGGCGTGCGAGCTACGAAGCTGGCGTCGGATGGGACCTACCCTCCACCGGTTCACCGTGATTCGGTACATACGCTATGCAGCTGTGAACCATATTTTGGAGGTCGGAAAGCTCAAAGAATATGCTTGGGCATTGAGGACCAAATCCCAATTGAGTTGGGATAGCCTGGAAATGTATGATCTGTGCAGGTGCCTGACACCAGAACAGGGCATGGATCAGTTTAAAGATATACCCGTGAAATCCTAATACAATGCTGTCAAAAGTGATCAATTGGTCTTTGAATATGGAAATTATTTGATAGTGTCAATCATTCTGACCCGGAATATATCGATATACTTGCACGATGAACTCTACGTATATAGTTTACGTCGGCCATGCTTCATGTCTTCGATCTCTTGTTGATCTCTACGGGTCAGAGTGTTCTATAACTATATTCAAAAAGGTCCATAACAAGGACGCATGAATACAACTAAGAAAGCGCTTTAAGAGCACGCCCAAAGAAGCTAGCGGATGGATGACCTTTGATACTCCAAAAGCAAAGGGAAGACCGTGTGTGTATTGACAAAATTCTATTCATTGATTCATAATGAAACATCTATGTGCGGGAAGATTTATCTAGGACTTGACCAGCAGGTTGGCACCGGTCATCTCCTCGGGTTGCTCCACGCCCATGGCAGCGAGAACGGTAGGAGCAACATCACCCAAAACACCGCCCTTCTTGAGGCTCCAGCCCTCAGGGGCGTTGGCCATAACGAAGGGAACCTTGTTAAGGGTGTGGGAGGTCTTGGGAGTGCCCTTCTCGTTGAGCATCTCCTCGGCGTTTCTGCGAAATGTGGGTTAATTAACAATTCTCTGGAATGGGAGGTGTTCCTGTTTTGCAGAAAGACTTACCCGTGATCAGCGGTGATGAACAGAATGTAGTTGTTCTTCTTGCAAGCCTCGTAGATCTCGCCAATGGCCTTGTCAGTGGCAGCGACACCCTGGATGGCGGCCTCGTACACGCCAGTGTGGCCAACCATGTCAGGAGGGGCGAAGTTGTTCATGACAAAGTCGAACTTGTTCTCGCCAAGGCGCTCAGCCATCTTGGCACCGACAGCAGCTGCACTCATCTTTGGGTCAAGATCGTAGGTAGCAACTCGGGGCGAAGGGATCATATCGCGCACTTCGCCGGGGAAATCTTTCTCAATACCACCGTTGAAGAAGAAAGTGACGTGAGCGTACTTCTCAGTCTCAGCAATGTGGCACTGCTGGAGGTTCTTCTTGCCGAGCCATTCGGCTAGCACGTTGCCCATGTGCTGCGGGGGGAAAGCAACATCGAAAGTGTAGTCAGTCTTGTACTGGGTCATGGTGGTAAGAGAGATATTCTTGGGGTAGGGGAAGTCGGGACGCGGGGAACGGTCATAGTCGCCCATCAGCTGGGTGATTTCACGGACACGGTCCGAGCGGTAGTTGAAGAAGAAGAGAGTATCGTCATCTATACAGGCTCAATTAGTTGTCATGGCATTGCCTTTTGGACTCGGACCAGACGTACCCTGGACACGGCGCTCCTTGCCGCCAACAATGATGGGCTTCAGGAACTCATCGTTCTCGCCCTTCTCATAGCGCTCCCTGATGGTCTGTACCGGGTCCGAGCTGTCCTCTCCCTCGCCAGTGACCAGACCCTTGAGGCCAACCTCAACACGCTCCCAGCGCTTGTCGCGGTCCATGATGTAGTAGCGGCCCACGACGGTGGCAATCGCGCCAGTGCCAATCTCCTGGGTCTTCTCAAGCAACTGCTGCATGAACTTCTCGGAGCTCTTTGGGTCGGTATCACGTCCATCGGCGAAGAAGTGGATGAAGACCTGGGGAATCTGCATGTCCTTGGCGACCTGGAGCAAGGCGAACAAGTGAGTGATGTTGGAGTGAACACCACCATCAGAGACCAAGCCCAGAAGGTGCAGACGTCCATTGCCCTCCTTTGCACGGGTGAAAGACTTGACAACGCTGGGCACCTTGCCCATCTCGCCCTTCTTGAGGGTCTGGTCAATGCGAACACTGTCCTGCCAGACAACACGACCAGCACCAATGTTCAGGTGACCGACCTCACTGTTGCCCATCAGACCCTCGGGCAGACCGACAGCGAGCGAAGAGGCATCCAACTCGGCGAAGCCCTGAGCGGTCTTGGAGTTGGGCTCCGCGAAGCCGGACATGTATGGGGTATCGGCCGCGGCGATGGCATCTCCCTGGGGCGGGGAGTCGGGGCCTGCAATCCCCAGCCATCAATCACAACTGCAAGGTTTATGTTAGCTAGTATATCTTTTGAGGACCTGGGTGGCACATACTCAAGGCAACTTTTTGGTCAGCCATAGTGGGGTTTGTTATCGTGATTGGATCACACCTGAAAGTATATAAACATTGATCAATTGCCGAACTGAAAGAAATTTAATAATAACCCGGTTACGCAGCTTACCTTTAGACAGATGTTTAGAGGAGAAGATATCGAACAAAGGGGAATCAGACCACCAAAGCAGAAAAAAGGGCTCCCGGTGAAGGAGGGGCATTGACCCCGACGTCACCGTCACCGGGTGCCAGGAGCGTATTTGCTGAGATAAGCACGTATTGCGGGATCTTGGGGTGTTTCTTCCGACTCTTCCCTAAAAACTTCCCCCAGCCGGGATCTACTCGTCCTTCAGATATCTTTCCTCGGAATCCTTTTAGTCAAACATTCCCGGCAATGGCATCTCGATCCCCGCCAGTGGGCACTCCGCTGCTGAAATCCCCTGTACCCGATACGCCCCTCAAAGACGCGCCAACGCCAGCACCGCAGACAGTACCTTTCCCTTCACCACAGACCTTCGAGATAATCCCACCATTGCATGGGATTCTTTCTCGCTTGCTCGCCTCCAAAGGCCAGCAAACCGGTTCATCGGATGGGCCCGGGGATACAGCAGGGGTATCAGGAGCTTCCCAGGCACAGGCCCAACAAGCACCTTCAAGCATCCCCAATGGTGGACACAATGGCAACACTGCATCTTCACATGCTGTACCAGAAGTATCAGTTCTCGGTTCAACCGCTCATCCGCCCCTCGATGTGAAAAACCTCCCTACCGAAACCAGCTCTGTCAGGATTCGAATCCAGAAGGCTCGTACAGTGGTCGAAGGGCTACCAGATGTGCATCGGTCTGTTGATGACCAACAAAGAGAGATTGCGGAGCTGGAGGACCGTGTGAGACGCTTGCGCTCTGTCATCTCTGACTTCGGGAGTCGAGCAGGAATGCTACATGAGGACAATACGAGGACCGTGGAAGCATGAAGCTTAAAATCGGGAATTTCAATCTACATTGGGAAAATTCAAGCCGGCCAGGTGCTGCAAGGTTTCAGGTTGATTTATTCGGCGTTTATAAGAAGGAAATACCCTGGTGTTTTTAGCGATCATTTCGAGACAACAAAAGCCGCCATCTTTTCATAAGCTGTGGCAAAATCCAGCAATTCATAATCTATTTGCTTTTCTCCTCTTTTTTTTCAAAGAATATTCACAGTGAAGTATACAATAAATTGTTCTGAAGCTCCAATTCAGTACAATTTTGGCTCCTTACAAATTTTATAACCTAAAACCCTAATCCGGCCAGCTGTCTCCGATATCGTTCGCTGGCTTAAAGTTCAGCGCCTGAGGCAACGGAAGATCCCCTCCCCCACCACTTCCATTTATTTTTTCCTCTTCACCTCTCATCCTCCATCTCCATTTATTTCTGTTTATCTTCGAAGACAGATTATCATACTTCATCATGTCTTACGCTCTTTCTGAGTCCCACCGGGACGTGAGTATCACATCTGCCCCCATTTCTAAGATCATTGACTCATCGATTACAGCAAATGCACAACTCCCTCGTGTCCAGCGACCCAGAGGTTGCTGCCATCATGGTATGTTGAAATTATACATCATTGACAGCCACAGTCAATGCATTGTCCCTACCAGAAGATCCAGATGTGCTAATTCTTCTACTCATACAGGAGAAGGAGATCCAGCGTCAGCGTGAGTCAATCGTCCTGATTGCCTCTGAGAACTTCACTTCTCGTGCTGTCTTCGATGCCCTCGGTTCGCCCATGTGCAACAAGTACTCCGAGGGTTACCCCGGTGCTCGTTACTACGGTGGCAACCAGCACATCGACGCCATTGAGATCACCTGCCAGCAGCGTGCTCTTAAGGCCTTCAACCTCGACCCCGCCAAGTGGGGCGTCAACGTCCAGTGCCTTTCCGGTAGCCCCGCCAACCTCCAGGTCTACCAGGCTCTCATGCGTCCCCATGACCGCTTGATGGGCTTGGATCTCCCCCACGGTGGTCACCTGAGCCACGGCTACCAGACCCCCTCTAAGAAGATCTCTGCCGTTTCCACCTACTTCGAGACCTTCCCTTACCGTGTCGACCTTGAGACCGGTATCATCGATTATGACACTCTCGAGCGTAACGCTGAGATGTACCGCCCTAAGTGTCTGGTCGCCGGTACCTCCGCCTACTGCCGTCTGATTGACTACAAGCGTATGCGCGAGATTGCCGACAAGGTTGGCGCCTACCTCATCGTCGATATGGCCCACATCTCTGGCCTGATCGCCGCTGGTGTCATTCCCTCTCCTTTCGAGTACGCTGATGTTGTGACCACCACCACTCACAAGTCTCTCCGTGGTCCCCGTGGTGCCATGATCTTCTTCCGCAAGGGTGTCCGCAGCACCGATAAGAACGGAAAGGACGTCCTTTACGACCTGGAGAACCCTATCAACTTCTCCGTCTTCCCTGGCCACCAGGGTGGTCCCCACAACCACACCATCACTGCTTTGGCCGTTGCTCTCAAGCAGGTTGACACCCCTGAGTTCAAGCAGTACCAGGAGCAGGTCATCAAGAACGCCAAGGCTCTCGAGGAGGAGTTCAAGGCCCTTGGCCACAAGCTCGTCTCCGACGGCACTGACAGCCACATGGTCCTCGTTGACCTCCGCGCCAAGAGCCTTGATGGTGCTCGTGTTGAGGCTGTTCTGGAGCAGATCAACATTGCCTGCAACAAGAACTCTATCCCCGGTGACAAGTCGGCTCTCACTCCTTGCGGTATCCGCATTGGTGCCCCCGCCATGTCTTCCCGTGGTATGGGTGTGGAGGACTTCAAGCGCATTGCCCGCTACATTGATCAGTCCATCACCCTCTGCAAGAAGATCCAGGGTGAGCTTCCCAAGGAGGCCAACAAGCTCAAGGACTTCAAGGCCAAGGTTGCCGATGACAGCGTTCCTGAGATCCTTGCTCTCCGCAAGGAGATTGCTGAGTGGGCTAGCGCCTTCCCTCTCCCCGTCTAAATTGGATATTGAGGGCCGAGTATGAGTTACGGAAAAATAAAGTGGGATTCGAACCAGGATCTTACGAGTTCAACATCATTTCGTATAACAAAAGAAAAATATACATGGGTGCGTTTTTAGGGGTTAATTACCGGACTGCTTTTTCAACCTGACGCGGGTCATTGGGATATGGGAATGCTTTTTTGCATGTGAAACGAGCAATGTTATTTTTGGCGGTTGGGCCTCGCACCTATTCAACAGCGGGCTCACATGAATTTCTATAAGGGGAAAAGTTCAACATTAATTGAGCGTCCTATGTACATTCTACAATCTGTTCTCAACACAAGGATCTATAGAATCCAAGGACTATTTTCTTCTCTGCTTTGTCCTTCCTAATTTGGTTCTATTGTCCAGGTTTTCATATGTCCCCCCGTACTCCGTAGATTCCCGTGAGTTGCCTTCTCTGGTTAGTGTTGCCCAGGCCTGGCCCGATGTTGTGTACCTCGTGCGATGTAGCAACGGAAAACACTCAGACATTGTAGCAATGCAGCGCTCCTTTATGGACTTATTTAGGTTTATGCTTAGGAACCTAGATGGATGGTAGAGAGAGAGAGCGGGCCTCTATTCATGAATGGATGCATGGGATTTGGTGAAAATCCATGCATACGTTGAACGGAAACATCTCCGTGGACGTCATGGACAAGATCAAGTATTAACCTGTTCGCAAATCTGCTCAGTGAAATTTTAAAGACATTGATTGAAAAGCTAGCTCTGTTCTGATATATAAATCGAGAATAGTCGGCCGCTTATGCGGCTATAGTCTCCTTAGTAGACTTCTCAGGTAGTCTTCTCCGATAATCTTTTTAGATGTCTTTTTAGATGTCTTTTTAGATGTCTTTTTAGATGTCTTTTTAGATGTCTTTTTAGATGTCTTCTTAGATGTCTTTTTAGATGCCTGGTTATGTAGATATTTGCTAACCCTTCTCGCCTGGTGTGTATAACCTTTGATATCAAATGACGTCAGAGCCAAGCTAACTTAATAATCGGGAAGTATCAATTGTTTCCTCTTTCGGTTCTCTATCATTCCAATATGACATCTCGTGTCCTTGAAGCACCAAGATACCCGCATTCAAAAATGGGTCTCTTCTTGCCGATAAGCGATGATAGCCTTATATGAGCCAGTTCGGCAACTAATACAGTCTCGTTATAGCCCTGGGGATCCCAACTGACCCACGAGATCGATAGGTTTCTGCTGAAATGTTGTATCGATACTGTTCATTAATATTCCTCTTTTCTAACGAGAACGAGTGGGCAATTTATAAGTTGCGGAGGAACAGCACACCAGGCCCTGCACTCCGACCTAGCGGTCGAGCTTTGGTGGATCCTGGTAACTACATGGTTCTGGACAAAGGTACATTGATACATCTAGCATAACTGCTCAAAGTTCATAATTGTATAGATTAGAACCCAATTGCTGTCAATCTGACAACCAACTCTGCGCCACGCCGTGTCACGACTCGCGACCCCGATACCCAATCCCAGGGTCGGAGTGACCGGGACCGCCTGGTGAGTCGATGTAATGACCAGAAGCATATAAAGCTAGGGCTAACGTTTCTATAGCAAACAGCATTTTACAATAGCCTCTGCGAAAGAGACAGTTGCTGTGCAATCACCGGGCAAACCAGGATAATCAACTTGGAACGTCCTTTCCTCGGCCTGGACGCTACGCATGTATTTCCCGTGTGCATGATGGAAGAATGGAGGCGAGATGGATACCGGAGATATATCACGGACACTCGCCCCGATAGCGAGATTGGAGAATCGGGCCTCTATTCTGTCCAGAATGGGCTCCTCCTCCGCGCAGACATCCACCCCCATTTTGACGGTTTCCAGATAGGGTTTGATCCCGATGTAAGTTCCTCCACAATTTGCTATTTTGGAACATATAATAATAGTTGTAAGCATAGTCTGACTACAAGATCATTGTATTCGGACTGGATCCTGGGAGAATGGGCGGTACTCGTCTCAAAGAGTCTGCTCGAAATGGACCTGGGCGCGTGAGTGCCGACCTCCTTCGTTGGCACCTGCGTATGTGTCTGTACAGCAACCTAAAGGCCAATACCGAACCAGAGACAATATGGAAGGAAGATTTGGGAGAAGACCCAATGAGCGAAATTCTCAGTCAGCCAGATGCGGCTGAACGAATGGAGGTAGAGCTTTTCACGCCTTTTCACGCGCCTGGGAGGACTAATAGCGTGATACATTTATAGTCAGACAATTGATAGAGTAGGAGTCTTCAATAATGAATCTCCGAATGCCAGCATTGATGTTACTGATACATTGAACCTAAATACCACAATCCTTAAGTGCAACACCGCATTTATATCCTTCTGGTTCCACCGACAAACTCTGAAAGTGCTATATGTATGAATATGAAAAGTCAAGCGAACCGACATAAGTATTACAATCCTACTTTTCAGCTGAGGGAGGATGAGGGCATCACAGAGGACCAGGAAGACTACGAGGAAGAGTACGCCGATGAGGTCTGCGAACTGGCCAAGCAAGACCCGGAAACTCTGCCATCCTGCATCTTGTCGAAAGGTAATAGAAAAGTACATAGTTGTGTAAAATACTACATGGAGTATATACTACGCAGCTCTGTACGTATACTTCACATCCGAACTGGTACTAGCCGGGGCCGTAGATCCGGTCCACGTGAGCTACGGATAACTCTCAACCTTGGAGACGACTCCTCTCTTTCCTCTCTTTCGGCTCCTGTTTTCCTGCTTTTGCATTTCCTGTCTCTTGCCCTTTGATTTCCCGTTACTGCACTCCCTTACAGGCTTCTACAGCCTGTCTCTAAATTTAGCCTTTCCTGGAGTTCCAGGCCCCATTGATAAGGAAATATCTTATCGCCCCGGACCCTCACGGAGGGCATATACTTAGACCAATCTATGACTGAAGAATCCGAGACAGTCATTGCATCTTGAAGAAGTCACCGGTGAACCAAGAGAAAACAGGACCTTGCCCAGCATGGCGAATACCGCTCAATGCTACTATTGCTTTGAGTCTCTCCTTGCTTCATTCGAGGATCGCGAGCCCACCACTCTGGCAGCTGTAGAGACCCTATGGGAACAGCACGAGCAAACTAAGAAGTTGTCGAGTCTCGAAGAACAAATCGAAGAGGAAGATACAGATCGCCAGCAGTCCATAAATGAACAGGACGAAGATGACGACAGCAACCAATCGTCCCAGTCGAATAGTCAGCCCAAGAAGCTGCAACTTCCCCGCATCAGCCGTCTGCAGAGCCAATTTTCCGCGTCTTCCAGTGCAGCCACATCTTCATCGTCCGCATCCAATACCTCTTCCAACTCGCTACAGTCGAGCAGCTCAACCAATATCACGACCCCAAGCGCGGTTTCCGGGACCCCCCAGCTGAGATCGCCTGATCAGCGATATCCCCTGTTTGTGACATGGAACACCCTGTCAAGAAGCGGACACAAGTCTCTACGCGGGTGCATAGGCACATTCGAGGGGCAGGAACTTGCAGCGGGGTTGAAGTCCTACGCTTTGACCTCGTACGTGGTTCCCATTGAATACCCCTCTCTCAATACAACGCTACAAACAACGGTATACTCCTATCTATATATTAACTAACTTACGTGTGGTTTGGTTTTAGGGCCTTCGATGACACCCGTTTTGAACCCATTCCCAAATCCCTTCTACCCTCGCTATCATGCTCTCTCACCCTTCTTGGGTCATTCGAGCCGTGTACAAATGCCATGGACTGGTCTTTGGGCACTCACGGACTGCGGATCTCATTCATTCACCGCGGCCGTCGTTATGGAGCCACTTATCTCCCTGACGTTGCTGTTGAGCAGGGTTGGACCAAAGAAGAGACCGTGGAGAGCTTGATGCGCAAGGCAGGCTGGGATGGTGGCGGTGGTAGTACTGCACGGAGATTGCTACGCGGTGCAGCTGGTGGCAACTCCGGCGCCATCAAGCCCTGGGACCAGGTTTCGGATTTCCGTACTGTCAGATACCAGGGCCTCAAGGCGAGCGCTAGTTATGCGGAGTGGCAGGAATGGCGGCAGTGGGTTCTCTCTCTAGACGATGGGAGGAGATTCTGGAAGGTGCGGAGTGATTGGCATCTTTTTTTAGATCGCTTTGCTTTTCGTCCCACATCTCAACGCTTCAAGTGGGACTGATGATTATAATGACTATGAGGCTACTGCTTTTTTTTTTTGAGTTTTCGGTTCACAAATCTTCGGCATGGGCATTAGTAAGGGATAGCAATGGTGCGGGCGTTCACGGTCATGATGAGGATTTGATATGGCATCTCAGCTCTATAAAGATAGCGAACAAGCATTTCAGACTGAGCCTTATCCGAAAATTATTGATTATAGACACTGGCATAATTCATTGTATTTGATAATGGTGCGATATGCAGAGAGACATTGAAAAGGATCCAAGCAAAAGAGAAGTCCCAGAGAAGAGCAGCCAGTGATTCTTCCCAAATCCGAATGCGAACATGCCAACGGACGAAAGAAACAGGGCATAGACAAAAGCCAAGGATACATATCCATGCACCCTAACGCGGAGTACGGCTCCACAAACCAGCAACCATCTCCTTGACTCTCCGCTCCTGGGCCCGGATCTGTTCCTCAGTCTGCCCACGCGCATTACCACGACTATCAATCTGCATATGAGCCCCGCCAGCATTGGCCGACAGGGGGAGGAGCATTATGCTTCTCCTCGATGATTTCGTCACCATTAACACGCTCAGGCTTGGGATCGACGCTCAAAACACCGTCCATCATGAAGCCGCCGCCCTCGCGGAGCTTGTTGATAGCCCGCACGGTGTCGATAGCACGGTGCAGCGTGCGGCGCGCGTTGAAGTTCTTCTTGACGTTTGGCAGCAGATCTTCGCCCGGGCCCACCTTGCCGTTGTCATAGGCCAGGTTGACCCATGGGTGCTGGAGAGCTTCGTGGGCCGTCATCCGTGACTTCGGGTTGACTGTCAGGCAGCTGCTGATGAAGTTGCGCGCTTCCTGCGATACACCGCGCCAGTACTCAAGTGGCGTGAAGGAGTAGTCTGCTGCTAGGATTGCTTGCATCTCTTCGAGATTGGAGTCCCGGTCGAAGGGCGTGTATCCACATAGTAGGAAGTAGGTGATCACGCCGATGGCCCAGATATCGCTGGAAGGGGATGGTTGTTAGTAAAATGCAAACAGTCGCAATGAGAAGAACTTACACTGGCTTGCCATGGCCGCTCTTTTTGAAGATCTCTGGTGCCATGTATCCTGGCGTTCCACAGGTTGTGGTCAGGACGTGGAACTGCTCCTCGTCCATGATCCTCGACAATCCGAAATCGGCAATCAATAGATCGGCGTTGTCTTCTGGCGTGCGGAAAAGCAGGTTCTCGGGCTTCAGATCACGGTGCACGATCCCATGGTCATGTAGATAGGCCACAGCCGAGAGCACTGCGCGGATAAGGTCTGCAGCGTCCGACTCGTAATAGCTGCCTTTGCGACAGATGCGGTCGAATAGTTCTCCACCCAGCGCGAGATCGGTGACAAGATATACTAGGCAGCATCACTTGTCAGTGGGGGCGCGATCGGAGCGATCATGCAGGAGCGAAACACACAGTTGTTCATAGTCTCAAAGTAGTCGACCAGGGTGAGGATGTTCTGGTGGCCCAGCGACACCTTCTTCAATACCGCGATCTCATTCCGAACCTGTATATTTCGGAATACGTCAGTCATGCTCTTGTTCCCGCAGTTGTCCCGAAACACACCATATGCTCCCGCCCGGACATGAGACGCTTGTTGATAACCTTCGCCGCATAATAGCGACCGGTATCGATGTGCACACATTCCTTCACAACAGAGTACGAACCAGCGCCCAGTGTCTTCCCGGTCTTGTATCGGCACGGTTGGACCTTCGGCTTCTGGCTCGGGGGTTGTGCCGCCATTGGGAATAAAACCAAGTGCGGGAGGCGCGATGCGGATTGTGGGGAGGATGGAAAGTTGTGCGACGTAAAGCGCGAGCGAAGGACTGAGCGCGGTGCTGGAGGGGTTTCGAATCGAGGACGCGGTAAATATACGCCTGCCTTATGTACCTGCGCAATCCAAAAAGTCAGCCTTGGAAAGTGGAGCAGGGGTCTAGCGCGAATACCCAAGGTGACACTGCGCAGAGAATACTCACAGTTGGGCGACAAGGGCTGATTATACCTGGGCTTATGGTATTCCCAATGGGGTTTATCGTGATGTTGTCCGAGGCACTGCGGGGGTTTGAAGTCGAAGATCCTGGGGAATCGTTGGCGGGGCTATGGAAGGGCTGAAACCTCAGATGAAACTATTAAACAATTCAACTCCGACGGCGTTGGCAGCTGAAATAGAAAACTTGCAGGAAACAGGAAGTTGAATTAAAGGCCGAGATTTAAAAAAAAGATCAACGGCGCGATTATTGGAGAGGCATTTCTGCCCAGTTGGCTATTTACATTTCCCGACTCAACGCCAGCCCAATGCAAAAACATGCAAAAAAGGGGAAATTCAAAGAAAAATCAAAGGGAAATAGTACATTCAAAATCTCTCCAGCACTTCCTCGACAATGTGCTCCAAAAGTTGTAGCTTGTGGAATTTGGCCACGCTCTCCAACACTTGTAGTTTCTTCTCGATCTCCTTTCGATCGACTGTCGCAGTCCATGCACCACTGCAAGAACAGTGCTCCATGAAATCACTGACCTTAAGACCACTGCACTTCGAGCATTTGATATCCTGCGTCTGCCATTCGACAACAAAGCCGTGGACTTGACCAATGAGGAATTCTTCAGTAGCCAATCGGTCGTACTCGGCGTGACAAAAGGGGCATCGCCAGGGCTGGGTAGATTTGCTGGCTTCTGAGCTGGCATCAGGCAGCACATCTTCGTCGCGACAGAGATCGAGATCTCGAATGAGACAGCAAGAGTTGCAGGACATTTCTGGGAGCTTCAAGCTAGCACTAGGGTTCTCGAATCGGCCCTCCTTGCTGAATTCCCGGACCTCGAAAAGGGCAAGCAGCTCGCGTCGCAGCAACCGAGATTCCAGGGTTGTTGTCTTAGACAAACTCAGAACCTGCATCAGCAGTTTAGTCAACTCCAAAGATGGGTTGCGGTTGTCCTTGGGACCGACTAGGACTCCTGGCAAAACCGGGAAGGCATAGTCGGATGCAAGCTCAGGATGAAGCATCTCGTCACGTTGTCTGCGGATCAATCCCGAGATTTGCTTCTTCAATGGCTTCGAGAATCGATCCGAGAGAATAGCAGTGATCTCGTCATCGTCTCCTTCGTTGGTCCGTCCAATGGGAATCTGTGTTGGCCGAGGCGTGGAAGACAGGTCCCCGTCTTGGAGTTCCGGCCGTTTCAAGCCGTGCATCAGCTCGATGTACTCGACGATCCAGTCATGGAAGATAGCCTGCATGGGCATTGGCAGGAACCGGCTGAGCTGCCAGTGCATCGCTGTTTCGAGATCCTGTTCGTCGGCCTCGGTGACCTCTCGACAGCCCTTGCCTCCGTAGTTGTATTCATCATACCAAACGAGATAGTCCCAGTACTCCTTGATCTCTAGATCGATAAAATGGAATGAAGG